TGCTCTAGAGGAGATCTGCATGGAGGAATGGGCCAAAATACCAGCAACAGTGTGTGAAAACCTTGTGAAGACTTACAGAAAACGTTTGACCTGTGTCATTGCCAACAAAGGGTATATAACAAAGTATTGAGAAACTTTTGTTATTGACCAAATACTTATTTTCCACCATAATTTGCAAATAAATTCATTAAAAATTCTACAATGTGATTTTCTGGATTTTTTCCCCTCATTTTGTCTGTCATTATTGACGTGTACCTATGATGAAAATTACAGGCCTCTCTCATCTTTTTAAGTGGGAGAACTTGCACAATTGGTGGCTGACTAAATCCTTTTTTTCCCCACTCTATATGTGCTTTCTTGAGCAGGGGGACCTTGCGGGCGCTGCAGGATTTCAGTCCTTCACGGCGTAGTGTGTTACCAATTGTTTTCTTGGTGACTATAGTCCCAGCTGCCTTGAGATCATTGACAAGATCCTGTGTAGTTTTGGGCTGATTCCTCACCGTTCTCATGATCATTGCAACTCCATGAGGTGAGATCTTGCATGGAGCCCCAGGCCGAGGGAGATTGACAGTTATTTTGTGTTTCTTCCATTTGCGAATAATCGCACCAACTGTTGTCACCTTCTCACCAAGCTGCTTGGCGATGGTCTTGTAGCCCTTTCCAGCGTTATGTAGGTCTACAATCTTGTCCCTGACATCCTTGGAGAGCTCTTTGGTCTTTGCCATGGTGGAGAGTTTGGAATCTGATTGATTGATTGCTTCTGTGGACAGGTGTCTTTTATACAGGTAACAAGCTGAGATTAGAAGCACTCCCTTTAAGAGTGTGCTCCTAATCTCAGTTTGTTACCTGTATAAAAGACACCTGGGAGCCAGAAATCTTTCTGATTGAGAGGGGGTCAAATACTTATTTCCCTCATTAAAATGCAAATCAATTTATAATATTTTTGACATGCGTTTTTCTTGATTTTGTTGTTGTTATTCTGTCTCTCACTGTTCAAATAAACCTACCATTAAAATTATAGACTGATCATTTCTTTGTCAGTGGGCAAACGTACAAAATCAGCAGGGGATCAAATACTTTTTTCCCTCACTGTATGTGTATTAAAGTAGTCAAAAGTTTAGTATTTGGTTCCATATTCATAGCACACAATGATTACATCAAGCTTGTGACTACAAACTTGTTGGATGCATTTACTGTTTGTTTTGGTTGTGTTTCAGATTATTTTGTGTCCAATAGAAATGAATTTTAAATAATGTATTGTGTCATTTTGGAGTCACTTTGATTGTAAATTAGAATAGAATATGTTTCTAAACACATCTACATTAATGTGGATGCTACCATAATTATGGATCATCCTGAATGAATTGTGAATAATGATGCGTGAGAAAGATAAAATGCACAAATATGATACCCCCCCAAAATGCTAACCTCTCCTGTTATTGTAATGGTGCATCTTAGCCTATTGCATTTTAGCCTATGCAGCTCTGACAATGACATTGCTCATCCATATATTTATATATTCTTATTCCATTCCTTTCCTTAGATTTGTGTGTATTAGGTATTTGTTGTAGAACTGTTAGATTTTACTTGCTAGATATTGTTGCACTCTCGGAACTAGAAGCACAAGCATTTCGCTACACTCGCAATAACATCTGCTAACCATGGGTATGTGACCAGACCCGTCGCCAGACCTCAGTCTTAAGGGGGGCATATGAAATGCATGGGAGGGCAGGGCACAATTATTATTAGCCTACAGTACGTATATTTAATAAAAACTTCCCTCAAGTGGGGGGGGGGGGCACAAGCATTTTTGGGGGCGGGCCCGGCCCCCTATGGCCCGCCCATAGCGACGGATGTGTATGTGACCAATAGATTTGATTTGATTTGATTTTGATTTGGTGAGAGGTTAGCATGTCTTGGAGTTATGATATTTGCGCATCTGTAACGTTCTCACTCATCATTATTCACGATTCATTCAGGACTATCCATAATTATGGTAGCATCCACATTAATGTAGAAGTGTTTAAAAACATATTATATTCTTATTTACAATAAAAGTGACTCCAAAATGACACAATACATTATTTACCATTCATTTCTATTGGGCACAAAATAATCTGAAACACAACCAAAACAAACAGTGAATGCTTCTAATAAGTTTGTAGAGTCAAAAGCTTGATGTAATCATTGCCTGCTAGGAATTTGGGCCCAAATACTACACTTTTGACTACTATAATACACATATAAGTGAATTTGTCCCAATACTTTTGGTCCCCTAAAATGGGGGGACTATGTACAAAAGGTCCTGTAATTCCAAAACTGTTCCCCTGATATGGATGAAAATAGCCTCAAATTAAAGCTGACAGTCTGCACTTTAACCTCATAGTCATCGTATCATTTCAAATCCAAAGTGCTGGAGTAAAGAGCCTAAACAACAACAAATGTGTTACTGTCCCAATACTGTTGGAGCTCACTGTAACTGTTCTAACTGTTTATCGTGAAGCATAAGAATGAATGAGCTGCTGTTGGTAGTTTTTTATGCTTGAATGACTGACATGATAGTAAGGTTGTGGGAAAGACACATCACAGGCACGGTGCACTTACCTACTGTGTGTGTTTGTGTTAGTTTTGTTCAAAGCCTTTTGTTTCACTCACCAACAAAGGCAGGGATACTGTATGCCATAATGACATTCTCTTTTGTTGAACGAAGTGATCTTGTTTCTCATATTGTGTGTGTTTCAGTGATCCTGTTACGCTTCTTTCCAGAATGTACTGTCCCTGGCAAGGGAAACAGATAGACTATCCAACTTTCAAGAGGTTAGGTTAAATAAGAAGTAAATGGACACACAGCCATTACGAGGCTTATAAAATAAAATGGCCACATCTAGAACAAGCTGTTCTTAGGACGCGCTGCCTGCAACACGATATAGATAGTTGACACAGTAGCATATTGTCTCTCCTGGTTTTAATTCATGCAATTGGTTTATGAGGTGATCAAAGACAAAGAAGATGAAATGGTGATTTAGTGGGGTTGGGATCTTGGGTTCCAGGATTTATATGGTCATATAGAATAGATAGAGCTATACATGTGCCAGAGAGCTCCCCCCCCTCATGGACTATTATGAGGTGAAATTACTAGGTTTTCGAGTACACATAGCTGCTTGTAACAGAGAGAACAGGCCTGGATAGTTATTACAGTATCATAACAAACCCTAGAATAAAGATTTGCCCACCATAATGCTCAATTTGCCTATATCTTACTAACTCAACAAATACCTTGACCATTGACTCAATAATGACATTGACTTGCAAGGAACAGGGCTGTCAACAGCATCATGCATTTCGCTACACCTGCAATAACATCTGCTAAATATGTGTATGTGACCAATAACATTTTATTTGAAATGCATAGCAGTCTCCTCCAGGCTCAAGTCTAGACCATAAAAATGGAAACTGTCCCTCAGTTACAAGAGTGGCAGAAGTCACATCCATGTAATCAATTAGGTCTTTCGATTTACATGTCAATATACCCCACCAAATAGAATACATGGGGGTTCATCAGAACTTTAAGGGTTAATCGTTTGCGTTTGCGGTCCAGCTGTGATCACAGACCCGCCCATTCATCCAAACTCTGGGGAGAACGCGCAGGAGTCGCGTCTCCAACTGACACGGTCGAAAGCCAATGAAAAGCCTTAAAGTGAAAGTCATACTCTCGCATATCCAATGGGAACGCGCAAACGGCTGATTTTGGGAATCAGACTTCGTTGAATGAAAACCCAACAGCAACCAGCAATGGTAATAAACCGTCCGATTATGCCTGCCTGATCGATAGCGTACAATGCATGACTCCCTATCATAGCCCACTGGGAGTATGCTCAGATTTTTATTCTTCTTCTGGTCAGTCTGTTGTGTTATTCGACGTCGCAGGAATCCAAATAGGGGTTGAACTAGGACCAAACGCTGCGGTAACGTTGGGTGATGTGTGCTGCATGCATCGTATGGATCAAACCCGGATTGAGTCTTCAGGGATTTTGAGTGCAGTCGCTGGTGGGAAGCTGTTATGTGGTCGTGACAGCTCGTTAATTCTGGGCAGAGTTTGACATACAGATGCAGTAATAATACCGTGGAGAAACGTTTTTTTTTATTGCTCTGGCTTTTGTGTGTGTTTAAACGCGGAGTCTTCCTCTCACCCGCTGGTCAATAAAAGCGCGTGAGGGTCGGGATGTGATGGTTTCGCAATTGGGATGTAACCAACCAAGCATCGAAAAGGCTGCAATGAGATGCACAGGTTCACTTCTAGCCCTGAAGGAGACGCTCAACTAATGTAGTTTTGACATCGACATGGGATTATCACCCACATCATCACGTTTTTTCTTATAATTCGTTTTACATCAAGGCAAAAGAAAGTGCTTGGGGAAGTATAACAGATTCGCAACATGATAGATGTTGGTATGGCCAACTATTGGAGTTGTATAATCTTTTTATTCCATGGTCTTGGCCTATAATTAACAACATTTCTGCATACAGAGTTTATTTTTGGATTATAATCATTTATGTAAAACGAAGTCCTCCTGGAAATGTATTCTACACTAGAGATGTGTTTGTTGTTACAGCATATGTCCCAGATGACGTCTTATTTAATTGTTTTTAAGTGATTTTCCAGAGCATTTTACCAGCTGCCGCCAAGTTATCCCCAGTCATGAATAGGCCAATGCGTCACATTTTAAAATGTATCACGGACATACATTTGCCCTATCATAATGGACTTTTAAATGGACACATTTAATTGACTTCCTCTGATTGTTACCTCTGGAATTCAGTCATCACGGATTTCTCAGGAATTTCATAGACCAGTCATTGAAGAAAACATTGTAACAATGTAACAACATTGTAACAAGAACAGTAATTTGCACGAAATTGGCTTTTATAAGAAACTATAAGCAGGCACGTGTGTGGTCCTGTGTGTTGCTTTTTTATTTAATTTTTATCTGAGAAATATCATGTCCAGATCTAACAGTGTGAGCCCGCCCGGAGTCGGTGCGCCTGGGCTGAGGGGAGGGACTGAGCTCAGATCTGCTTGGGGCGAGTCTGAGTCTATTGCAAACGGATGCCCATACTCGGCTAGATTTCCGAGCAAAAAGCTCGCCCGGTCGAACAGCAGATGGAGGGAAGGAGATGATGATCCCGACCAGCAGCCCGGACCTGGACGAGCCACGACAACGGTTAGCAGGGTCAGTTTTAGGTCTAGATCTGCGTGGCAAGAGCATGGGACTGGGGAGGAGAGCCGAAACAACAACCGATCGTCCCCAAAGCACGCAGATGGAGCCGGGGAAGTGAGACCCAAATCGGTGGAGTTGGGCTTGGAGGACCGGAGAGTGAAGGGCTCCAAACCCGAGGAGGAACTCATGCCTGAAGTTCACCTTTCAATGGTCGCGTGCTGCAGCAGCGCGATGCAGATTTTCAGATCCAAGAAATTCCAATCGGAGAAGTTGGAGAGGCTGTACCAGCGTTACTTTTTCCGGCTCAACCAGAGCAGTTTGACCATGCTCATGGCCGTTTTGGTGCTCGTGTGCGCGGTCATGCTGACATTCCATTGCGCGGGGGGAGTATGCAGGATCACTTACGTGGTGGTCTTTTCCTTGGCCATCTTACTTATCCTCATATTGATGGTGGTGTGCAATCGGAACGGGTTTCATCAGGACCACATGTGGATAGTCTGCTATGTGGTCATTCTAGTCGTGCTGGTGGTACAAGTGATCGGGGTGCTGCTTGTGCAGCCGCAAAGTGCCTCTGAGGGAATTTGGTGGACCGTGTTCTTTATCCATGTCATCTACACGCTGCTCCCGGTTCGGATGCGGGCTGCAGTTATCACTGGAGTTATACTGTCTACCATCCATGTGGCCGTGTCTTGGAAGTTAAACGAAAGGGATGCCTTTATATGGAAGCAGGTAGGTCCTGTTTTATCACGTTTTTATCATGTATTAAGCATGCATAAATCGATCACTTTTACAGTAACTTCAAGCATGGATGAGTCTACCAAATAAAGTATATTTGGGGGAAATTCCATCAAGTGACAAGTGGCCTGTTTGGAGAAAACTTGCTGAGTCAAAGGCCTATTTTATTGCATATAATTCTAATTCTCACAATGTACCTAGCCTAGGCTACTCATTAGGAAATTAACACAGTAATTTGTCTCTCAATATTGCATTACTCATTTTTACTGTGATCGATTGTACATTTCACACATCGAATACCTTTTCACGGGACAGTGACTGACTGATAAAGATGCCGAGTTTGTCTTGAGATGCTACTGATGCTTGTTACTATGGAAACGGTCTCGATTGACCATTGCTCAGTTCCCTTGTTGTTATCATGGAGAAGACCATTAGTAAAAGCATTAATGTAATATATTAGAGAGAGGAAAAACACTTCTAAGAAGGAAAACAGAGCTCACTGGGTAAAACGGAAGTTTTAAGAATTTAGGTAAAATAACTGTTCTAGAAGAAGTTCTAGAATTATGGGTCAGAATGGAAGTGCCACAGATGGACATCCTCTTGAAGTGACAGTGTTGTTGACTGTTTAGGGTTTGTAGACTTGAGAAGAATTGGGTTGGAAACATGGGTTTATTTTGTTATATATATTTTGTAAACATTTCTAGGCTGTTTGGTTTTATTGTGTTATATGTCAATAACATGTTGAGGCCCCTGGCTCTATTTTATTCATTTTAAAAACTTTCACCACCAGAGCTGTGGTGACTGGGGCCAGCAATCTCTTGTTGTCAAATTGACAGGGGCTGAGCGATTTGTAGAAATTTGACGCTTGCCCTTTGCTGGCCCCAGTCAATTTGACAACAAGAGATTTGCTGGCCCCAGTCAATTTGACAACAAGAGATTTGCTGGCCCCAGTCAATTTGACAACAAGAGATGGTCAGATTTGTGTTGACCAATAAGAAGGCTACACCATTAGAATGCAATTTTGTGTGGACACAATACAATTTTTTGGGAAAGAATATTGGGAAACACTATCCACTATTACTGTAGATATATTAAGGACATTTTCTGAAATTACAATGTACATTTGTTACATATAGCTCCATTAAATAGTGAGGTCTGTTATAAAGAAGGAGCCCATCCCAATGGGTCTACATTTGTCATTTTATTCAAAGAGTAGAATCAAACTCAAAATGTCTATTACAATGCCAGAAGGAGCTTGTGTTTGAGATCCCCTCTCTCCGAGGCAGAACATGAAATTGTGCTTTGTATGTAGGATCCCAAAAACTATTCAGGGAGACTAGGGCTGCGTCCCAAATGGCACTATTCCCTATATAGTGCAATACATTTGAGCAGGGCCATTTGGAATGCACACTGGTAAATGCCTTTGGACTGGCAGTTCTTAATCTCAGTTTATCTTAGTAAAAGGAAAATATTAAAGTAAAAGGATACTAAACTAAAGCCTCTTCTGGTATTTCTATTCAGGACTGTAGCATGGGATTGATTTGAAAATACAATATTATACACACAGTTACAGAAAAAAGATAGAACAAGTATTTCAAAAGAAAAAGGATGACTTCACAGTGCCAAACCTCAAATACAGTGGCCTGGTGACCCATTGTGTGTGCCGCTGTGCCCTCTTTTGCTCGGCTCTGTTCTATCTCTCTCTCTCTCTCTTTCTTACTTTGTCATTTTCTGGCTTGTTCTCTCGCTCACTGTGTTTACCAGTCCCTGTACTACTTATAAACAGCCCTAACAATGGGCTCTTCCCAATAACTTCTTCTTTACAAACATGGGGAATGGTAACTGTGCATCAGTCCACCATTGAAGTTTAAGGGCTTGTAAATGAATTATTGAACCGTGGAAAAAAAGAAAATAACTCAAAAGCAAAACTTCACACAATACCGCCTCTTTCTTATAGGCTAGAATGGATCAGTTGTGTGTTGTGTTCCTTCCAACACAGCATTCTGGAATATTCTAATCCCCTTTCTTTTTCTTTTTTTGAAACTTTGATTATATTGGTCAGAGAGTGTTTGTGATACAGACATGTGACCCTATATCTAATTGCATTTTCTGTGAAAATATGCTATTTTTGAGATGAGTGTGTGGGAACAGGCTGTTGTAATTGTTTCTCTTTCCTCACGATCCTGTTGTTTTTAGCATATCAGACCTTTTTTTTTCACGTGAAAACATTATGATATGAAGGGGGAACATAGATACATTCATTATAATTCATGAGTTCAATCAAATGTTTAAACCTTTTATCATGCTTGGAGTCTTCACCCATTTGGCAAGAATTGTGTGACATAAAACAGTACCTTTCTTTCCTTACATTTATGATACTGCTGTTTGTCTTTACATCAAATACTAAGAATTTAACAATTGAATTACACATTGAACTTGATCCTGTAAAATTCCTGGATATTGCTGTTGACTCTTTTTTTGTATGGATATCTCGGAAGTGCACTCACTGTAACCTTGTAACATTTCGTATCTCCCTATGTTACAGTGTGAAAACAGTTTTCATTGGCACACATATCCAAAATAATGTATGGATTGCCAAATCGAATGCTTCTAACAGATTGAGTAACTTTAACAAGATGAATCAAACAAAAATCGATACTGTCATTAACAGGGTTCTTCAATAATTATGCATAATAGTTGTTTGATGCGCATTTGATGTCTAGCTGTTTAGTTATATGGGGAAATTATCACGCAACATCAGCTGATTCTGGAAAGGATTTTCTGAATGACAGTCAAGTGATAAAGAGCTAATGTGATACTGCACGCATTGAACAACAGCCAAAGTGCGGGAATTAATGTTGATCTGGAGAATTGACAGAACATTTAGGTGTCTATGTTGTAATGGCGGTCAAGATAACTAGCCTATGTCATGGACAACATTATGTCAAGATCATTGTAGTAAGATTATGGGCCGTGTACGTTTTGATCACTTGTTTCCCGAGTTAAAATGGAGCAATGGGGAACGTGAAAACAGCTTGTTTATTCCTTTTTTTATATAATGATTTAAAAAAGGCTTGTTTTTCGTTTTTACATATATATAAAAATTAAACAAACTTGATATTTCGATTTTCACATGTGGGTGGGGTTAAATGTTGTATGCCTTTCTTTGGTTAAGTGCACAGCCAACACTTCCTGTCCTTTCAAATTAGGAGTTCACCCTTCTAACTCCATTCTACGAATCTATGAATGTGTGATCTATTAATTAATCGATTAATAGCTGCCCATACTGTGCCACAATGCCAAGATAAAGTACGATTTCTCAATTTCTGCATAAGATTTAGTGTGTATTGACTTATTAATTAACTTATGTTACTGTAAATGGTTAGCTGACTGATATATCCTAGCTACCTAACTAACCATTGGTCATCTTATTCAATGATGCCATACTGCCAAAGCAGAAGTATCTATTGCTAGACTAGAGATATGCCCCAAGCTATAGTTAGTCAGTGGTTGCACATCTAACTAGCTGGAATGAAGCCAGGGTTTGAATAGTAGACATGTAAATATATCATTTCACTGTTTACAGCAGGTCTTCAGCTACCCAGAGCTGTCTGATCAGCCTGATAGGCTGTCGTGGGTGTGTCCAGCTTACACCTGTGCAAATCCATGTGTGTATAGCAATGGAATGAAACATCCAATCAATGCCTCGAGTTGTGCCGTAGGTCCACCACACACCCGGAGAGTTGTGGGGTCCTGTCCAGCAGCAACCCCTAGCCCCTACCCCTAGACACTTGTGGAGATCTTAGAGGATTGGACAGGTGTAAGCAATACTGCCAAAATTCCACCAAGTCTTTCAGAGGGTAAGGTGGAGCTCTCACCATGTCACCACCCATCAATCACTCTCAGATCTCCACAAGTGTCTAGACTCTGTGCAGTAAGGGCTAAGGGTTGTTTCTGGACAGGCCATGGGTATTATGGTAGCACAGTTTAGTTAAACATTTGATTTACTTCTTATTTTATGATATTTCCACACACTATGAGGTAGAGCCGGGATGATAACAGTATCACAATATTTTTTCCATGGCAAAAATTAAAACATGAAGCAGACCTACAGTTAGGGAAAAAAGTATTTGATCCCCTGCTGATTTGATATGTTTGCCCACTGACAAAGACATGATCAGTCTATAATTTTAATGGTAGGTTTATTTGAACCGTGAGAGACAGAATAACAACAACAAAAAATCCAGAAAAACGCATTTAAAAAATGTTATAAATTGATTTGCATTTTAATGAGGGAAATAAGTATCAGAAAGATTTCTGGCTCCCAGCTGTCTTTTATACAGGTAACGAGCTGAGATTAGGAGCACACTCTTAAAGGGAGTGCTCCTAATCTCAGCTTGTTACCTGTATAAAAGACACCTGTACACAGAAGCAATCAATCAATCAGATTTCAAACTCTCCACCATGGCCAAGACCAAAGAGCTCTCCAAGGATGTCAGGGACAAGATTGTAGACCTACACAAGGCTGGAATGGGCTACAAGACCATCGTCAAGCAGCTTGGTGAGAAGGTGACTACAGTTGGTGCGATTATTCGCAAATGGAAGAAACACAAAATAACTGTCAATCTCCCTCAGCCTGGGGCTCCATGCAAGATCTCACCTCGTGGAGTTGCAATGATCATGAGGACGGTGAGGAATCAGCCCAGAACTACACGGGAGGATCTTGTCAATGATCTCAAGGCAGCTGGGACCATAGTCACCAAGAAAACAATTGGTAACACACTACACCGTGAAGGACTTAAATCCTGCAGCGCCTGCAAGGTCCCCCTGCTCAAGAAAGCAAATATACATGCCCGTCTGAAGTTTGCCAATGAACATCTGAATGATTCAGAGGAGAACTGGATGAAAGTGTTGTGGTCAGATGAGACCAAAATCGATCTCTTTGGCATCAACTCAACTCGCTGTGTTTGGAGGAGGAGGAATGCTTCCGAGTGGCGCAGCGGTCTAAGGCACTGCATCTCAGTGCTTGAGGCGTCACTACAGACCACCAGGTTCGATTCCAGGCTGTATCACAACCGACCGTGATTGGGAGTCCCATAGGGCGGCGCACAATTGGCCCAGCGTCGTCCGGGTTTGGCCGGTGTAGGCCGTCATTGTAAATAAGAATTTGTTCTTAACTGACTTGCCTAGTTAAATAAAGGTAAAATAAAAATAAATCAATGCTTGAAGAGTTTACTGATTATAATGATTTAATAATTGTTTTTTATTATTGTCAATGATTTTGTTGTATTATATTATTGTATTATATTATTATATCAACTATTAAAACATATAGAAATGCTGTTGTTTATCTTTTTCATTCTTCAGGAATGTTTAGCATGGCTATAAATGATAGAGAAGTTGACTAAAGTACAAAAATACCTGGCAACTAGGCATGACAAAGAAACATGCGGTGTCCATGTTTCTTGTGACATTTGTAATGACATGTAGATGTTTTGTTTTTGCTAGGTGGAGTTATTGTCTCATTGTGCCTACCTATACTTTTATTCCTGTAACTACACATGTGAAGCTGCAAGAAAATCATATTTAAATGTATATCAAACCATTCTGACTCTGATGTCACACATTGGCCCCCTTATTTATAGATAGATCCATGTGTACTGCAATCAGGAAGTAATGTGCGTGGGAGTCTGGGAGAGATGGGCTTTGTAGTATTTTAAATGAATGCTGATGCTGTTCAGGTCCCCATTACAGATGTTTCATTAACCCTTTACACTCATACCCGTATATTTTGGCACAAAAGAAAAGCCTAGATTGGAACGCAGTGGCTGTACAGTAACATGCTATACATTACCTCAGAGCTCTGGCTCTTCGCTTCACAGCGCTGTATGGCTTTTGACTGACAGCCGTTCTGAACTTGAGCGCGACAAGTAGTTGCCCCCATCCCTCCTGCTAATTGGGCAACTTTAACAACATTTTTGTTGGCTGAGTGAGGGAAATGCTGTAAATTAAGAGGACTCTATGTATTTAGAAAGATGAGACGTTGAGGATTATAATAAATACCACTTAGATGTCATGCAAGCCAGCCAAACACCCATGAGTTCAAATGTGCACTTCATTTCCATATCATAAAACTCATGTCATATACAGTGTCAACGTTTATGATCACTATGTTTGATATACAGTTACAAGATGAAATGGCGTCATACCCTGGGTTGTTCTGAACAGAATGAGGCCATGTTTGTCTATTGTGAAAAATATTTTGCCGCAGCACACACACCTGAATGCATGCATGACTCCTTTCTATGCTCACCAAAATTATTACCAGTTTCTCTGAATTGCCTTGTGAAAGCCTAGCACTGTAATATCGTAGTTTATAACTTAGCTAGTCATGTTGGCAGTAGAACAAACTTTCAAATGATGCCCACCTGACCCAGATTGCGAATTATAATGGACCTATCACCTGCACATTGAGTGGAAGCCTTTTCTGTTCACATAGTTCAACTTGTTTTGGGATGGTGCTTTTAATGGCGATGTGGGTGCCGTCTATTGCGCCGTTCCTATTTGGGAACGGAATAGACATTATGCGATGGTGTATGTAAACAAAAGTAAACCTTGAATTTTGAGGTTTAGAATATCTCTGGTGGCCAAGTTGCCCTATTTTAAGAAATGCCATTGGTTGGTGGATATAAAATCTAAGATCTTTAATAGGCTGGTGTAGAATTTGTTACAGGAAATAACCACTGCAAGCTAGGTTAGCATAGGTCTAAATGTACCAGGTCATCTACTGGAAACAGCTAACGTGTAGTGTTTTATCACGTCAGCGATTTTAATTGGCTGATTAACATTTTGAGATGGAGAAAAGTCAAACTTAAACTTTTTCTAATGTTCGCAAGTATAGACCCACAAAGCACAGGTCAAAAGTTTAAGATTAGAACTCAAAAGGTTGGTTTCCCGAACACAGATTAGATCACTTTTATTTTTTACTTAATCTGTGTCCGGGAAACCAGACTTTCTTCATATTTGTAATTGGCTGTAATTTAGAGCAGACATTATTGGCTGCTTTGCCATTAAATTCTGAAACTAACGGAACGTTTCCACTTTTATAGCAGCTCTTATGAGCCTTTTTTGTGGATTTCTAGATTACCTCTTGGGTGCACCACTCAATTCAACTCTTCTGGCCAGTTGGCTGGTTTGACTATTGTAGATAAAGAGACACTGCTCACTTTACACAGTGCTCACTTACAAGCAATCTGTATTCAAATGTTTTGAAATGCTGCAATAAGCTTTTAGGATGCAATACAAGTTAGGCAATACATGGATGTGTGTGGCTACAAATCAATAGTAATAGTTATCATATTCAGACAGTTTGTGCAACATCTTTTGCAAAGAAAATAGAAAGATATTCATTGTGGTTTTCGGGCGTGAAATAACACAAGGCCTTTTCTGTCACTTTCTGTGAGCACTGTGTGCTAAACTGGGGTTAGCCTCTGAGCAACACAGACAGATGAAGCCTGGGGCTGGAAACTGGCCAGAGCCACTCTCTTTGTCCCTGATGATCTGGCAGTTAGCATGGAAGATAACAAACATCTAATCATCTTTCGGTTTCACTGTAGATTTCATTGTTCTCCAATGGCTTTTTTTCTCCTGAAACTCTAATTGATTAGTCAAAATGTCTGTTAGAATGAGATCTCTATATGAACCTCGTTTGTTCTCATTTCTACCAGAGCTCTCATCAAATCAAATAAAAGCTTATTTGTCACATGCTTCGTAAACAACATGTGTAGACTAACAGTGAAATGCTTACTTACGGGACCTTTAACAACAATTCAGAGTTAAAGATAAAACAAAACAAAAAAATGAAATAGTGACACGAGGAATAAATACACAGTGAATAACGAATAACAATAATGAGTAAAAAATAACATGGCTATTTGTAGAGAGTACCAGTACCGAGTCAATGTGCAGGGGTACGAGGTAATTGAGATATCACATGATTTTGTGTCACCATAGAGAAAATGGCAGGAGGGAGAAGTGAGGTCATACTTTGTCTAACAACTTATGTATTGTCATGTAACCCAAACACCCTAGGCATTGTTGGCTGGAAAAAAAACAGGATTGCTCCATGGCACCACACTGTATTGTACCACAGAGTCATCCACCATATAGAAAACACATTTGTCCCGGCCCAGTCATGACCTCTGTGTAACCCCTAGTGTGTGTCCCTGACATGATTGTCCATCCACACTGTGTTGACATTGAAGCTGCCTCATGGTGTGAAAGTAACAAGTGTTAACTCCCCACCTATCCTCTCTACTCTCCTCACCACTCTCCAGGATGAACTTGTTATCCCTTATATGGTGCCTGCCAGGCAAATAAACCATCCTCTTCCCTGTATGATATTCAAATTCATTTTTTTGTCATTTTGAGTACAGTCTTCTAACTAACTCTGTCTGATTGCCTCTATACAAAGCTTAAATAGTAACTTTCATGATGTATTTTTATTTTTATCGAAACCCAGATGTTTTCGGCAAAAGTGATATATTTTGGTATTTTAGTATTAAATCTAGCAGATTTTCCCACTAGCGATTCAACTCTTACCATTGAAATCGTGATGTAGAGGCACCTACACTATATATAAAAAAGTATGTGGACACCCCTTCAAATTAGTGGATTCAGCTATTTCAGCCACACCCATTGCTGACAGGTGTATAAAATCGAGCACACAGCCATGCAATCTCCATACACAAACATTGGCAGTAGAATGGCCTTAATGAAGAGCTCAGTGACTTTCAACGTGGCACCGTCATAGGATGCCACCTTTCCAAAAAGTCAGTTCGTCAAATTTCTGCCCTGCTAGAGCTGCTCCGGTCAACTGTAAGTGCTGTTATTGTGAAGTGGAAACGTCTAGGAGCAACAACGGCTCAGCCGCGAAGTGGTAGGTCACACAAGCTCACAGAACGGGACCACCGAGTGCAGAAGCGCGTAGCGTGTAAAAATCGTCTGTCCTCGGTTGCAACACTCACTACTGAGTTCCAAACTGCCTCTGGAAGCAACATCCACACAATAACTGTTCGTCAGGAGCTTCATGAAATGGGTTTCCATGGCCGAGCAGCTACACACAAGCCTAAGATCACCATGTGCAATGCCAAGCGTCGGCTGGAGTGGTGTAAAGCTCGCTGCCATTGTACTCTGGAGCAGTGGAAACGCGTTCTCTGTAGTGATGAATCACGCTTCACCATCTGGCAGTCAGACGGACAAATCTGGGTTTGGCGGATGCCAGGAGAATGCTACCTGCCCCAATGCATAGTTCCAACTGAAATGCTTGGTGGAGGAGGAATAATGGTCTGGGGCTGTTTTTCATGGTTCGGGCTAGGCCCCCCTCCTCCTTGCTCGGGCAGGTTTCGGCGTTCGTCGTCACCGGCTTACTAGCCACTACCGCTCCATTTATCATCACCCCATTTGTCTTGTCTTGTCTTGTCAATCACACACACCTGGTACTTATTCCCTCATTAGTCTGTGTATAAGTGTTCCCTCTGCCCCCTTGTCCTTTGTGAGTGATTGTTCATTGTGTGAGTGAGTAGCTCGGTTGAGCTACTCTTTCCTTGTATGTAGCCAAGGTAGATTTTTCCCTTGTGCTAGTTTCGTTTTGACGCTTGCTGCGCTTTATTCATGTACACTGAATAAACTCTGGATTTCGGTGTTTTACCTCCTGCGCCTGACTCCGTCATTCACACCTCATCAAAGAATCACTCACCTCTATGGAGTCAGCAGGAGAGGTGCGCATGCCTGGAATAGTGGCAAGGGTCCAGGAACATTCCACTATGCTGGCCAGCTTGGGGGAAGCGATGGATCGGGTTCTTCAGGTCGTCCAACGCCTGGAGAGAAGAGGAACCGATCCTTCGAGACCAGCTGGCCAACCGGATCCAGCCACCTACATCACAGCACCCGAAGGGAGATCCAGATATCTCGACCACGGGCATTCGATGGGACGCCGGCTCTATGTCAGGGATTCCTTCTCCAACTGGAGCTGTACTGCTCCAGTGTCAGGCCGGCGCCATCAGATCGAGAGCAGGTGTCCGTCCTCATTTCCTGCCTCTCGGGGAAAGCCCTGGAGTGGGCCAACGCGGTTTGGAGAGAAGGAGGAGCCGCATTGGAGGACTACAGGTAGTTTTCGATCACCCGCCCGAGGATCGAGAGGCGGGTGAGCAGCTGTTCCACTTGAGGCAGGGGACGAGGACAGTACAGGAGTTTGCGCTGGAGTTCCGGATTCTGGCAGCAGGATCCGGGTGGAACGAGCGGGCCCTGATCAACCAGTTCCGGTGCCATCTACGGGAGGACGTCCGACTGGTGGACATGGCCATTCGTCTGGATAACCTGCTGGCAACCAGAGGACGTCCTGATCAACCACACGTTGTCGTCAGCGCTCTTTTGGGTCAGGAGGCGGCTGGCAGGGCACTCTCGCATCACCCCAGGTATTGAGCACCCACACTTGTTCAGAGCCCTCTGCTGCGCACTGTACCATACCCATATACTTCCCTGATTACATGAGAGTTCCCAAGTGAAAGGCGCTAGTAGATTCAGGCGCAGCTGGGAACTTTATGGTTAAACTTTCGCACGCCGCCAGGGCATTTTATTAGTTCCCCTATCCATTCCACGCCCCATCAGAGCACTTGATAGTCGACCATTAAGGTCCGGGTTGATAAAGGAAGTCACGGTACAAGTCACCATGATCACACAGGAGACGCATTGTGAGCAGGTCACTTTTTCCATCATTGAGTCTCCTGCTTTCCTTGTGGTGTTAGGTATTCCGTGGCTAGCACTCCACAACCCCACTTTCTCATGGCCGCAGAGGGTTCTCACAGGGTGGTCGCGAGAGTGTCAGGGTAGGTGTCTGGGTGTTTCCGTTGGTGCAACCACCGTGGAAAGTCCAGACGGTGCCTCCACCGTGCGCATTCCCCACGAATACCATGATCTGGCACAAGTTTTCTCCAAGAATAAAGCAACTAAATTGCCACCTCATCGGGCGGGGGATTGCGCAATAAACCTTTGGGTAGACGCTGTACCTCCCAGCAGTCATGTATATCCCCTGTCGCAGGCAGAGACGGAGGCTATGGAGACATATGTCACCGAGTCCCTGCGCCAGGGGTACATACATCCCTCCACTTCACCCGCCTCCTTAAGTTTCTTTTTTGTGAAGAAGAAAGACGGCGGTCTGCGCCCGTGCATTGACTATCGACCACTGAACAAGGAGACGATTAGATTGAGTTATCCTCTCCCCCTCATTCCATCAGTGGTTGAGTCATTGCATGGAGCGCGCTTCTTCACTAAATTAGATCTCAGGAGTGCGTACAACCTGGTGCGTATCAGAGCGGGAGATGAGTGGCATTCAGCACAATGACGGGGCATTATGAACACCTGATGCCCTATGGTTTGATGAATGCTCCCTCAGTCTTCCAGTCCTTTGTGAACGAGGTGTTTCGGGACATGCTTGGTCGCGGTGTAGTGGTCTACATCGATTACATCTTGGTGTATTCCGCTACGCGCGCCGAGCATGTGTCTCTGGTTCGCAAAGTACTGGCCCGACTGTTGGAAAATGACCTTTATGCTAAGGCAGAAAAGTGTATGTTTTTCCAGCAGTCCGTCTCCTTCCTCGGATACCGCATCTCTACCACAGGTGTGGAGATGGAGGGCGACCGCATTGCAGCCGTGCGTAATTGGCCGACTCCAACTACGGTAAAGGAGGTGCTGCGCTTCCTTGGCTTCGCCAACTATTATCGGAGGTTTATCCGGGGCTTTGGCAAGGTCACAGCTCCCATTGAAGGAGCTGTTGAAGGGTGGGCTGTCCCGGCTCCGCTGGTCTGCTGAGGCTGACAGGGCCTTCAGTAACCTGAGGGAACTGTTCACCTCGGCCCCGGTACTGGCCCACCCCGATCCATCACTACCGTTCGTAGTGGAGGTGGATGCGTCCGAGGTTGGGATGGGAGCAGTCCTGTCTCAACGCTCGGGCACGCCACCCAAGCTCCGCCCCTGTGCGTTCTTCTCAAAGAAGCTCAGCCCGGCGGAGCAGAACTACGGCGTTGGTGATCGGGAGCTGTTGGCTGTTGTCAGAGTGTGGAGACATTGGCTCGAGGGGGCGAAACTCCCATTCCTCGTCTGGACGGACCACCGTAACCTGGAGTACATCCGGGCAACGAGGAGGCTGAACCCTCGCCAGGCCAGGTGGGCCCTATTCTTCACCCGGTTTGATTTCACACTGTCATACATTCCGGGTACAAAGAACGTGAAGGCAGACGCACTGTCCCGGCTGTATGATACAGAGGAGAGGCCCAGAGACAATACCCCCATACTGCCAGACTCATGCATTGTGGCGCCGGTAGTATGGGCGATGGATGCGGATATAGTGCAGGCATTACACGCCTGTGCTTATCCGTGATCGTCTGATCTACTGGGCACACACGTCACCCTCCTCTGGTCACCCAGGTATCGGTCGTAGAGTGCGCTGCCTGACCGAAAAGTACTGGTGGCCTACCTTGGCTAAGGACGTGAGGGTGTATGTTTCCTCCTGCTCAGTGTGCGCCCAGAGTAAGGCACCTAGGCACCTCCCAGCAGGTAAGTTAAAACCTTTACCAGTTCCACAACGACCATGGTCTCATTTGAGTGTTGATTTTTTAACTCATCTACCTTTCTCTCAAGGGAACACCACCATCCTGGTCGTTGTGGACCGCTTTTCGAAGGCCTGCCGCCTCCTTCCTCTGCCCGGTCTTCCCACGGCTCTGCAAACTGCGGAGGCCCTGTTTACACACATCTTCCGGCACTACGGGGTTCCAGAGGATATAGTGTCCCCAGTTCACGTCAAAAGTCTGGAAGGCGTTCATGGAACGTCTGGGAGTCTCGGTCAGCCTGACCTCTGGGTTCCACCCTGAGAGTAATGGGCAGGTGGAACAGGTAAATCAGGATGTGGGTAGGTTCCTGAGGTCCTATTGCCAGGACCGGCCGAGGGAGTGGTCGGTGTTCCTGCCATGGGCAGAATATGCCCAGAACTCTCTCCGCCACTCCTCTACGAACCTAACGCCATTTCAGTGTGTTTTAGGTTATCAACCGGTTCTGGCACTGTGGCACCAGAGCCAGACCGAAGCTCCTGCGGTGGTCGACTGGTTTCGGCGCGCGGAGGAGACGTGGAACGCTGCCCATGTTCACCTCCAACCTCCTGAGGAGAGTCAACGAGGTTATTACTCCCCCCTGATTACCGTATAAACCCCTCGTTTCATGTGTCTTTCTTCAGGCCGGTGGTAGCTGGTCCGCTCCAGGAGTCTGAGGTGCGGGAGGTCCCTCCACCTCCTTTGGACATCGAGGGGGCGCCGGCGTACTCTGTCCGTTCCATACTGGATTCGAGGCGCCGGGTGGGGGGCCTTCAGTACCTCGTGGAGTGGGAAGGGTATGGTCCGGAGGAACGGTGCTGGGTCCTGGTGAGGGATATCCTCGATCCCTCTCTGCTGAGGGACTTCCATCGTCGCCATCCGACTCGCCCTGCTCCGCGTCCTCCTGGCCGTCCCCGAGGCCGGTGTTGGCGCGCTGCTGGAGCTGCGCGTCAAGGGGGGGGGGGGGTACTGTCACGAATTCAGCCGAGGCTGCGCCTCCTCCTTGCTCGGGCAGGTTTCGGCGTTCGTCGTCTCCGGCTTACTAGCCACTACCGCTCCATTTATCATCACTCCATTTGTCTTGTCTTGTCTTGTCAATCACACACACCTGGTACTCATTCCCTCATTAGTCTGTGTATAAGTGTTCCCTCTGCCACCTTGTCCTTTGTGAGTGATTGTTCATTGTGAGAGTGAGTAGCTCAGTTGAGCTAGGCCTTTCCTGTTTCAGCATGACAATGCCCCCGTGCACAAAGCGAGGTCCATACAGGAATGGTTTGTCGAGATCAGTGTGGAAGAACTTGACTGGCCTGCACAGAGCCCTGATCTCAACCCCATTGAACACCTTTGGGATGAATTGGAACGCCGACTGTGAGCCAGGCCTAATCGCCCAAAAACTGGTTGAATTAACGTTGTTTCCACATCACTTCAACCCCCCAAAAATCAATGTGTTGATGTTGAATCAATGTGGAAAACTGATTGGATTTTTAAAAATCATCAACCTAAGGGAATTTAGCCTAAATCCAATGACATCGTGAATAATGTTTTTGATTTCACATTAGTTGACAGCTCAACCAAATGTAAATCAAAACTAGACGTTGAACTGACGTCTGTGCCCAGTGGGTCAACCCTTCCTGTGCTTATAAAGCAGGGTTCAAGCCAAGGGAATGAGTTGTATTAGATGGGACAATATGTGTGACCTAGAAGTCAAATCATATGAAGTCAATGTGTGGAAGTAAAATCATTTTGTGGTTGTAGTGTAGGCTAGTGTCTGATCATGTCCTCTGTGGTATTCAGGTGTTTGCACAAAGGTCCATCTGCAGCATAGGCTACCTAGCCTACTTATTTGGTGAATGTTGGTCTCCTATTGTGTGAGTTGTATTCATCTAGACTTCTTTGGGAGATTGCAGTAAAAGGTAAACCTGTGGTCAAACAATGTTATTTGTTCCCATAGTGATGAACACAAATATTACAAATATTTTGTACCATGAGTAGATATGGATCCCACCTGTCTGATTGTGAGATATATTTGCTAGTTGTCAAACATGTTAACTGCTTGACAACAGGAGAATTAGTCCAGAATTCTTGAACCAACTGCCATCTGATTACATAAACAAAATGGTCAGTGATGGCTAACATTTACATTCTTATGTCCATAGAGTGAAATGTGTTGCCATATAGTCTTTATCATTTAGAGAACATGCTAATGTTGGCACAGTGTTGTGGGACTTTCTTCCTCTGTGTATTGATGCATATTTCCTTTCCTCAGTGTTTGTGCTGCTAAATCAACATCTCTTTAAACCATTATTCATCATAGCTGATTGATGCTGAGAGGGAGGGCTGATTGATGCTTAGAGGGAGGGCTGGAGCGTGGGGAATTCATAAAGCAAAATAATAATAATATTAATTATATCCATCGGAAGATTAGCTGGGGAGTACTTCTACCACCAATATAGTATTCACATGAGTGTCTCTGGGCTAGCCAAGCACATGGCTGTCAATTATTTCTCAGTGGCGAGGAATGACTCAACGACTGCTAGCTAAGCTGCTAATTATCCTCCATAGTTAACCCTGTTCTGTTTTGCAATGTTATTGCTAGCTGTTGACAGCTCTGGTCCCTCATATTGGCTATAGTGTGCCTCGCAAATGGTACCCTATTCCTTATATGTGCACTTACCAGGGCCCTGGTCAAAAGTAGTGCACTATATAGGGAATAGGGTGGCATTTGGGACACAGAGAAGCACATAGATTGTTCCATAGGGTTTCTCTGGAGGCTTTCTTGTTAATAAGCCTCCATTAATGAATCAGTGGTTTAAATGGGAGCTGTGTCCTCTGTCCTCCTAGCGTTGTCCTTTATCTGATTTGACTGTAATTCACAGCCAGGCAGAGCAGAGAAGATATTTCCTCTTGATGACATGCTGTGGAGGTGACCTCTGGTTGGGGTATTTGAGGCCAACAAGAGCCTGGATGGCTTGCCTCAGTGAACTAACAGTCTTTGGGGCAAGAGGAGAGCAGAGAGAACAATGTCCTTGCACCCACTGTAAAGTATTTTTGTAACAAGGTGTGTTGTAACAAAGTTTGTGTGTGATCAAGGTGGGTTACCAAATCAGATGCTGTTGAGTTATTTTATCTCAAGTTAAAATCTCAGCCCTGAATGCTTGATTATTCTTGAAGTGATGTAAGCTAGACCTATTAAGCTTGGATGCTACTTGGTCTCACATACTCCTAATTCTCAATCTCTCCATTTTCTTCTCCTGGGAGGGACTGCAGCAGTTTTGACCATTTTATGATCTGAGGGGTAGTAAAACAACGACTTGTCCCGTATGTCCCAAATGTCACCCTATTCCCTACATATTGTACTACTTCTGACCAGAGCCATAAGTTCCTAAACTTGCAGAATGGCAGAGCTATCCTTCAGCACCACAAGTTGGTTCAACTTCTTTAACATCATTGCATGATCCTGGCTCTGTCCGTTCAGCACCACGAAGGGCACTCCAAAACGACATCTCATCAAGATCGGTTGTTTACACCTAATAGTCATACTCATCACTTATTATTATTACAAATAGAAGATTATCACTTCTCACAATGGTGCTTGTTTAGTAAAGTTAGATCAAAGCTGAATCAATCGGATATAATAGCATAGCATAGTAGGCCTATAACTTTACTGTTACACCTAAAACACCTCCTCATTTCTAATGAGATTTTAGGATGGTTAGCTGAAGCTGAATAGTCCCCCAAAAATGATCATGCACCAAAACTCAACAGAGCGTGCCACTAGGCTGGATATACAGTATGCCTTGATTGAAACAAAATACAAGAAAGGCTAATAGTTTGTTAACACCATCGGCTATAATTCACTCACGAAACAGTAATTCAAGAAGATCTAAATACATATTCCCACGAAACTGATTGAGATCAATCAAATGATAGGCATGGAGATGCAGTTTGGACGTTTCACCGGTAAAACGTGAAGAATTATCATTCACGATTGACAGTGATGATGGCCTATTTTGAAGTTAGGTAGCCTATGCCTAACTTGGTGTTTGAGGGTATTGAAAATTGAACATTTCCTTGAGACAATATGTGTGGGCATAGTCAGACATTGCAATTGGAGGATGCATTTTATGCATATTCTATAATGATAGGCTATTCAATTGGCTACATCTGTCAGTACAAACAATGATTGAGGAAATTATGATGTAATAAAAAAATTATAATGCGCTCCCTATCCTAACAAATAGCACTTCACCACTGATGTTGACGCAAGCCGGTCTGGTTCCTCACTGACCAAGTTGGGTCTGGCTGGCTCTCTGGTTCTCTCGTCTTTGCCTGATCTGAGTACCAAAAGTAACAAGTCCATTACAGAAAGACGGGTATGCCCTGGCCGCTCGTAAACACATCTGTTCTGTTCTCTGGGGTCTGAGGTTTGGCTCGCTGTCCACTGCTCCAGTCCACACAATACCAGACACAGAGTCTCTCAGCCAGCCATGACTAGGAGAGGAGTACACTACATGGCCTTGATATCAACTGTTCCCATAGCCTGGTCCCAGATCTGTTTGTGCTGTCTTGTTGTGTGGTGTTAAAATGAGCATAGGATTTGGTAAGACAGCACAAACAGATCTGGGACCAGGCTACTGTTCCAAACTTCCCACAGGGAACACACTACTAACCACAATGGCTCTTGTGGCTCAACCTCAGTGTAGCCCCTTGCATGGACAGATCTCCTGGCAACAGTGTGGTTCCAGATGTGTATTTCTCTAACATTTGGGGAATATGAGTGTCTCTAAAGAGGCAAAATAATGCAGTTGTGGTTTAAAAATATGTTTTGCAATAAAAGTAACATGACAGACGCTGAGAGACTGCTGGATGGAACATTGTTTTTGTGGGTCTCCTATTTCCAGACCTGGATTCAAAAAGTATTTTGTTTTCTTTACAATAAAGAAAAGGTTTTAGCTGTGCTTAACTGAGCTTGCCCGGCTAAATCAAACCAATGAAATAGTCCTAAAAGTGCAAACCCCGCCCATCTGGCATTCGAGACAGGCTCAATCAAACACCTCAAAGTATTTGAAAAAACTAAAAATGTATTCTATTTGAACCCAGGCCAGCTATTTATGGAGGGACATGATCAGCTGAGTTTTTTTGTTTGCCTGGCCGATGTTTTCCTGCTTGGATCTCACTCGCTGTCCCTGACTCCATAATAATGAGCTAGCTAAGGGAAAAGTACACAGGATTCAGGGTCCAGGAGGACAACAGAGCTCACTGGTCCCAAATGGCACCTTATTCACTATATAGTGCACTACTTTTATGGGCTCTGGTCAAAAGTAGTGCACTTTACAGTGACTCGGGTACCATTTCAGATGCAGCCTGTCTCTACTATATTCTATAAGGCTAGCAGATGGAACTGGCATCTGATCTCATGGCTTAAAACCTCATGAATACAGGAGCGCTTGTTTGTGCCTGGCCCTGCTTGGATAAAGCAAGCCAGGTCTATGATATCTAGCGAAACGGTAGGCTGGTGTACCGTCTGCCTGCATGTTTGTTTTCTGTTCTGCTTCCTCTGTGAGCCCATATGCTTAGTAATGTAAGCAGATCCCTTGATTGGACAAGGGATCATGTCTGCATCCCAAATGGCACCCTATTCCCTATATAGTGTACTGCTTTTGACCAGGGCCCATAGGGGAAAGGGTGCCATTTAGGATGCAGTCCTTGCATCGTTATTGGTCCAGGTGATGATAGCAGGGCATAGATTTACTGGCAGGGCTCAGGTATAAGCACAGTTACAGATATCTTTAGCCACGGTACTGACTCATGAAACCGTACTACCTAGATGAAGTTGCATATACAGTGCCTTCGGAAAGTATTCAGACCCGTTGACTTTTTCCACATGTTGTTACTTTACAGCCTTATTCTAAAATTGAATAAATAAATAAATGTCCTCAGCAGTCTACACACAATACCCCATAATGACAAAGCGAAAACAGGTTTTTAGATTTTTTTGCAAATGTATAAAAATAAATAAATGGAAATACCTTATTTACATAAGTATTCAGACCCTTTGCTATGAGACTCGAAATTGAGCTCAGGTGCATCTTGGTTTCCATTGATCATCCTTGAGATGTTTCAACAACTTGATTGGAGTCCACCTGTGGTAAATTCAATTGATTGGACATGATTTGGAAAGGCACACACCTGTCTATATAAGGTCCTACAGTTGACAGTGCATGTCAGAGCAAAAGCCAAGCCATGAGGTCGAAGGAATTGTCCGTAGAGCTCCGAGACAGGATTGTGTCAAGGCACGGATCTGAGGAAGGGTACCAAAAAATGTCTGCAGTATTGAGGGTTCCCAAGAACACAGTGGCCTCCATCATTCTTAAATGGAAGAAGTTTGGAACCACCAAAACTCTTCCTAGAGCTGGCTGCCCGGCCAAACTGAGCAATCGGGGGAGAAGGGCCTTGGTCAGGGAGGTGACCAAGAACCGAATGGTCACTCTGACAGAGCTCTAGAGTTCCTCTGTGGAGATGGGAGAACCTTCCAGAAGGACAACCATCTCTTCAGCACTCCACCAATCAGGCCATTATGGTAGAGTGGCCAAACGGAAGTCACTCCTCAGTAAAAGGCACATGACAGCCCGCTTGGAGTTTGCCAAAAGAAACCTAAAGACTCTCAGACCATGAGAAACAAGATTCTCTGGTCTGATGAAACCAAGATTGAACTCTTTGGCCTGAATGCCAAGCATCACGTATGGAGGAAACCTGGCACCATCCCTACGGTGAAGCATGATGGTGGCAGCATCATGCTGTGGGGATGTTTTTCAGCAGCAGGAACTGGGAGACTAGTCAGGATCGAGGCAAAGATGAACGGAGCAAAGTACAGAGATATCCTTGATGAAAACCTGCTCCAGAGTACTCAGGACCTCAGACTGGGGCGAAGGTTCACCTTCCAACAGGACAACAACCCTAAGCACACAGCCAAGACAATGCACGAGTGGCTTCGGGACAACTCTCTGAATTTCCTTGAGTGGCCCAGCCAGAGCCCGGACTTGAACCCGATCGAACATCTCTGGGGAGACCTGAAAATAGCTGTGCAGCAACTCTCCTCATCCAACCTGACAGAGCTTGAGAGGATCTGCAGAGAAGAATGGGAGAAACTCCCCAAGTACAGGTGTGCCAAGCTTTTTTATTTTTAATACATTTCTAAAAAACGTTTTTTGCTTTGTCATTATGGGGTAATGTGTGTAGATTGATACATTTTTGAATAAGGCTGTAACGGGGCGTTCTGAATACTTTCCGAAGGCACTGTAGTTGAGCTTGTTTCAGTAGGCATACATCTCTAGGAGATGAAAATTTGATTATTAGGGTAATTACTATGTAATTATTATCAAATGATCATTTTACCATGTCATTTCTAAGAAATGCCATTTCTAAGAAAATACCTGGCAGTTCACAGTAAAAGGAAGAAGCTGAGGCAACACTGATTTCATCTCCTCATATGATTCATGGCTGTGAACTCACAGATGTCTCCTCAGAATGTATTGAAGAACAAACATTTCAAAATTAGAAAAATGTCCATTAATTATAATCCACAAAATAATCTACATTTCCTCTTGCTGCAGGATTATTTTAGCCTCGTACGAACCATCCTGATCTCGAAAGCTTACATTCTGTTTTGCTACAGGCTAGGATTATTTTACTGTTTTAGCAAACTGGCTCAAATTAAGATCCTACATCTGTACACTAGTGCTATGGCATAGTTTACAGGGTGTTATTGTTAAGGTTATGAGAAGACACCATTACGACCATTATGTGCCATTATGCTAATTACATACAGATAAGGAATTGCATTATATTACCATGACTAATACAGTAAAATTATACTCAGGTTGGTGTGAGGGAGTGAGGGAACGGATTCACTTTCTTATTTTTTGGAAGAAAGGAAAAGCACTCCGGTGAAAATTCACAATGAGTGCATTTAAACTAAGATGGTCAAATGGTTTTGCTGCAGGATACGTTTTTGAAAGAGTTCCAGTGTTGGATAGCCATAGCCAGCTAGCATAGCATCCCTCTCTGTTTGAACCAGGTGTTTGAGTAGACTAAACTAGCTAGCTGCATTTGCTAGCTCAGTGAAAGTGAAAGTAAAGAAAATACAACCAAATATAGCTAGCTCTCTCTCTCTCTCTCTCTCTCTCTCTCTCTATCTCTCTCTCTCTCTCTCTCTCTCTCTCTCTCTCTCTCTCTTGCTTTTCCTTAATTTTTGAAGAAATTAATTTGTTCAAAACTGTTCAACTATTGTCTTTCTCTCTCTTTGAGTCAACTACTCACCACATTTGATCCACTGCAGTGCTAGCTAACTGTATCTTATGCATTCAGTACAAGATTAATTATCTGATCCTTTGATTGGGTGGACAACATGTCAGTTCATGCTGCAAGAGCTCTGATAGGTTGGAGGACGTCCTCCGGAAGTTGTCATAATTACTGTTTAAGTCTATGGAACGGGGCGAGAACCATGATGTTTAGTATTGAAGTCAATGTACCCAGAGGAGGACAGAAGCTGGCTGTCCTCCGGCTACACCATGGTGCTACCCTACAGAGTGCTGCTTAGGCTACTGTAGACCTTCATTGCAAAACAGTGTGTTTTAATCAATTATTTGGTGACGTGAATATGTTTAGTATAGTTTTATCTAAAAAGGATAACATATTTAATATTTCAAAATTTTTATTTTTATGAAATTCACTGTTGAAGATGGTCCTCCCCTTCCTCCTCTGAGGAGCCTCCACTGAATTCTATGTAAAAAAATAAGTATGTTTTTCTGCATAGGTTATCTAAGTATACCTCTTAACCAGTTCAGTTGTCATTTTAATTAATGATGCACATTGATTATTTAAGAACTTATGCCTTAGGAGTTTAGTACAACTGCCACACTGGTCTATAGTATCATAACACAATAATTAAAGCAAGTTTTTTATTTTCTAAAGTCTAGCAATCTTACCAGCAGGCATACCAGCTAAGACAGTTAGACAAGCTAGTCTAACTTGATTGATAGCCTGAAATGGCTTGGTAGCTAGTTGGGAGAGGTTGGGAGATTGGGAACCTATCATTAGACTTGGGGTGGGGTAGTGAGAAACTCTGGCGGAAAAATGGGGTCCGCGCTGAAAAGGTTTGAATACCATACTGAACAAAAATATAAATGCAACACGTAAAGTGTTTGTCCCATGTTTCATGAGTCGAAATAAAAGATCCCCAATTTTTTCCATATGCACAAAAAGCTTATTTCTCTCCAATTTTGGGCACAAATTTGTTTACATACACTACCGGTCAACAGTTTTAGAACACCTACTTATTCAAGGGTTTTTCTTTATTTTTACTATTTTCTACATTGTAGAATAATAGTGAAGAAATCAAAACTATGAAATAACACATATGGAATCATGTAGAAACCAAAAAAGTGTTAAACAAATCAAAATATATTTTATATTTGAGATTCTTCAAATAGCCACCCTTTGCCTTGATGACCGTTTGCACACTCTTGGCATTCTCTCAACCAGCTTCATGAGGTAGTCACCTGAAATGCATTTAAATTAACAGGTGTGCCTTCTTAAAAGTTCATTTGTGGAATTTTTTTCTTCTTAATGCGTTTGAGCCAATCAGTTGTGTTGTGACAAGGTGGGGGGTATACAGAAGATAGCCCTATTTGGTAAAAGACCAAGTCCATATTATGGCAAGAACAGCTCAAATAAGCAAAGAGAGACAACAGTCCATCATTACTTTAAGACATGAAGGTCAGTCAATATGGAACATTTCAAGAACTTTGAAAGTGCAGTCGCAAAAACCATCAAGCGCTATGATGAAACTGGCTCTCATGAGGACCACCACAGGAATTGAAGACCGAGAGTTACCTCTGCTGCAGAGGATAAGTTAATTAGAGTTACCAGCCTCAGAAATTGCAGCCTAAATAAATGCTTCACAGAGTTCAAGTAACAGACACATCTCAACATCAACTGTTCAGAGGAGACTGTGTGAATCAGGCCTTCATGGTTGAATTGCTGCAAAGAAACCACTACTAAAGGACACCAATAAGAAGAAAATACTTGCTTGGGCCAAGAAACACGAGCAATGGACATTTGTCCTTTGTCTGGAGTCCAAATTGGAGATATTTGGTTCCAACTGCCATGTTTTTGTGAGACGCGGTGTGGGTGAACGGTTGATCTCCGAATGTGTTTTTCCCAGCGTAAAGCATAGAGGAGGAGGTGTTATGGTGTGGGGGTGCTTTGCTGGTGACACTGTCGATGGCGATACGCCATCCCATCTGGTTTGGGCTTAGTGGGACTATCATTTGTTTTTCAACAGGACAATGACCCAACACACCTCCAGGCTGTGTAAGGGCTATTTGACCAAGAAGGAGAGTGATGAAGTGCTGCATCAGATGACCTGGCCTCCACAATCCCCCGACCTCAACCCAATTGAGATGGTTGGGATGAGTCGGACAGCAGAGTGAAGGAAAAGCAGCCAACAAGTGCTGAGCATATGTGGGAACGCCTTCAAGACTGTTCGAAAAGCATTCCAGGTGAAGCTGGTTGAGAGAGTGTGCAAAGCGGTCATCAAGGCAAAGGGTAGCTATTTGAAGAATCTCAAATATAAAATATGTCTTGATTTGTTTAACACTTTTTGGTTACTACATGATTCCATATGTGTTATTTAATAGTTTTGATGTCTTCACTATTATTCTACAATGTAGAAAATGTAAAAATAAAGAAAAACCCTTGAATGAGTAGGTGTGTCCAAAGTTTTGACTGGTACTGTATGTCAAAAATGTAAATACCTGCATTGACATGAGGTTACTCAGGCAGTACATGTTAATGTGATGCTAATGCTTCTCTGATTAATCTTTTGAGTAGGTCTCCCACTGTTTTACTGTGAGTCATAACATGGAGTTATGCAGTAGGTTAACACTGTGATACCTTTGCCTCGGAGGAACAAAGATAACTGTCCTGGACTGGCTCAGTGTTCTCTCTCACAAGCGGGTTGAAGTACATGTTTCTGCATTGGTTTATCCTCAATATATTGCCTATATAGCCTAGAATAGGCATCGGTTGGGATTTAAAGTTAAAATTGGAAATTAAATTATAGATCCTTGACTTTGGGAAGAGCTCTGAAAAGTGTGATTATATGCAAGTGATCATTATCCTGTGGTTGCTGTCGAAAACATCACCCTCAGATCTCGCTCCAGTGATACTTTCCAGTTTCCACATGTTTTGACTGTGAGGATCTTAATGTAGAAAACACACTGCTGCTTGATAAGAGTGAGCTTCTCTCTCTCTCCCATCCTTATATGGACCTCTTGTTCTACAGCACTTTAGGAGGTCAATAGAGATATGAGTAGTGAATGAAAATTGGATATTCCATTCATGAGCACATACAGGTAACTGCCAAAATAAAGGAAATACTTGAATAAAGGAGGGATACAAAGTATATTGAAAGCCGGTGCTTCCACACAGGTGTGTTTCCTGAGTTAATTAAGCAATGAACATCCCATCATGCTTAGGGTCATGTAAAAAAATGCCCAGTTGCCCATTATTTTGGCTATCATGGCTAGAAGAAGAGATCTCAGTGACTTTGAAAGAGGGGTCTCAAAGGGGCATAGGGGGTTTAAAGGGTATTTGTGTTTGTGTGAATGTGTGTGTGTGTGTGTTTTAGTCACCAGATCTCCACCCAATTGAACACTTACAGTATGGGAGATTCTAGAGCGGCGCCTGAGACAGCATTTTCTACCATCATCAACAAAACACAAAATTATGGAATTTCTTGTAGAAGAATGGTGTTGCATCCCTCCAATAGATTTCCAGACACTTGTAGAATGTATGCCAAGGCACATTGAAGCTGTTCTGGCAGCTTGTGGTGGCCCAACGCCCTATTAAGACACTATGTTGGTGTTTCCTTTATTTTGGTAGTTACCAGTATCATTATGCTCCGTAATCCATGTATCCTAGATCGTTGAAAATGTTGCAGCTTCATTTGATGTACACTACCAGTCAAAAGTTTGGACACACCTACTCATTCAAGGGTTTTTCTTATTTTTACATTGTAGAATAATAGTGAAGAAATCAAAACAATGAAATAACACGTATGGAATCATGTACAGTGGCTTGCGAAAGTATTCACCCTCCTTGGCATTTTTCCTATTTTGTTGCCTTACAACCTGGAATGAAAATAGATTTTTGGGGGGGTTTGTATCATTTGATTTATACAACATGCCTACCACTTTGAAAATGCAAAATATTTTTTTTGGTGAAACAAACAAGAAATAAGACAAAAAACAGAAAACTTGAGTGTGCATAACTAATCATCCCCCCCCCCCCCCCCCCCCCCCCCCCCCTGCTTTGACTAGGCCATTCCAAGACATTTAAATGTTTCCCCTTAAACCACTCGAGTGTTGCTTTAGCAGTATGCTTAGGGTCATTGTCCTGCTGGAAGGTGAACCTCCGTCCCAGTCTCAAATCTCTGGAAGACTGAAACAGGTTTCCCTCAAGAATTTCTCTGTATTTAGCGCCATACATCATTCCTTCAATTCTGACCAGTTTCCCAGTCCCTGCCGATGAAAAACATCCCCACAGCATGATGCTGCTACCACCATGCTTCACTGTGGGGATGGTGTTCTCGGGGTGATGAGTAGTGTTGGGTTTGCGCCAGACATAGTGTTTTCCTTGATGGCCAAAAAGCTCAATTTTAGTTTCATCTGACCAGAGTACCTTCTTCCATATGTTTGGGGAGTCTCCCACATGCCTTTTGGCGAACACCAAACGTGTTTTCTTAGTTTTTTCTTTAAGCAATGGCATTTTTTTCTGTCCATTCTTCCGTAAAGCCCAGTTCTGTGGAGTGTACGGCTTAAAGTGGTCCTATGGACAGATACTCCAATCTCCGCTGTGGAGCTTTGCAGCTCCTTCAGGGTTATCTTTGGTCTCTTTGTTGCTTCTCTGATTAATGCCCTCCTTGCCTGGTCCGTAAGTTTTGGTGGGCGTCCCTCTCTTGGCAGGTTTTTTGTGGTGCCATATTCTTTCAATTTTTTTATAATGGATTTAATGGTGCTCCGTGGGATGTTCAAAGTTTCAGATATTTTTTTATAACCCAACCCTGATCTGTGCTTCTCCACAACTTTGTCCCTGACCTGTTTGGAGAGCTCCTTGGTCTTCATGGTGCCGCTTGCGTGGTGGTGCCTCTTGCTTAGTGGTGTTGCAGACTCTGGGGCCTTTCAGAACAGGTGTGTATGTATACTGAGATCATGTGACAGATCATGTGACACTTAAATTGCACACAGGTGGACTTTATTTAACTAATTATGTGACTTCTGAAGGTCATTGGTTGCACCAGATCTTATTTAGGGGCTTCATAGCAAAGGGAGTGAATACATATGCACGCACCACTTTTCCGTTATTTATGTTTTAGAATTTTTGAAACAAGTTCTTTTTTTCATTTTACTTCACCAATTTTGACTATTTTGTGTATGACCATTACATGAAATCCAAATAAAAATCAATTTAAATTACAGGTTGTAATGCAACAAAATAAGAAAAACGCCAAGGGGGATGAATACTTTTGCAAGGCACTGTAGTAACCAAAAAAGTGTTAAACAAATCAAAATATATTTTATATTTGAGATTCTTCAAATAGCCACCCTTTGCCTTGATGACAGCTTTGCACACTCTTGGCATTCTCTCAACCAGCTTCATGAGGTAGTCACCTGGAATGCATTTCAATTAACAGGTGTGCCTTCTTAAAAGTTCATTTGTGGAATTTCTTTCCTTCTTAATGCGTTTGAGCCAATCAGTTGTGTTGTGACAAGGTAGACAGAAGATAGCCCTATTTGGTAAAAGACCAAGTCCATATTATGGCAAGAACAGCTCAAATAAGCAAAGAGAAATGACAGTCCATCATTACTTAAAGACATGAAGGTCAGTCAATACGGAACATTTCAATAACTTTTAAAGTTTCTTCAAGTGCAGTCGCAAAAACCATCAAGTGCTATGATGAAACTGTCTCTCATGAGGACCGCCACAGGAATGGAAGACCCAGAGTTACCTCTGCTGTAGAGGATAAGTTCATTAGAGTTACTAGCATCAGAAATTGCAGCCCAAATAAATGCTTCACAGAGTTCAAGTAACAGACACATCTCAACATCAACTGTTCAGAGGAGACCGTGTGAATCAGGCCTTCATGGTCTAATTGCTGCAAAGAAACCACTACTAAAGGACACCAATAATAAGAAGAGACCTGCTTGGGCCAAGAAACACGAGCAATGGACATTAGACTGGTGGAAATGTGTCCTTTTGTCTGGAGTCCAAATTGGAGATTTTTGGTTCCAACCGCCGTGTCTTTGTGAGACGCGGTGTGGGTGAACGGATGATCTCTTCATGTGTAGTTCCCACCAAGTCTGTGATTTATTTATAATTCAAGGCACACTTAACCAGCATGGCTACCGCAGCATTCTGCAGCGATACGCCATCCCATCTGGTTTGGGCTTAGTGGGAATATCATTTGTATTTCAACAGGAAAATGACCCAACACACTTCCAGGCTGTGTAAGGGCTTTTTTACCAAGAAGGAGAATGATGGAGTGCTGCATCAGATGACCTAGCCTCCACAATCCTCCGACCTCAACCCAAATTGAGATGGTTTGGGATGAGTCGGACGGCAGAGTGAAGGAAAAGCAGCCAACAAGTGCTCAGCATATGTGGGTACTCTTTCAAGAGTGTTGGAAAAGCATTCCAGGTGAAGCTGGTTGAGAGAATGCCAAGAATGATTCCATGTGTTATTTCATAGTTTTGATGTCTTCACTATTATTTTACAATGTAGAAAATAGTAAAAATTAAGAAAAACCCTTCAATTAGTAGGTGTGTCCAAACTTTTGACTGGTATTGTACATCAACAATTTAAATACCTGCATTGACATGAGGTTACTCAGGCAGTACATGTTAATGTGATGCTAATGCTTCTCTGATTAATCTTTTGAGTAGGTCTCCCACTGTTTTACTGTGAGTCATAACATGGAGTTATGCAGTAGGTTAACACTGTGATACCTTTGCCTCGGAGGAACAAATGTAACTGGCCTGGACTGGCTCAGTGTTCTCTCTCACAAGCACGTTGAAGTACATGGTTCTGCGTTGGATTATCCTCAATATATTGCCTATATAACCTAGAATAGGCATCGGTTAGGATTTAAAGTTAAAATTGGAAATTAAATTATAGATCCTTGACTTTGGGAAGAGCTCTGAAAAGTGTGATTATATGCAAGTGATCATTATGCTGTGGTTGCTGTCGAGAACATCACCCTCAGGTCTCGCTCCAGTGATACTTTCCAGTTTCCACATGTTTTGACTGTGAGGATCTTAATGTAGAAAACACACTGCTGCTTGATAAGAGTGAGCTTCTCTCTCTCTCCCATCCTTATATGGACCTCTTGTTCTACTAAACAGTATTAGATCCTTGGAGGGTGGTAGGGTAGCTAAGTTGAGCAGCTGTACACATGCCACAGGATAGGTCATGTATGGACTACAGTAAGTCATTCCCACGTAACTCCTCACTCCACTTAACCACCCACACCTACAGTAACCATCATCCTCCTCGGACCCTATGTTAGTATGAGAACCAGTGTAGAAGTAGGTACCCATGATTTTGGATTTGGGGAACGGGAAGGAAACATTGGCTCTCTGGGACTAGTCTGGCAGCCAGTCCCCTTACCCTCCTCCTCTCCTCCTCTCCTCCACCCCTCAGGCCCTCAGGGGTTGCCTATTTCCATTGTCTGTCTGCCAGCATTTTTCAATTTAGCAAAATCTCATAATGAAAGAAAGCAACCAGTGTGTGAGAGTATTTGGGTAGTATTGTGTGTACACGATTAATACAAGAACCACATGAGAAGTGTTGAAATATGAGCAAAGGGCTTTTCAGTGGGCCCATATTGGGTGGGAGCGTCGTAAATTTATCTTTATTGATATGTTCAGTATATGTTTATTGTTTGCCTTTGCCACATTTCCACTGTTAAAAAAACACAGACCTTGAACCAATATGGGTTCTTGCTTGGAGATGGTAGCAGTAAAAATATATGAATTCAGATGTGAGAATGTGTCCCTTGGTTTTTGCATTATTGCCTTTGAGACATGCCATTACTTTTAATGACTTTTTATGCCTTTTCCCCTTTCTCAAGTGTTGAAAGTATAAATCAATTTACAGGATACAAAAACCAACAATTTAAATAGGATACAAAAACAACCGTGTCACTTTAGAGAGTGATTATCCCTCTCCAAAATGATTTTCAATATGTCGGCATGATATTGCATCCTCAAAACAGGAGCTTTCTAACCCAATACAAAACGTAGCCTAATTGATGTAGCAGTATCGCACCAAATGAATGCTACAGTACAGTAGATTAATTAAGACCCCCCTTACTCTGAGCACTAGCATTTGGGCTTAGGAGCTAGCACTAGGACCATGGCTGTTTTTTCAAATGGCACCCCATTCCCTACATAGTGCAATACTTTTGACCGGAGCCCTATGGGCCCTACATAGGGAATAAGGTGCCATTTGGGAGGCATACCGTGTTAGCTGATGGCCACATTAACAGATTTGCCTGCTGGTGCTCAGTGATGGGGGCTCAGCAGGGCCTGCAAACAATGCTACCCAGTGTCCATGCACTTGTCCCACTGCAAGAGTAATCCATTAGCCATCAGAAGGTGAAACACGTGGATTATGGAAACACATTAAGCAATTACTGATTCTAAAAATAGACCTGGGTCCTCATCCATCTCCTGGCCAGCCAAAGCTGTTGCCATGTTAACACTACTCAATCTGTAGTGGGTTCTGTTGTTTTCCCTCGCCTCGCCTCTCCACTCTCTGTGTTTCACGGTTAATGTGTCAAAAATAACACAACATAACAATTACAGACGGGTAAGAGGAGCATTTTTAGGGGGCTTTTGTGTGAATAGTTGAATGGATGTAAATATAATATTATAGTGCACAGGTAAAGGGCCTGATGATCTAGATCATGGATGGGCAACTTTGATGGGGGTGGGGGCCACAGAAATTCTGAACTCATCATGAGAGGCTGCAGTGGCTCGCGGGTCTGTGTACCTACATCCATACCCACACATTCACAGTCAGAGCCGTCACTAGTCTTTTGGTGGCCCCAAGTAAAATGTTGTTGCGCCCACCCCAACATTTGAGCAGCCCCCCTCTTGACAGTGGAGAGAGAAAATTGATGTTTTTTGTTAATTTCCTGCAATTCAAGATAAAATGTTGTAATTTTTAAGCAAATTTGCTGCAATTCTACAAATGTAGCCAAGTCGTGGAGAGAAGATTTTGCAATTTTATAACTAATTCAATTTCATGCAATTCTACTCATTTTGCCATTGGGTGGAGAGAAATGTTTGCAGTTTTAATATGATATCTGAGTGAGAGTGACTAACAAAATCAATGGGGGCCCACCGGTCGGTAGATAGTTGACTAGACTTACCAATCTAAACCGTTTTTGCTGACATGGGCTAATTGAGTCACTGTCAGTGTCTGACATAACAAGATAAAATCTGCTGCACCTTGTGTATTCTACTATTCTAACTCTCAACCAGTAGCGGTGCGTGGGTAAAATCACTGGGGGGAAAAAGCCACATTACAACCTGTGTTGTGATAATTGCGTTGTTTGCTCTATAACCTGTTAGTTCATATGCCTTGACACCGTGATATATAGGCCTAAAGGCAGAGACAATAAGACGACACAGTGGCAGAATGAATTCAACCACACCTTTATTTCATCACAAAACCAGATAGCAACATCTGTCCGATTTAGTCCACAAAGCATATTGCATGTAACAGACAGTTACATGACCTACAGAATGGTAAAGCAAGTTAATGTTTCCAGATTTTTCTGACCACTAAACAACTATTGATTTAGAACCATAGAGAGTTACCGCAAGTCGCAAAGAAAACAGGAGCTGCCTCCATTATTCCAGCACCATTTCATCTTCAACATTTCAACATCATCAAATCACCTCTGCTTAGTGACAATACAGTGACAACTAAAAGATACCAAAAACAATTTAGTCCAATAAACGTAACCTAAATATGATGTGGCAGTTGCCCATCCCTGATATAGATGTTTCAATAGTATGTTACATTTCTCTGCTTAGCCGTTTAAATGCTTGTGAATGATTTTACTTCAGAGGAGAGAGGAGGATACAGGCACTCATGGGTTTTGACGGTGCAGGAAACAAGATACTGGAGAAAGAGAGAGGGGAGGGAGAGGAAGAGAAAGAGAGAGGGAGGGAGAGTCATATTAAATGCTGGTTGCCAGAGAAAGAGAGATACAATGCCTCTCTCATGTTTAGTTTAGGTGTGAAGCTAATTGGATGAATAATTGGGTCATCAGTAGATATGATACTACTGTACCAGAAAATGTGATAGAGGTGACAACTGAAACATTTTCAGTTCTCTCACATATTTATGAAGGAAAGTCAGGCTGTTGGCTAGTCTCACTTGTTAATGCCTATCAGTACTGACAGGCCTGATGTAGGGCTGAGGGAGAGGAAGAGTGACAGACATTGTATTGCATGGTGACATTTTTTTAATGCATTTTCTTTGGTGACAGTCTTGATGACAGAGCTCAGGGAATCTTTGGGAATATTGAGGCAAATATTTCCTCAGGTCTGATTCTCTCCACAGAAGATATTACTATAGTCTTGAAGAAAATATCTCAGAGCTGGAGAGCTCAAATAGCATCATGAGAATTATATATTTGCTGTACCTAGAGCATGCTTACGTCATATGTTTTCAAATGGATAAAGGTTCAAGGTTAAATTGATTTGTCATACTGTGAGTGTGATAGAAGGAGTCAGGCGCAGGAGGGTAAATCACTGAATACAGAGTTTATTCCGTCGTATACAAATGCGACACACGAAAACATGCACAGGGGAAACTATCTACCCTAGCAATACACGATACGGGATACTCCAACAATATACAAGCACAGGGGAAATATCTACCCCGGCAATACAAAGGGAGAGCTACACTACTCTCACAAATAACAATCACCCACAAGGATAAGGGGGGCAGAGGGAACACTTATACATGGACTAATGAGGGGATAAGAACCAGGTGTGTGTAATTAACAAGACAAGACAAATGGAATGATGATATATGGAGCGGCAGTGGCTAGTAAGTCGGTGATGACGAATGCCGAAGCCTGCCCGAACAGCCTCGGTGGAAGTCGTGACAGTTCCCACCGCAGGAGCCTCGGTCTGGCTCTGGTGCCACGGTGCCAGAAACGGTTGGTAACCTAAAACACATTGGAATGGCGTTAGGTTAGTAGAGGAGTGGCAGAGAGAGTTCTGGGCATATTCTGCCCATGGCAAGAACACCGACCACTCCCCCGGTCGGTCCTGGCAGGAGGACCGCAGGAACCTACCCACATCCTGATTTACCCGTTCCACCTGCCCATTTGACTCGTGGTGGAACCACGTCAGGCTGACCGAGACCCCCAGATGTTCCATGAACGCCTTCCAGACCTTGGACGTGAACTGGGGACCTCGGTCAGACACTATATCCTCTGGTACTCCATAGTGCCGGAAGACGTGAGTAAACAGGGCCTCCGCAGTTTGCAGGGCCGTGGGGAGACAGGGCAGAGGAAGGAGGCGGCAGGACTTAGAAAAGCGGTCCACAACGACCAGGATGGTGGTGTTACCTTGGGAGAGGTAAAAAATCAACACTGAGGTGAGACCATGGTCATTGTGGAACTGGTAAAGGTTTTAACTTACCCGCTGGGAGGTGCCTAGGTGCCTTACTCTGGGCGCACACCGAGCAGGAGGAGACGTACACCCTCATGTCCTTAGCCAAGGTAGGCCACCAGTACTTTCCGGTCAGGCAGCGCACTGTACGACCTATACCTGGGTGACCAGAGGAGGGTGACGTGTGTGCCCAGTAGATCAGACGATCACCGATAAGAGCAGGCACGTACCGCAGCCCAGCTGGACACTGAGGTGGAGATGGATCTGTGCGTAATGCCTGCTCTATATCCGCGTCCATCGCCCATACTACCGGCGCCACAATGTAGGAGGCCGGGAGTATGGGGGTGTTGTCTCTGGGCCTCTCCTCTGTGTCATACAGCCGGGACAGTGCGTCTTCCTTCACGTTCTTCGTACCCGGAATGTATGACAGTGTGAAATCAAACTGGGTGAAGAATAGGGCCCACCTGGCCTGGCGAGGATTCAGTCTCCTCGCTGCCCGGATGTACTCCAGGTTACGGTGGTCCGTCCAGACGAGGAAAGGGTGTTTCGCCCCTTCGAGCCAATGCCTCCACACGGTCAAAGCTCGGACAACAGCCAACAGCTCCCGATCACCAATGTCGTAGTTCTGCTCCGCAGGGCTGAGCTTCTTAGAGAAGAAGGCACAGGGGCGGAGCTTGGGTGGCGTGCCTGAGCATTGAGACAGGACAGCGCCTATCCCTACCTCGGACGCATCCACCTCCACTACGAACGGTAGTGATGGATCGGGGTGGGCCAGTACCGGGGCTGAGGTGAACAGACCCCGCAGTTTGCTGATGGCCAGGTCAGCCTCTGCAGACCAGCGGAGCCGGGACGGCCCACCCTTCAACAGGGATGTAATGGGAGCTGCGACCTTGCCAAAGCCCCGGATAAACCTCTGACAGTAGTTGGCGAAGCCAAGGAAGCGCTGCACCTCCTTAACCGTGGTTGGAGTCGGCCAATTACACACGGCTGAAATGTGATCTCCCTCCATCTCCACACCTGAGGTGGTAATGCAGTATCCGAGAAAGGAGACGGACTGCTGGAAAAACATACACTTCTCTGCCTTGGCATAAAGGTCATTTTCCAACAGTCGGGCCAGCACTTTGCGAACCAGGGACACATGTTCGGCGCATGTAGCAGAATACACCAGGATGTCATCGATGTAGACCACCACACCGCGACCAAGCAGGTCCCGAAACTCCTCGTTCACAAAGGACTGGAAGACGGAGGGAGCATTCATCAAACCGTAGGGCATCACCAGGTATTCATAATGCCCTGTGGTTGTGCTGAATGCTGTCTTCCACTCATCCCCCTCCCGAACACGCACCAGGTTGTATGCAATCCTGAGATCTAATTTGGTGAAGAAGCGCGCCCCATGCATTGACTCAATCACTGAAGGAATGAGGGGGAGAGGATAACTAAATCTTATAGTCTCCTTGTTCAGTGATCGATAATCAATGCACGGGCGCAGACCGCCGTCTTTCTTCTTCACAAAGAAGAAACTTGAGGAGGTGGGTGAAGTGGAGGGACGTACAGTGGGGAGAACAAGTGTTTGATACACTGCCGATTTTGCAGGTTTTCCTACTTACAAAGCATGTAGAGGTCTGTAATTTTTATCATAGGTACACTTCAACTGTGAGAGACGGAATCTAAAATCCAGAAAAATCCAGAAAATCACATTGTATGATTTTTAAGTAATTAATTTGCATTTTATTGCATGACATAAGTATTTGATCACCTACCAACCAGTAAGAATTCCGGCTCTCACAGACCTGTTAGTTTTTCTTTAAGAAGCCCTCCTGTTCTCCACTCATTACCTGTATTAATTGCACCTGTTTGGACTCGTTACCTGTATAAAAGACACCTGTCCACACACTCAATCAAACAGACTCCAACCTCTCCACAATGGCCAAGACCAGAGAGCTGTGTAAGGACATCAGGGATAAAATTGTAGACTTGCACAAGGCAAGCAGCTTGGTGAGAAGGCAACAACTGTTGGCGCAATTATTAGAAAATGGAAGAAGTTCAAGATGACGGTCAATCACCCTCGGTCTGGGGCTCCATGCAAGATCTCACCTCGTGGGGCATCAATGATCATGAGGAAGGTGAGGGATCAGTCAAGAACTACACAGCAGGACCTGGTCAATGACCTGAAGAGAGCTGGGACCACAGTCTCAAAGAAAACCATTAGTAACACACTATGCCGTCATGGATTAAAATCCTGCAGCGCACGCAAGGTCCCCCTGCTCAAGCCAGCGCATGTCCAGGCCCGTCTGAAGTTTGCCAATGACCATCTGGATGATCCAGAGGAGGAATGGGAGAAGGTCATGTGGTCTGATGAGACAAAAATAGAGCTTTTTGGTCTAAACTCCACTCGCCGTGTTTGGAGGAAGAAGAAGGATGAGTACAACCCCAAGAACACCATCCCAACCGTGAAGCATGGAGGTGAAAACATCATTCTTTGGGGATGCTTTTCTGCAAAGGGGACAGGACGACTGCACCGTATTGAGGGGAGGAAGGATGGGGCCATGTATCGCGAGATCTTGGCCAACAACCTCCTACCCTCAGTAAGAGCATTGAAGATGGGTCGTGGCTGGGTCTTCCAGCATGACAACGACCCGAAACACACAGCCAGGGCAACTAAGGAGTGGCTCCGTAAGAAGCATCTCAAGGTCCTGGAGTGGGCCAATAGAAAATCTTTGGAGGGAGCTGAAAGTCCGTATTGCCCAGCGACAGCCCCGAAACCTGAAGGATCTGGAGAAGGTCTGTATGGAGGAGTGGGCCAAAATCCCTGCTGCAGTGTGTGCAAACCTGGTCAAGACCTACAGGAAACGTATGATCTCTGTAATTGCAAACAAAGGTTTCTGTACCAAATATTAAGTTCTGCTTTTCTGATGTATCAAATACTTATGTCATGCAATAAAATGCAAATGAATTACTTAAAAATCATACAATGTGATTTTCTGGATTTTTGTTTTAGATTCCGTCTCTCACAGTTGAAGTGTACCTATGATAAAAATTACAGACTTCTACATGCTTTGTAAGTAGGAAAAACGGCAAAATCGGCAGTGTATCAAATACTTGTTCTCCCCACTGTAAATACCCCTGGCCCAGGGACTCGGTGACGTATGTTTCCATAGCCTCCGTTTCAGCCTGTGACAGGGGTACACATGACTCCTGGGAGGTACAGCGTCTACCCGAAGGTTTATCGCGCAATCCCCCACCCGATGAGGTGGTAATTTTGTCGCCTGTGTCATAGAAAATGTGTGCACCAGATCATGGTATTCGGAGGGAATGCGCACGGTGGAGGTACCGTCTGGACTTTCCACCGTGGTTGCACCAATGGAAACACCTAGACACCTACCCTGACACTCTCGCGACCACCCCATGAGAACCCTCTGCGGCCATGAGAAGGTGGGGTTGTGAAGTGCTAGCCAAGGGATACCTAATACCACAGGGAAAGCAGGAGACTCAATAATAGAAAAAGTTACCTGCTCACAATGAGTCTCCTGGGTGATCGTGGTGACTGGTACAATAACTTCCTTAACAAACCCGGACCCTAATGGTCGACTATCAAGTGCTCTGATGGGGAGTGGAATGGATAGGGGAACCAATGAAATGCCTTGACGGCATGAGAATGCCCTGTCCATAAAGTTCCCAGCTGCGCCTGAATCGACTAGCGCCTTACACTGGGGAACTACCATGTGATCGGGAAAGTAGATAGGTAGGGTACAGTGCGCAGCAGTGGGCTCTGAATGAGTGTGGGTGTTCTTAACAAGACAAGACAAATGGAATGATGATATATGGAGCGGCAGTGGCTAGTAAGCCGGTGACGACGAACGCCGAAGCCTGCCCGAACAAGGAGGGGAGGCAGCCTCGACGGAAGTCGTGACACATACAGTATGTATAAAATACACTGAACAAAAATAGAATTTTAGAGAGTCTTGACCGCAGTAAAATTCCACTTGACCATTGAGTCACAGTAATCTCCTCTTATGCACTCAGGACATGCGTTGGTAGTATCCAACTCGCTAATGGCCTGGTACTCAGGGCTCTATTGTTCTTCTATCCACTCTGACATCAATGCAATCGAAAATCACATCAAACTCTTATCATCAAAACAGTATTTTGCTTTTAAAACTCACCTCACTGTGATTGATCAATTTGAAGAAAGAAGTTCAACAACAGGTTGAAACTGAGTGGAAAACATGGTCATTGTGGATTTTGTTTCAAAGCCTAACATCAACATGGACAGCGCATTCTAAGGTGATGATTAATTCAAAACACCCATACACATATTGTCGTCACTGGCCTTCTAGCCACTGCCGCTCCTCATCTCATCATTCCATTTGTTTTGTCTTGTTTATTACACACACCTGGTTCATATCCCCTCATCAGTACCTGTATAAGTGTTCCCTCTGCCCCCTTGTCTTTGTGTGTGATTGTTTATTGTGGAGGTTAGTTTAGCTCGGTGGAGCTCCTTGTATTTTGTATCGCCGGGATATTCACCCGTGTGCCTTGTTGTTTCCCAGTGCACCTGTTTTACGCACTGGAGTATTTGACGCATTGCTGCGTACCGCTGTGTTTTCGGAATAAACCCTTTTATTCTGTGATTTACCCTCCTGTGCCTGACTCCTTCAAAATCACTCACCACATTATACAGTTGAAGTCGGAAGTTTACATACACCTTAGCCAAATACATTTAAACTCAGTTTTTCACAATTCCTGACATATAATCCTAGTAAAAATTCCCTGTTTTAGGTCAGTTAGGATCACCACTTTATTTTAAGAATGTGAAATGTCAGAATAATAGTAGAGAGAATGATTAATTTCAGCTTTTATTTATTTCATCACATTCCAGTGGGTCAGAAGTTTACATACACTAAATCAGTATTTGGTAGCATTGCCTTTAAATTGATTCACTTGGGTCAAACGTTTTGGGTAGCCTTCCACAAGCTTCCCACAATAAGTTGGGTGAATTTTGGCCCATTCCTCCTGACAGAGCTGGTGTAACCGAGTCAGGTTTGTAGGCCTCCTTGCTCGCACACGCTTTTTCAGTTCTGCCCACACATTTTCTATAGGATTGAGGTCAGGGCTTTGTGATGGCCACTCCAATACCTTGACTTTGTTGTCCTTAAGCTTGAACTTCCTGACTGATGTCTTGAGATGTTGCTTCAATATATCCACATAATTTTCCTTCCTCATAATGCCATCTATTTTGTGAAGTGCACCAGTCCCTCCTGCAGCAAAGCACCCCCACAGCATGATGCTGCCACCCCGTGCTTCACGGTTGGGATGGTGTTCTTCGGCTTGCAAGCACCACCTTTTTCCTCCAAACATAACGATGGTCATTATGGCCAAACAGTTCTATTTTTGTTTCATCAGACCAGAGGGACAAAGATTGTACTTTTCTCCAAAAAAGTACAATCTTTGTCCCCATGTCCAGTTGCAAACCGTAGTCTGTCTTTTTTATGGTGGTTTTGGAGCAGTGGCTTCTTCCTTGCTAAGCGGCCTTTCAGGTTATGTCGATATAGGACTCGTTTTTGTCACGATCGTCTAATGAGGGAGACCAAGGCGCAGCGTTGCGAGTGAACATATTCTATTTATTTAAATGATCACACGAACCAAAACAAATAAACAACGAATGCGTGACGTCTATGGTACAACACGAACACACACGAACAAAATCCCACAACCCGAAAGAAAAACAGACAGATTAAATATGGCTCCCAATCAGAGACAACCAGCCGACAGCTGACACTCGTTGCCTCTGATTGGGAGTCACACCGGCAAACATAGAAAATAGACAACCTAGAACACCCACCAAAGAAACGGAAAACATAGAATGAACACACCCTGGCTCAACATAATGAGTCCCCGAGCCAGGGTGTGACAGTACCCCCCCCTAAAGACGCGGACTGCGACCGCGCCTAAATAAGAGCAAAAACAGGGGAGGGCTGGGTGGGCATTCCTCCTCGGCGGCGGCTCCGGCTCCGGGCTTGACCCCCACTCCTTCTCGAACCCCCCAAAGTACCCCTGGTCCGGTCTGGCCCTGCTGGCCGGAGCTGGACTGAACACTGGTGGAGCGGATTGCTCTAGCTCCGACGTGAAGCCTCTGACCGGTGCCGGACCAGCCACCGGTGGAACAGGCACGGGCCGTGCCGGACTGACGACGCACACCACTGGCTTGGTGTGGGGAGCAGGAGCGGGCCGAGCCGGGCCGTCGAAGCGCACCCCCGACCTGGTGCGGGGAACAGGCACGGGCCGTGCCGGACTGACGACGCACACCACAGGTTTGGTGCGGGGAGCAGGAACAGGCCGGGCCGGGCTGGCGACGCGCACCACAGGTTTGGTGCGGGGAGCAGGAACAGGCCGGGCCGGGCTGGCGACGCGCACCACAGACTTGGTGCGGAGAGCAGGAACGGGCCGGACCGGGCTGGCGACGCGTACCACAGGTTTGGTGCAGGGAGCAGGAACAGGCCGGGCCGGGCTGGCGACGCGCACCACAGACTCGATGCGGGAAGCAGGAACAGGCCGGGCCGGGCTGACGACACGCACCACAGGCTCGATGCGAGGAACAGGAACAGGCCGGACCGTACTGGGGACACACACCACTGGCCCTACGCAGGGATCAGGAACGGGCCGGACCGGACTGGTAACACACCCCAGTACCTCTCGCCGTGCCTCCACACTTTCCCTCTCCTCTGTGACCAGTGGCCCCCTTAACCTGGCGGCCTCCTCTTCACACCCGCTGGACCGCTCCATCGCGGCCTCCTGCTGCCCCGTCGTCCACGTCGTGAGCCCCCCCCCCTAAAATTTTTCTGGGGTTCTCTCCTCCCCGTGGACCAGGCCTCCCTAGCTCTCGCCACTCTCGATCCATTGCTTCATAGACCAGCCTCTCTCCTCTTCACTTAGCGTGGCCCAGCCGAAACTCCTACTCCCCTGATCCAAGGTCCTTCCTCTCTCCTCTTCACGCTGCTTGGTCTGGTTTAGGTGGGATTTTCTGTCACGATCGTCTAATGAGGGAGACCAAGGCGCAGCGTTGCGAGTGAACATATTCTATTTATTTAAATGATCACACGAACCAAAACAAATAAACAACGAATGCGTGACGTCTATGGTACAACACGAACACACACGAACAAAATCCCACAACCCGAAAGAAAAACAGACAGATTAAATATGGCTCCCAATCAGAGACAACCAGCCGACAGCTGACACTCGTTGCCTCTGATTGGGAGTCACACCGGCAAACATAGAAAATAGACAACCTAGAACACCCACCAAAGAAACGGAAAACATAGAATGAACACACCCTGGCTCAACATAATGAGTCCCCGAGCCAGGGTGTGACAGTTTTACTGTGGATATAGATAATTTTGTACCTGTTTCCTCCAGCATCTTCACGAGGTCCTTTGCTGTTGTTCTGGGATTGATTTGCACTTTTCACACCAAAGTATGTTCATCTCTAGGAGACAGAACCTGGAAGCTGTCCTGAGTGGTATGATGGCTGCGTGGTCCCATGGTGTTTATACTTGCGTACTATTGTTTGTACAGATGAACGTGGTACCTTCAGGCGTTTGGAAATTGCTCCCAAGGATGAACCAGACTTGTGGAGGTCTACAATTTTTATTGGCTGATATCTTTTGATTTTCCCATGATGTCAAGCAAAGAGGCACTGAGTTTGAAGGTAGGCCTTGAAATACATCCACAGGTACACCTCCAATTGACTCAAATGATGTCAATTTGCCTATCAGAAGCTTTTAAAGCCATGACATCATTTTCTGGAATTTTCCAAGCTGTTTAAAGGCACAGTCAACTTAGTGTATGTAAACTTCTGACCCACTGGAATTGTGATACAGTGAATTATAAGTGAAATAATCTGTCTGTAAACAATTGTTGGAAAAATTACTTGTGTCATGCACAAAGTAGATGTCCTAACCGACTTGCCAAAATTATAGTTTGTTAACAAGAATTTGTGGAGTGGTTGAAAAACGAGTTTTAATGACTCCAACCTAAGTGTATGTAAACTTCCGACTTCAACTGTACATATGCATAGGCCTATATAGTGCATGAGCCCAAGCCTGAAAAATAGTATTTGATCCCCTGCTGATTTTGTACGTTTGCCCACTGACAAAGACATGATCAGTCTATAATTTTAATGGTAGGTTTATTTGAACAGTGAGAGACAGAATAACAACAACAAAAATCCAGAAAAACGCATGTCACAAATGTTATAAATTGATTTGCATTTTAATGAGGGAAATAAGTATTTGACCCCTCTGCAAAACATTACTTAGTACTTGGTGGCAAAACCCTTGTTGGCAATCACAGAGGTCAGACGTTTCTTGTAGTTGGCCACCAGGTTTGCACACATCTCAGGAGGGATTTTGTCCCACTCCTCTTTGCAGATCTTCTCCAAGTCATTAAGGTTTCGAGCCTGACGTTTGGCAACTCGAACCTTCAGCTCCCTCCACAGATTTTCTATGGGATTAAGGTCTGGAGACTGGCTAGGCCACTCCAGGACCTTAATGTGTTTCTTCTTGAGCCACTCCTTTGTTGCCTTGGCCGTGTGTTTTGGGTCATTGTCATGCTGGAATACCCATCCACGACCCATTTTCAATGCCCTGGCTGAGGGAAGGAGGTTCTCACCCAAGATTTGAAGGTACATGTTGTCTTTGTCAGTGGGCAAACGTACAAAATCAGCAGGGGATCAAATACTTTTTTCCCTCACTGTACATATCCTACCGCATATTACGCACAGCAGAAAAACATTAAAACTGATTTAAGATGTCTTTAATTGGTCCAAAATTTTAAAAAATTCTAGTAATCTGGACTGTAATCTGGACTGTATTATTATGCATACTGGATGGACTGGTTACCTTATGCTACGCTCCAAACTTTCTATTCATGAGTCTGGGAGAGAACGTACAGGCCAAGGCAATGCTGTTGATTCATTGATTGTGCAGGGCGGCTAAGTCTACAATTATAGGGAATTTGTATTTGATTTTGAATAGCCTAGTAATAGGGAATTTTTTATATTTTTTATAATTAATAGGCTGACACATTACCTTTAGCTACATCTTTTTTCAAATGGATAAAGTTTCAAGGTTCAATTGATTTGTCATACAGTATGTATAAAATACACTGAACAAAAATATAAATGCAACATGCAACAATTTCAAAGATTTTACTGAGTTACAGTTCATATAAGGAAATCAGTCAGTTGAAATAAATTCATTAGGCCCTAATCTATGAATTTCACATGACTGGGAATACAGATATGCATCTGTTGGTACCTTTAAAAAGAAAGGTAGGGGTGTGGATCAGAAAACCAGTCAGTATCTGATGTGACCACCATTTAACCATTTGCCTCATGCAGCGCAACACATCTTTGCATAGAGTTGATCAGGCTGTTGAATGTGGCCTGTGGAATGTTGTCCCACTCCTCTTCAATTGCTGTGCGAAGTTGCTGGATATTGGCGGAAACTGGAACATGTTGTGTACATGTCGATCCAGATCATCCCAACATGCTCAACGCCAGGGTTGTGGGTTTGATTCCCACGGGGGGCCAGTATAAAAAATAAATTAAAAAAATATGTATTCACTAAACTGTAAGTCGCTCTGGATAAGAGCGTCTGCTAAATGACTAAAATGTAAATGTAATGGTAACATGTCTGGTGAGTATGCAGGCCATGGAAGAACTGGGACATTTTCAGCTTCCAGGAATTGTGTACCGATCCTTGCTACATGGGGCCATGCATGATCATGCTGAAACATGAGGTGATGGCAGCTTATGAATGGCACGACAACGGGCCTCAGGACCTCGTCACGGTATCTCTGTACATTCAAATTGCCATTGATCAAATGTGATTGTGTTCGTTGTTTATGCCTGCCCATACCATAACCTACCATGGGGCACGGTGGTGAGATATTTAGCTACAGAATTATTATTATTATTCTTTAATTTTGTTGTCATTTAGCAGACGCTCTTATCTAGAGCGACTTACAGTTAGTGCATACATGTTTTTTTGTGTTTTGTTTTTTCCATACTGGCCCCCCGTGGGAATCAAACCCACAACCCTGGCGTTGCAAGCGCCATGCTCTACCAACTGAGCTACATCTCACCACCATGCGTTTCCATCTCCTCCCCTTTCTCCTTCATTACTTTCTCAAGCACGCAGAGAGAGGAGCTGTCAACAGTTTAATGAAATATGTTTTTTTGTGAAAACATGTTACTTCTGATGTTCCAGGACAGATTTCACTTGGTTTCCCAAATTAAGCACTTGGTAGCTGCGGGAACAGGTTTGGAGAGCCCATGGCATACAGAGTTTAGGCAGAATATCACCTGTCGCGCAGCGAGAGGCTCCATGCTCCTCAAACAGTGGTTGATGCTTGGAGTGAAATAACCGGAGTAGCCTACCCGAACGAACAGGCGGGAAAGGGGCTTCCATTCACTATTCGAGTGCATAGGCAGATGAAATGTCTTTTTTCCCCCTGCCCCTTTCCCTGCCCATTTGATAATGGGCCATTCTAAATCGAAACTAATTTAACATATTAGTAAAGACAATATTAAATTGAGCATAGTCTGGTGCCTGATAATATGAGCACTTGATGAGAGAACAGTGTGTGCGGCCTGAGGCAAGAAACAGAGCGCAAGCTTTTTTTGCGACTTTCTCAAATCATCAATAGCCTATAGTCGCATCATGCAGCCCATATATGTTTTGATTTCTAATACATTCTAAGGTTTCAATCATTACTCTAAATCTATCATAGCCTGTAGGACCTGTTTCAAATTATCACTTTTACACTCAATATAGCCTTCATATGCGCACTCGCTCTGGAATGGGAAAAATATCCTTTCTATTTTATTCAGCTAACATCATCATCAATTATAAAATCATATAATATAAAATAATGACACAGGATTTATAAGCATATCTTGTCTGCTAGATGAAAAAGCCAACAGCCTATGGCATGCCACATAGCCAGATAACATACAGTAATAGGCCAACTCATATTCTGTACATCTGAAATACATTTTCTTCATATCATAATGTTTCTTTAGACCTACCTAAAATAAATTATGAATTTATTGTTATGGTGTATATTAAACTGATTTATTAGACTTGTTAAAATGTGAGATGTTCCAAAGGCATGCATCAACAATTTGTATGTGTTGAGGCCTGGAGATGCTAAACGTGTTTATGTTAATTAATGGTCAATTACCATGAGACCAGCAGTCTTTTGCATGACAGTAACCGGCTGACAAAATGTCATGACCGCCACAGCCCTAGTTGTGCAAACCCACAGTTTCATCAGCTGTCCGGGTAGCTGGTCTCAGACAATCCCACAGGTGAAGAAGCCGGATGTGGAGGTCCTGAGCTGGCATGGTTACACATGGTCTTCAGTTGTGAGGCTGGTTGGCGTACTGCCAAATTCTTTAAAATGACATTGGAGGCGGGTTATGGTAGAGAAATGAACATTAAATTCTCTGGCAACAGCTCTGGTGGACATTCCTGCAGTCAGCATGCCAATTGCACTCTCCCTCAAAACTTGAGACATCTGTGGCATTGTGTTGTGTGACAAAACTGCACATTTTAGAGTGGACTTTTATTGTCCCAAGCACAAGTTACACCTGTGTAATGATCATGCTGTTTAATCTGCTTCTTGATATGCCACACCTGTCAGGTGGATGGATTATCTTGGCAAAGTAGAAATGTTCACTAACAGGGATGTAAAAACATTTGTGCCCAACATTTTAGAGAAATAATATTGTTTGTGCGATCTTTTATTTCAGCTCATGAAACATGGGACCAACACATCACATGTTGTGTTTATATTTTTGTTCAGTGTACAATGCTTAGTCACTGAGCGATGCATTTGAAAAGGTAAGGGTTGCGTCCCAAATGGCATCCTATTCCCTACTATATAGTGCACTACTTTTGACCAGAGCCCAATGGACCCTGCTAGGGAATGGCTTTTGAAAGATTTTTTTCCAATTCCACATTCAGACGTGTGTGTGTGTTTAAACTTGTGTTTGCTTTAGGCAGTTTCCCTTGTCAATGTCCATGTGTTATAAAGAGAGACAACGTTAACCCCATACAAGGTATGCATAGCAGCGAGGACTTGGGGATGGGATACATTGTGTTGCTCTTAGCTATTGACAGTACTATAATACAGACCGGCTCTACTCTGGCTCGGAGCTGTGTATCCTAACTTATCTCCAATTTACGACGATCCCAGTCTGGTCTATTTTTGTTGGTGCACGGCGGACAGAGTGCAGTCACTCACAGCGTTGCTTTGATCTGGAAGAAACAGAGGCAGACTTGTGTCTGCTTAGTGCTCATTGTCCCTGGCTTAGGGACAGCTCCTGTGGATTCAAACCCAGCAGCACACCCAGCATGTCATGTGGAGTACTTGGTCATAAAAGTGAGATGAGGTGTCTGTGTATAGAAGCCCTCAGCCACGTTGATTTATAGGAAAGTAGTTACAGATGCGGTCAAATATATTGGCACCCTTGCACTTTACAATGGAGTGCAATGGAGCAGAATGTTATTTTTTCTCTTTTTTAAAACTGGTTGAATGGTTATTTTTGCCCAGTAGGCACCTTCAACTTACCACAGGTGAGGTAAATTACACAGTAAACGAGATAACTTGCTTCTAACCAAATTAATATGAATTTTGAATAATTAATCCAGACCATTTTATGTCTTTAAAGTGAAAAATCCAAATTTCAGTTCAGATAATTTTTTGGGGGGGTCCTGTGCAGTTGTAAATCAAATAAATAGACGTGTGAACACAATTATTATTTTTTAAACTTATTTTATAAGAAATCGTGCTAGGGTGCCAATATATTTGACCGCATCTGTGTATGTCTCTTGTAATCGCTCCTGTAGAGGTGAATGTGTGTGTGTTTGTGTGTGTGTGTGTGATTGTGTGTGTGCGTGCCCGCGTCACCCCTGTAGAGGGAATTCAACCCACGCTAAGTTTATCAGCTTTGTTTTAAAGGCACTCAAATGAAGCCAAGTAGCCAACACTCCAAACACAATGAAGCACAGATTCAGAGATATCCTTGGACAACATTCATATTTATCCCCAGTTTGTCCGTAAATGGTATGCCTGGTATGCCAACCGTTCCAGTTAGTTGATTTGTTCACTGACTGAGGTCTGTGCTCTCTGCTCCAGTCCAGCTACTTCTTTTCCATGCAGGGATTGTTAGTTTAGATTCCATTTGCTGTGTCTGAGTGGCCCATTATTCACTCCGTGTTATATTATGGGAATGAGATACTTGTAAACTCAAGCACTGCAGTCAAATATGCCTTATTGATATACAGTACAGCTTTCATGTAAGTCACCATGAAGCCCTGGGAGATTATGTTTCCCTGGGCACAGTAAGTCTGTTTATCCTACATGGCAATCCAGTTGCTTTGTCGTGACCTGTGTCTAAGGTGACTACACAGGTGCCTGAACTGCTCAGTTGCCCATGAACCAGAAGACAAAACGCCCTGTTGATTGCACAGATTCAATTCTAACCTTATGTCCATTCTGTTCACTCCAACGCCAGTTGTGCCTTATAAGATTTGTGTTGGTTTCCCATCTCTACAAGCCCTAAGTAGAGTGTTTTGGCTATATCTTTATAACTGGCTATATCCCAATCAAAAAAAGATAATGCTGGTTCTGATTATAGACTGCCAATTGGCCTGGAGAACAAGATAATGTGTACTTTCTGGGAGTACTAAGACTAGGCATTGGTAATGATGAAGATCAGACAGACACCCTGCTAAGCTCAGCTCTGTACACTTGGCCAAGTTTGTATTTCTTTCTCCTTGGACTGTGTTGTGGAAAGAGGGCCTGTGCATTGGCTGTGGTTTGGCCAGACTGGTACTTATCTCTGAGTTATCCGTGCTCTATCTGTATTGCCTCAGAGAGTGATAGAGTTCATATTTCCACTAAACCTGGCAGGCACCTGTCGAACTGACCAGAGACTTTGCGATTGTTGTTTACATCATTTTGGAACCACAGACACAAGCAGCGCAATTTATTATTCGTTGTTGTTGTTTTCATGTTGATATCCACCGACAGTTAAATAAAACGTTCCTGGCAGTTTGGCTGTGAACTCTGGTCTCTACTGATTGAGCTAGCCTACATTTTAATTGAAAAAGCATTATTCTCTTAGCACACTGACCTAAGCCCTCGCTCTCCATTATCTAATTTCAGATAATTACCCTTTGAAATGTGGCCATTGTTTGAAGGGTATCAACTGCCTGATAGTAGAACAGAGACCGTTCTGGTCTGATATTATTCTATTGTTTTCAACGCTTCAGTATATTATATTTTGTTTTGAGGGTGTTATATAGGCCTAGTAGTGCAAGACAAAATATATTTGACAACCTACTGTGCGAAATTAAAGGTCTGATCAGGCACTATGAAGATCTAAAGTTGCACTCATATACTGAAATAGAACATTATCTCTATGACAGTCATTAGTATATTTTCAGTGGAGAGGATGGAACATCTTAACTACTGTTCTATCTGGGGGATGGAGATTCGCTAACGAGCCGCCTAGCGCCCCAAAGCCATAGGGCAAAGAGTCTGATTCAATTAACCCATCTAAAACCACATGTACAGCTATCACAAGTGGCTAATTCAACAGGTATATTACAGGCTTCAATTGGCTCAACAGCCCAAATAGCTCATTTAGCTAATTTCCAAATGATTGTGATTGTTTTCCCCCTGACTGATCCACAGATTGCTTATTATAGCCAAGCTTAATTTTACAATGTATTTATTGTTGAAGTGGCCATGGTCTGTTAGGATAATTTAAAAAATTCAGTGCAACCTTTGTCAATTGAAATGTTTTCAGCCATATTGCTTGTAAACAGGGGACAGAAATTGCAGGCACCACTGGGTAGGCACCTGCAAGGCCAGAGCACTCAGTCTGCCACAGCTGCAACTGAGAGTGTGTGTGTGTGCAACACACTACTGCAACACATCCCATCCCATTCATTCACCTCTTCACCGCTCCACTGAGTGTTCTAGGTCAAGTATGGCCATTAGAACAGAGAATACCTCATCCACTGTCAGTCCACTGTCAGTGCATATCATGAGTGTATTCTGGGGTCACTAGCTAGCATTAGATCCCTATAATTCACTATGGCTAGAGTTAGCTCATAGCCTCATGCTGTATGCCAGAGACACAGATGTAGGTCATGACCTCAGATGTAAGCAGATGTTATGTGGTCTGTGTTGATCCTCAGAGGCCCCTTGTAGTTTATGTCATGTTGAGAAGATGGCTAGCAAAAAACACCAGTTTTGATCATGTTAACTTGGTGGTCAGTCATCACTTATTCATAACACCATACTTACTAGGTCACATATACAATGGTTAAAGCTGTATAGCAAAAACAGGTTCACTGATGAACATTTAACATTCTTTGGCGCTACCAAAATGGGTCAGTTCATTCTATCAACCGTTTACAGCTATAGGAGCTGAAATGCATGAAAGTGGGAAAACAAAACAACAATTTTCATAATCATATGACTATACCCTGCCTGCAGACATTTGTCTTTTTAGACTAGGCTACAGTATATCTGTTCTCTCTGTCTCTCTCTGTATCTTTAGAAGGAGAAGAAGATGACTTTATTCATCAACATACACATAATTATGCTTTATCCTAACCCCTCTGAAAGAGAACCAAACACACATAGGTTGTAGAGGTTAATGCAAAGTGTTAGTGTTGGTATCCGTTGCACCAAAGGGCAGTTTGTGTATGGTAGGGTAGAAGGTAGGGTGTTTCCGTGTGGACGGCTGCCCTAAATCTAAACCCCACTCTCCCCTCCTCCCCCCGCCTCCCCCCACCTCCTCCACCCTGTTAGTTGTGCATCTGTAGGGAAGCTGGCTGGCTGGGAGCCCTTTGGCCCAGTGTTACATAAGCCTGAGCCCAGCTGAGCCTCACAGGACAGACTGCAGCCTTTATGCTGCCATACTTCCCTGCACCACAGAGCACAGCAGAGCACAACTCAACTTAATGACGTCAGCCACACAGAGGCTGTGTCCCTGAGCCCTGGTCAAAAGTAATGCACTACATAGGGAATAGGGTGCCATTTGGGATGTACAGACAAAACAGAGGCTCCTATTGACAAGACTGTTGAGTCGTGTAGAAGAAAACATGTATATATTTTAACTGGAACATAATCACATGTTGTTTTGTTCCCCCAGCTCCAACCTAGACTCATTCTTTCTAACACCATCTGTCCTCACAAGGTGAGCCCTAGAATGCACCTGACTATGGACGACTCCATGCCAGATGATAAATCAGGTTTCTCTGGTTGTGCTTGGAGTAGTACTCTATGGGCCAGTTTCCTGGACACAGATTAATGCTTTTTAGTTCAGGACCAGGCTTCCCTGAGAGCTCGCACGAAGATTATAAACTGCGTATTTTGGGTCCTGGATGCTGATTGGCTGAAACAGCATTTCACGGTTATTACAAACAAATAACTTTTTACTGTTCTAATTATGTTGGTAACCAGTTTATAATAGCAATAAGGCATGGCAGTAGAATAAATGTTTCGGACTCATATCGATGCCACATAGGCTGTTTTCTAAATGAGAAGTTGTTTTTTAGAGGCAGTTGCTCTTTAATAATAAGGCATGGGGGGGGTGGTATATGGCCAATATACCACAGCTAAGGGCTGTATCCAGGCACTCCACTTTGCGTCGTGCTTAAGAACAGCCCTTAGCCGTGGTACAGTATATTGGCCATAAACCACACCCCCTCATGCCTTATTATTAAAGAGCAACTGCCTCTAAAAAACAACTTCTCATTTAGAAAACAGCCTATGTGGCATCGATACGAGTCCGAAACATTTATTCTACTGTCATAGTTGACTACAAAGTGTAAATAGTTAAATGTTTGTCATAAAGTCAGTATCCTCCAAAACAGAGTTTTGTGAGACTTGTGGTCATGACTGCATCGCAACATAACTGCATCGCAGCTGCACGTGACCCAATTGTAATGCCTGTGGTAAACTTTGGATATCCCTATGTGGCTAGTTAGGGAACATCGGTAAATTACACAATGTACATGGGACAATATGTTCAAATTCCAATAGCTCCAAATTCCAATGACTTAGAAACGTCAAACCAACTATAAATTGTAGAAATTCATACACAAATATTGAAAGCATTTCATGAGAAAACTAAAAGGTGTGCAACATGAATATTGTCTCCATTACTTTGTGTAATTTATTGATGGTCCCTAAATAGCCCCAGAGATAGGCTATCCAAAGTCAAACCAATTTTGCCACGTTGCACACCAGCCAGCAGAAGCTAATTGGCGAAATAATATGGCTAACTCTTCCCACCTGTGAACACACACAAGAGACACCCACATCAAACCACACCCCGAAACTAACTCACGTTTGAATTCAGTCATGGCTGCTAGCATTTCTTAATTAACCAAATCTACAACGAGGCCAAATCAGGAAGTGCAGTCGCCCTTTAACTATCTGTCTGTAAGTGAGTGAGAGGAGGTGATCGGCTTGGGAGCTTTTACAAGTTTCTTATTTACACAGGGGTCTGACCTCAGTTGTTGAGGCTGGTGTGTCCTCATCTCACATTTTCAGTCACTGTGAAATTTCCCTGTGAAGAATAGTCAGTTTGAAAGCTTTTTCTGTGACCTGTTACCTCAGTTTGAGTTGGAGCGAGCCGTCACTCTCGTGGTCCTCTGTAGCTCAGCTGGTAGAGCACGGCGCTTGTAACGCCAAGGTAGTGGGTTCGATCCCCGGGACCACCCAAAAAATACACAAAAAAATGTATGCACGCATGACTGTAAGTCGCTTTGGATAAAAGCGTCTGCTAAATGGCATATTATTATTATTATTATTATTCTAAAATATGCTTGACGCAGGCATAACTCAACTTGAAGGCCACTGCGTTTACATATACTTTGAAATTACACAAACAAAAATACACCTTCTTAGTCATAGTGACAAAATTACACTGAATTGTTGCATATGTTGAAATAGGCCTACAAAAAAAAAAGCCTGCCAAAAGCCTAAAGTGGCAAACGCCCACTACACGCAGAGAGATGATTGCTCATTTGAATAGACTAATTACTACAAGGCCAGTGACATTCATTAGCCAACCCCTGGATGTTCACTGTCAGTATTTGGGGATGGTGTCTCCTAGCAACACAGTGATTTGATTTCTCTCCCATCCTGGTCATCTATTATTTAGATTTTATTGAACCTTTTATTTAACCAGGCAAGTCAGTTATGACAGCCTTGTTTACAATGATGGCCTTTTTACAATGACGGCATAGCCATCGGTAGTTGTATATTTGACCTTTGATTTGTTTGGCCTTTTGATTTGTAGGATAATGATTTGGAGGTAATCAGTGGCAGCCTGGACATATTGTGGCATTAGGTGGGAGTACCAGCCAGGTATGACATCATAGAAGGATGACTGTAAAGGGTTTATTTGTGTGGCAGCAGGTTGATCCTGGACTGGCCTGAGATTAGTCCTGTTGGTGAGATCGGTACTGGGCTTGTATTCACAAAGAGTCTCAGAGTCGGAGTGCTGATCTAGGATCAGGTCCCCCTCTTTCCATATAATATTAGTCATTATGATCTAAAAGTTTAAAGAACCACTGAACACTCTGATTGGTACATGTGTTTTTCTGTTGCTCTTTAGAAATGTCAGTCTTGGAGGTGTGTTTCCCGTTTGGTTAATGATGTTTGTCCCCCATGAGACACTAGACGCAGAAGCCTATTTCACTTCCTCAAAATCCCCAGAATGAAACTAAGATAACTCAACAAATCGTCAATAAATGTTTATGTTTTTGCAGAGGATGTTTTAGTTGCGCAATTTTACATCTAACTAAGATGTTTGCTGTTGAGCAGGTCTTACGAACAATCACCACAGCTGTTCACCCCATGTTAGTGGGCAAATGGACATCATCAAGTCAAACCCAACCTTAATTTACCCATTGTGACGCATGGATGTTCCAAACTCCATTTTAGACTAGATTGACTTTACGACCAAAATCATCCTATTTACACTTTGTAGTACATTTTGACACTACAATAACTATTTTTGACTCATATTGATGCCACATAGGCTGTTTTCAAAGAGATGTGTTGCTTTTTAAAGGTAGCCGCTCTTTAAACTGATCCTAAATCAGCACTCCTTCTTTAAGACTCTTTGTGAATGCAGGACCGGATGATGATGGTGACTGAGCCTCATATTCAGGGCTGCCAAACAGTAGAGGAGAGGTATAGGACCTGGGTGAGGACTTATTCCATATGAGATCCAACATCGGTCTATGGCTGATTTACTTCTAATGGAGCGAGACTGAGAGGGGGAAGGGTTAACGATGGAGAGATGGGAAGAACAGAGCAGAGGGAGAGATGCTGAAGGTAGAAGGTAATAAAGGCGATTTGTGTTAGGGCAGAAAATATACAATTCCGGCTTGTTTATATAATCCAACCTTGAAAGTGCCCAATTGAAACTTCTTGATTCCTCTGATCTTTGTATTTTAAACCTCTAGACATTCCTGCTCTCCCGCAGAGACACAGTCTGCCCATGTACTGAACCTGTGGCTGAAGACAAAGGCTATGGCTTGAGTCATTACATTTGACATGATTGAATTATTGACCAACCTGAAAACCAAAGTGTCAGATGCATTGTGGCTTGTCTTCCAGGTTGCGGTGAGGAAGGAGGCATTGAGCACTTAGCTTGTTCTCTTCTCAAGGTGGTTACCTTGGTGTTGCTTGCTGAGACTAAACTACTCTATTTTCATGCAGCCTGTTGGAGGTCTGTCAGAGGCAGGGGACAGAGCCATATGTCACCCCTGCCTATTATATGTCACCTCTTCCTATTGACTGGATGCCCTTGGGACACATGCATTCATCCCCTAACCCCAGGCCTGTCATGTCACCCTGCTCCTCTGCTCAGACAGAGCTTTCTGGAGAGATCAGTTTCCTAGCTGCTCATAGCTCCACCGATAGGCCCTGGTGGTCTGTAACCATAACCCAACACATCATTCATGTCAAGTGGATATACTGTGTCTGTGACCAATACATTATTACTACTATGAGCTGTGTTCTTCTGAGGTACAGGGTGGAACATATTGGGGTCATCCTGGGAGACAAGGGAGATGTTTCTCACATATCGTTTTGTAATACCAGACCAGTAGACAATGGGACACCCAGTGTGTGTTGGTAGCCTACACCTATATTTGCAAAACTGTCCTCCTCCTATCAGTGTGATGTATCTGAAGACTTAAGGGTTGCATGATGGAATTCTCATTCCCCATCCTGGGTTTTTGATACTGATCATGATGACCAAAGGGAATTCTACCAAGGTGTTGCCTTTCTTTTCGTTTGGTGAAGGTATTATTTCATAGTGAATATACAGTATCTGCCTTCTTTTAACAAATACATGTGTTTATTATTAGGGTCCCAATGTATGGGAGGAAATTGGATTTGAGTGCTAGCTGTTGACATCAAACGCTCCAGAGCCCACTGTGCCCCATGTGGCTGGTGTTTGCAAAGGGGTCTATATTTGGAATGGCTTTGAGTCTCTCTTCTCTTCTTTTTTGAAGTGGGGAGGGAGATGAACAATTTAAAATGCTTTTTCTTCTGTTCCGTTGGTTGGTGGTGGTGGGCGCACCAACCTTTCTTCTTCAAAGGTGTGAGTCAGAATTCGACATTTATGACTCAACGGGCTCAGCTGCCATCTCCTGTGTCGCATGGCATGAGCATTTAAAATGAGCATTCAGTACCCATAGGAGAACAGCTCCATTTAAAAGCTAAGCTATAGTTTGGCACACAAGACTGTTTAGTACTACAGTAAAGTATTACATTGATATTGTAATCCCCTTAGCCCCCAATCCTCTGGCCAGGATTCAATCAATTGCAGATAGTGAACTTTTAAATACTGTAGCTCTTTCAGAAATACCTTTGATTTACGTTTATGTTCCAGTTGACACTTGAATTGGGGATAGTGTCTCCTAAATTGTCAGTGTGGTTGCGTGCACTGCATGACTTCAGAACCTGGTTCCCTGTCAGAACTGAATGGGTCACGCAATGGGTCTGCAAGTGTCAACTTCCTTCCTCTGTCCGGATTACACTGCTGTGAAAATCAAACACAGTTATTCAGGAAGTCTGTTATTGATTGGATCCTGACCTTCAGGCCTCCATTGCTGTTGTCTCGTCGTTGATTTCATAACGGATCACATGAAGAAGCGTTTGTTGAAATGGGAACACAAGATAGAGCTGTGATTATGAAGAAGTTCCTGGAGGAAAGATACAAGTTAGGATAGTGATATAACCAGGAACAGAAGTGCTTTGTAGTGTGTGTGTGTGTGTGTGTGTGTGTGTCTGTGTGTGTGTCTGTGTGTGTGTCTGTGTGTGTGTACGTTTTATAAAGAAATTGACTAATTTTGCCTCAGTCTGAAGCATTGCAGTGCTAATGTATTCAAGGTAATTCATTTACCCTCTCGTTGAATTTACTGCGCTAGCTAATGTAGAACAGGTCAAACTTGTGTCACATTTTGAGAAAAGGCTTTTCCCCCATTATAAACATTGCCTCATAGAGAATGCCCACCTTCTCTTTTCACTGTGACACCCCATTATGTCTGGCTCTACTTTGGAGATACACTTAGCTACTGTCAGCCTGAAGAAGAGGAATGTCATTATCTTCTGAATATCATCATCCATTCCCAGGTGGGTAAAATGTTCCTGGAGATATTCTTCACTCTCAGAGTTAGTTTGGACCAACATGATTAGGGCCCAGTAATTCTAAGTAATCGTCAGTTGAAAACTGTTGCTCACCGTCACAAAAAGTGAAACGTTTGGATTCTTAGAGCCTTCCCGCTTATCATCACATGGACTGAATCAGATGTTTCAATAGGATATCTGATGGGGCTTTTGGTAAATGAAAAATGTCCGATTCCTGCACGTTTTCTTTTTTCTTTTCAAATGACATGTATCTTAACCAACAAACGGCAGCACATTTGCCTTGCACATGAGAGCATTATAGGACATTGTAGGACCGTAACATGTGGCACCTCACAGTGCCGTGTGATGCTGCTCACAATAAGCAGCAAGCAGCCTGGCCTGCACATGACTTGCATTTATTTTAGCACACAATGCACTTCATTGTGTTGACTTGTACCACACTATATAGGGATTCACATTTAGACCATATCAAACCATTCTCCACTAAACATTCTCAACCTGATGACTGTCCTGTAAACGGGGGAATTTAAAATGATTATTATGATACATCTTTTTGTGTGATTTTTTGTGTGATTTTTTAAAACAATACATAACATACACATACAAACAACAACATACAGACTCACACCAACATCCACAACATCCACCCTGCCTAGACCCACCTGCTCACACCCCCATCTCCAGCACCCGCATCACTCTCCGCCACATGGCCTCAAACTGCACCATTTTGTTTCTCTCCATCGCCCACGCACTTTCAACATTTAGATAATAAAGCATTTAACCTTTCCATTGTGCTAACGATGGAGGATTACTTGATTTCCAGTTTTTAAGTATATGTTTTTTCAAGATGATTGACGAGAAAAGTATCTTCCAACCCATCGGGTATCTCACTGCATCCTCATATGCCATGTCTTGAAATATGCAAACTGATGGATTAAAAGTACATTTACATTGTAACATTTCTGACAGTCAACATTCTAACTCCGCCCATAACTTTTGGACTTCATAGCATTCCCAGCAGGCATGGATTATTGAGTCATTGTTAGTTTTACACTAAAGACATGACTCTGTCGTTGTGCTGTAGAATTTGTGAGTTTTGTCCCTTGTGTAATAAATTCAATACATTAGTTTATACTGGATTAAGTTTAAATTTTTGCTACCTGTAATTTCATTAGTTATGTTCCAACATTCCCTCCATCTTGTACCCATATCAGTTATTTTTAAGTCTTGGTTCCAATAGGGCCATTTTAAATGTTGATGCTAGATGTTGTCACGTGTTGCCTAGCATAAATTGAAGGGGGTGGAGGTCATAATTACACATGGGTCCTGGGAGTCCTACATTTTCCACTTTTCATAGAATATACTTGAGTTCACTGTATGCAGAGTTACAGCAGTTTGTCATCTGCTCATTATAAACCATCTACGGTCTAGCTGTCGGTGAAACACACTACATTTTCAATGCCCCAGTGACAAATGAAATAAAAAAGGCAATTTTCTCAAACTCAACACACCAAATAAAGCTGTCAGCAGCGATATGCACTACGGCATCTTGTCATCATGTCAGACATGGCTGATGAGTGTGACAACAGTTCCCCTCAGAGGCCCTGGCTGGATCCTGGTGGGACGCTTGATATTGAGTTGTTTCTTCTCCTCAGCAGAGAAGCGCGACTCTCTCTCTCTCTCTCTCTCTCTCTCTCTCTCTCTCTGGATGATGGGTAGGTAAATATTGACACCAGTGCTGTCTTGCTCTGCAGGGTTTTATGGCTCCTAGCCACTGGCTGATAATTATTAATCTCCCTCTAAAATAATGTTGCACCTAGAAAGGTACGCAGGTGATCTAGTGCGCCGCTCGTTCCCTGGTTACTACAGACGCAAGAAACACGGAACACAGGACAGGACTCAATTAGCATGGCTTGGTAAACAGAAACACGACCACAGAAAAATGTGTTTACACTGACACACTCCATTATTATAGCGGTTAAATACAGAAATGGGTCAGTAGGATTTGTAATACCATATTTGTTTTTAAGTAAAAATAGCCTGAAGACCATAGTGATTTATAATAGCCTGAAGACCATAGTGATTTATAATAGCCTGAAGACCATAGTGATTTATAATAGCCTGAAGACCATAGTGATTTATAATAGCCTGAAGACCATAGTGATTTATAATAGCCTGAAGACCATAGTGATTTATAATAGCCTGAAGACCATAGTGATTTATAATAGCCTGAAGACCATAGTGATTTATAATAGCCTGAAGACCATAGTGATTTATAATAGCCTGAAGACCATAGTGATTTATAATAGCCTGAAGACCATAGTGATTTATAATAGCCTGAAGACCATAGTGATTTATAATAGCCTGAAGACCATAGTGATTATAATAGCCTGAAGACCATAGTGATTTATAATAGCCTGAAGACCATAGTGATTTATAATAGCCTGAAGACCATAGTGATTTATAATAGCCTGAAGACCATAGTGATTTATAATAGCCTGAAGACCATAGTGATTTATAATAGCCTGAAGACCATAGTGATTTATAATAGCCTGAAGACCATAGTGATTTATAATAGCCTGAAGACCATAGTGATTTATAATAGCCTGAAGACCATAGTGATTTATAATAGCCTGAAGACCATAGTGATTTATAATAGCCTGAAGACCATAGTGATTTATAATAGCCTGAAGACCATAGTGATTTATAATAGCCTGAAGACCATAGTGATTTATAATAGCCTGAAGACCATAGTGATTTATAATAGCCTGAAGACCATAGTGATTTATAATAGCCTGAAGACCATAGTGATTTATAATAGCCTGAAGACCATAGTGATTTATAATAGCCTGAAGACCATATTGATTGGAAATGTTCACAGTGCAGATGGTTAATAGAACCAGACATGGTGTTGGAGAGGACATGACTGTTATTTCAACAAATGTTTTATTAAAGGTTTATAAGCTATCTATAAACTAATGGTTTACAGTTGATAAACTACTTATAAACACTGTTTAAAGTATATTTCAAGTGTACTAGGAATTATCCTGGCCTTATTCGAACAGGAGGAAAACATGTTCTGATGTCAGTGACAGTTCTGACAGCAACAGTTCTTTACTGAGCAAATGAAAAACTGTTACCGCAGGTGTGTTAAAATTTCTTCTTCCAGATCCTAGGTCTATTCCTTTTTTTCTGCTTGGTTGTAGTTATTCTGAGTAATGTGAGATTTTTATGTGGTGTTGCTGAGTGCTGCAGGAGACATCCATTAACTAGAAAGAGACAGTACCACACCGTGCAGGGCTTGACCTCTCCCGTGTTCACTCTGCTCTGCTCTGCATGTACTACACACACACACACACAAATACAGGGACAGGGAGGAATAATGTAATGCACCTGGGGAGAGATAGATCCATTAGGCAAACAGGGTTTGTTGTCTAGGGGGGGCTGTTCAGGGGTCTCAGTTGTGTACTTGTTTGGATTACAGGCAGGCAGTATTACATCCACCTGCAACATGCTCCACTACTCTCCCTGTAGACTCACAGTAATAGGACTGGGACCTTGGTTGACTTCAAGTACTTCAAGTGGGAGTGGGTTTTTTACTGGATTGCAAGGTTTGTTGATGTAGCTGTCCTCGAGGAGGGAGGTAGAAAGCTAGGCTCTCTTAAAGAAGGTATTGCTGTGTTCACTGTCATCATGAAGCTCAGCCATTTTAGTGCATTCGCCACCTTTGCCAGACATTTAGGACATCAACAGAACACGTTAAAAAGTCCAGAGTCTGGTAAGTGGAGTGACTTTTGTCATCCTTTGTAGTCTGAGACCTCACTGGCTTCCTAATATGGTCGGACCAGGCCTGGGAAGGGAGTATAAATAGAGTAGGATTGTTGTTTGGGAATATTTGCATTGACCAGCTGGAAGCCTTCTCTGATGCTCTGTTGTTTCCATGGTAGTGCAGTGGGGCTGGAGAGGGGATGCAAATCCCTCAGCCTGGCCTTAGTCTGCCCTGGCTTCAGCAGCTGCCTTACTGACGCTACTGGCCTACTACTAATGCAACTACTACTCTTTTAGGCTCGCTTAGATAGCTCAGTAGTAGGGAAGGGCCTTTTTTGCCCTGTGCAACATCCACATGACCGTATCTGCTGCTCAGAGCTGGTAACCTCCACCAAAGGTATCTGCATGCTTCCCATCCGAAACAGTTCGTGAATATATTATGATGACATTTTGTGACATTTTTGTTCGTTTTGGTCGTCGGCAAAGGTTTTTTCAGCTGTTCGTGCACACACATTTTTTTCCTGAGGCAAGCCGAAGTTCATTAACCGAAGTCTACGCCCCTTCGTCTGTGATTGGTCAACAGTAGGGATTCTTCAATTAAGTGTATGTTGTCATTCAACGAGAGACGACTCATTTTCATGCAAAAAAAAAAATATGTGAGAAATACTGCACCTAACATCTTAGTTAGATGTAAAATTGCGCGACGAAGACGTCCTTGGCAAAAACATCAAAATGTATTACAGATTTCTTGACTTATCTTCTGACTATTTTGAGGAAGTGTACAGTATACTGGCTACAGCGTCTCAAGAGGGACAAACAGTAGCTGGGGTTCAACCAGTTGACCTGTAGACTGTCATTATGTAGTTATGTAGTTATATAATGGTCAGGGGTCAATGCAGCTCCACAAAGCTTTTAATACACTTTCCTGTTTAGAGTAGAAAAACACATCAACCTCTTCTGGGTCTCTGTGGGAGAATCTCAATCGCATACTCCTCATGTCCTCTCTCCTCGACTCCTCAAAACCCATTGGAGGAGAAGGTCAGAGGGGAGGGACCTCTGGCTTTATCATCCAATGGGTTTTGAGAAGGAGGCGAGGAGAGAGGACGCGAGGAGTATGCGATTGAGATTCTCCTATTCTCTTGTCTCCCATCTCCTCATCTCTGTTTCTCGCTCTGTGTGTATTTTCTTTTTCTTTCTCCACAGTGCTAACTCTCTCTCTCTCTCTCGCTCGCTCTTTTCTTTTCTTTTCAGTTGTTTTGTTCTACTTTAAGCCTTTTCTCTTTTCTCTTAAGCCTCAAGAGAGATCTCACTAATAGAATATTGACTCTATAAAGACATGTTTTGTTTGTTCGTCATTGGACATGCCATCGGCGTGAGTTCGACTCAGCTGCTGATTCTCTGATTCAGTCCATGTGTGGTTTCTGTGAAAGGGATGGCTGTAGCCTATGGCTGCCAGTCTCAGGACAACAGTGTGCGCCTTTCATCTCTGCTGACTGAGGGTAGTTCAGACAGCCTTCAGGTGCCTGGTGTTATGTACCAGATCACACTTGGTTTGAAATAGCCGCCTACTATTTGTCGTCTTACTTGTGCTTGCCTGGTGCAATAAAACCAATATAATAATACCAAAAAGGTGCAACTCCACCCACCTGGCACTCCAGGCAGGCTCAATCAAACAGAGTATTTAAAAGAAAACAAATACTAGTTATGTTTGTACAGATGGCCTGTAATCACTACTGATTGGCCCTGTCAGTGAGACATTACCCAATCGGCACTGTCAAATTAGTGTCAATACTCTCCCATTTCTCTCAGGGAGGATGACGCTCTCTTACATACAGTTGAAGTCGGAAGTTTACATACACTTAGGTTGGAGTCATTAAAACTAGTTTTTCAACCACTCCACAAATTTCTTGTTAACAAACTATAGTTTTGGCAAGTCGGTTAGGACATCTACTTTGTGCATTTTTCCAACAATTGTTTACAGACAGATTATTTCACATATAATTCACTGTATCACAATTCCAGTGGGTCAGAAGTTTACATACTGTCACAATCGTCATAATGAGCGGACCAAGGCGCAGCGTGATATGAGTACATACTTTAATAGTACTTAGCAACACGACACAATACAACAAAAACAACAAAACGATACGTGAAGTCCTCGGTCAATAACACAAACCTACACGGAACAAGATCCCACAAAACACAAGTGCACAACAGGCTGCCTATGTATGGTTCCCAATCAGAGACAACAAGCAACAGCTGATTCACGTTGCCTCTGATTGAGAACCACCCTGGCCAACATAGAAACACATAACCTAGAACAGAACATTACATTTTTGACATTTACATTTTAGTCATTTAGCAGACGCTCTTATCCAGAGCGACTTACAGTTAGTGAGTCATTCTTTAAAAAATTTTTTTTAAAATATATATATATATATATTATTTTTTTTACTGGCCCTCCGTGGGAATTGAACCCACCAACCCTGGCGTTGCAAACGCCATGCTCAACCAACTGAGCTACATCCCTGCCGGCCATTCCCTCCCCTATCCTGGACGACGCTGGGCCAATTGTGTGCCGCCCCATGGGTCTCCCGGTCACGGCCGGCTACGACAGAGCCTGGATTCGAACCAGGATCTCTAGTGGCACAGCTAGCACTGCAATACAGTGCCTTAGACCACTGCGCCACTTGGGCGCAGTGGAAAACGAAACATAGACACTACACAAAGAAACTAACACCCTGGCTCAACATACAAGAGTCCCCAGAGCCAGGGCGTGACAGTACCCCCCCCAAAGGCGCGGACTGCGACCGCGCCAACATAAACCCAACAGGGGAGGGGCCGGGTGGGCATTCCACCTCGGAGGCGGATCCGGCTCCGGGCGTGACCACCCCCCTCTAACAACCCCCCCGTAGCGCCCCTGGTCTGGTCCCGCTGGCTGGAGCTGGACTGGACATCGGTGGAGCGGATTGCTTAGGCTCCGGTGTGGAGCAGCTGACCGGTACCTGACCAGGCATGGGCTGTGCCGGACTGACGACGCGCACCACAGGCTTGGTGCGGGGAGCAGGAATGGGCCGGACCGGGCTGACGACGCGCACCACTGGCTTGGTGCGGGGAGCAGGAACGGGCCGGACCGGGCTGACGAAGCGCACCACTGGCTTGGTGCGGGGAGCAGGAACATGGCCGGACCGGGCTGACGAAGCGCACCACTGGCTTGGTGCGGGGAGCAGGAACAGGCCGGACGCGGGGCTGACGAAGCGCACCACTGGCTTGGTGCGGGGAGCAGGAAACAGGCCGGGCCGGGCTGGCGACGCGCACCATTGGCTTGGGGCGAGGGGCAGGAACAGGCCGGGCCGGGCTGGCGACGCGCACCATTGGCTTGGTGCGAGGGGCAGGAACAGGCCGGGCCGGGCTGACGACGCGCACCATTGGCTTGGTGCGAGGGGCAGGAACAGGCCGGGCTGGCGACGCGCACCATTGGCTTGGTGCGGGGAGCAGGAACATGGCCGGCCGGGCTGGCGACGCGCACCATTGGCTTGGTGCGAGGGGCAGGAACAGGCCGGGCCGGGCTGGCGACGCGCACCATTGGCTTGGTGCGAGGGGCAGGAACAGGCCGGGCCGGGCTGACGACGCGCACCATTGGCTTGGTGCGAGGGGCAGGAACAGGCCGGGCTGGCGACGCGCACCATTGGCTTGGTGCGAGGGGCAGGAACAGGCCGGGCCGGGCTGGCGACGCGCACCATAGGCTTGGTGCGAGGGGCAGGAACAGGCCGGGCCGGGCTAGCGACGCGCACCACAGGCTTGATGCGAGGGACAGGAACAGGCCGGGCCGGGCTGGCGACGCGCATCACAGGCTTGGTGCGAGGGACAGGAACAGGCCGGACCGTACTGGGAACACACAACACTGGCCTTGTGTGGGGATCAGGAACGGGCCGGACCGGACTGGTAACACACCTCAGTACCTCTCACCGTGCCTCTACACTCTCCCTCCCTCTAACGACCAATGGCCCCCGTAACCTGGTGGCCTTCTCTCCTCGTCCACAAACTCGCCCTGTATCTGCCTCCAGCAGCCCCGTCGTCCATGTCGTGTGCCCCCCCAAAAAAATTTCTTGGGGGTGCCTCTCGTCTGTCCGACGACGGCCCGGTTGGCGCCGCTTCTCCTCTCCTGCCTGGGTCTCCCCCTTCATCGCCCTCCGGTAACGGACGGCCTCCTCCTCCGTGATCTGCCCCCAACCGAGGAGGACATCCACTAACGTTACCTCCGGCGTTTGCTCCTGGACACGCTGCTTGGTCCTGTATTGTTGGGATCTTCTGTCACGATCGTCGAAAGGAGTGGACCAAGGCGCAGCGTGATATAAGTACATACTTTAATAGTACTTAGCAACACGACACAATACAACAAAAACAACAAAACGATACGTGAAGTCCTCGGTCAATAACACAAACCTACACGGAACAAGATCCCACAAAACACAAGTGCACAACAGGCTGCCTAAGTATGGTACCCAATCAGAGACAACAAGCAACAGCTGATTCACGTTGCCTCTGATTGAGAACCACCCCGGCCAACATAGAAACACATAACCTAGAACAGAACATAGAAAACGAAACATAGACACTACACAAAGAAACTAACACCCTGGCTCAACATACAAGAGTCCCCAGAGCCAGGGCGTGACACATACACTAAGTTGAGTGTGCCTTTAAACAGCTTGGAAAATTCCAGAAAATGATGTAATGGCTTTAGAAGCTTCTGATAGGATATATATATATATTTTTTTTAAATCATTTGAGTCAATTGGAGGTGTACCTGTGGATGTATTTCAAGGCCTACCTTCAAACTCAATGCCTCTTTGCTTGACATCATGGGAAAATCTAAAGAAATCAGCCAAGACCTCAGAAAGAAAATTGTAGAACTCCACAAGTCTGGTTCATCCTTGGGAGCAATTTCCAAATGCCTGAATGTACCATGTTCATCTGTACAAACAATAGTACGCAAGTATAAACACCATAGGACCACGCAGCAGTCATACCGCTCAGGAAGGAGATGCGTTCTGTCTCCTAGAGATTAAGGTACTTTGGTGCGAAAAGTGCAAATCAATCCCAGAACAACAGCAAAGGACCTTGTGAAGATGCTGGAGGAAACAGGTACAAAAGTATCTATACCCACAGTAAAACGAGTCCTATATCGACATATCCTGAAAGGCCGCTCAGCAAAGAAGAAGCCATTGCTCCAAAACCGCCATAAAAAAGCCAGACTACGGTTTGCAACTGCACCTGGGGACAAAGATCGTACTTTTTGGAGAAATGTCCTCTGGTCTGATGAAACAAAAATAGAACTGTTTGACCATAATAACCATCGTTATGTTTGGAGGAAAAAGGGGGTTGCTTGCAAGCTGAAGAATCACACTTGAAGAATCACAAGCTGAAGAACACCAATACTAAATGAGTGTATGTAAACTTCTAACCCACTGGGAATGTGATGAAAGAAATAAAAGCTGAAATAAAACATTCTCTCTACTATTATTCTGACATTTCACATTCTTGAAATAAAGTGGTGATCCTAACTGACCTAAAACAGGGAATTTTTACTAGGATTAAATGTCAGGAATTGTGAAAAACTGAGTTTAAATGTATTTGGCTAAGGTGTATGTAAACTTCCGACTTCAACTGTAGTTGGACAGACATGCACTCTCAGACACACACACACACACACACACACACACACACACACACACACACACACACACACACACACACACACACACACACACACACACACACACACACACACACACACAGGCCCACATGCCTGTCCTCAGTGTGCAGTGTGAGTTATTCTGGCTGGAGATATGTGTGCAGGAGTACAGTTCAGATCGGCTGAGACAGACAGACGGATGTTATGAACCATGGTGTGTGTGTGTGTCCTGGTGCCCCTGATAGCAGACAGACAAGCTTAGTCCGAAATGGCACCATATTCCGTATTTAGTGCACTACTTTTGACAAGGGTCGATAAAGGTCTTGTCAAAAATAGTGCACAATGTAGGAAGTTATGTACCATTTAGGATGTAGACACAGTCAGACAGTGTTGAGGGAATTAGTCGTGGAGGGGATTGAAATAGTCTACTGTAAGAGTTCTGTATTACATTTATTTAAAACTCTCTTCTTTCTCTCCCTATTTCTTCCTCTCTCTTCTCTCTCTCTTCTTCCCTCTCCCTCCCTTTCTCCCCCCCTCTCCAGATAGTGTCCAACGTCCTGATCTTCTCCTGTTCTAACATTGTGGGGGTGTGTACCCACTACCCAGCCGAGGGCTCCCAGAGACAAGCCTTCCAGGAGACCAGGGAGTGCATCCAGGCTCGCCTCCACTCACAGAGGGAGAACCAGCAGCAGGTAAGGCCCATCATGGGACTGTGGAGGACTCACAGGCAGTAAATTACTTGACATAGTCAGGGCTAGTTAATGCTGGTGTTAAAAGGGCTTTATAAATACATCTAATTTATGTATTGATACTTAATTATTATTATTATTGGAATTATAGTAATTAGTTGATATTATGGTAAGTGATAAAGATCTCTTGGTATAGTTGCAGCAGATACTTTGATATAGTGTTTTCTGACATACTACACTCACACACATGACACTTACACTGTCACATGACTCTGAAGGACCTAATAGGAGACAGGAGGTCATAGAGAGCAGGTGGTTCAGATCACCTGTAATGACGTCTGGTTCTTGGAAGTCTAGGGTTAAAGCGGCAATCCATAGCGGTGAACCTGCCACGTCCGTTCGCGATATTACAACAACAAAGACGTTACTTCAAACAATGAACACTTTTTTCCCCCTCTGACATCATTGCACATCATTGCACGTGTGATAGAACAGCAGAGGATGTACTACCATTTTTTTTTTACCACGATGCTGGATGCTCATTTCCTCAAAACAAAAACAATAACAAATGCGCCTGGGGCGGCCAGTAGCGGCCAGTGGCGCTGTTTCACCTATCGCGGATCTCAGGTTTAAACTTATTTTCCCAATGGGGAAATTATGAAATATCAATAGGCTACATGGAGGGGACAAAGATTTCCTAGTAACCAAGATCTGCGCTTACTTAAGTGACCTTTGGCTTCTGCTCCCTATAGACCCACAATGTCACAGCCTTAGAAAGTAGCAGCCGTCACCAAGTAGACAATCACCCCAGGTGTTGACAATTAGGACAGGTAGTGATGTAAGAGAGTAAGACGAACGCTGAGTCTGAAATGAAACCTTATTCCCTATAGTCAACATAATGCACTTTATAAACTGGGTGGTTCGAGCCCTGAATGCTGATTGGCTGAAAGCCGTGGTATACCACGGGTATGACAAAACATTTATTTTTACTGCTCTAATTACGTTGGTAACCAGTTTATAATAGCAATAAGGCACCTCGGGGGTTTGTGATTTATGACCAATATACCACGGCTAAGGGCTGTATCCAGGCACTCCTCATTACATTTACATTTACATTTACGTCATTTAGCAGACGCTCTTATCCAGAGCGACTTACAAATAGGTGCATTCACCTTATAGCCAGTGGGATAACCACTTTACAATTTTATTTTTTTTGGGGGGTAGAAGGATTACTTTATCCTATCCCAGGTATTCCTTAAAGAGGTGGGGTTTCAAATGTCTCCGGAAGGTGGTGAGTGACTCCGCTGTCCTGGCGTCGTGAGGGAGCTTGTTCCACCATTGGGGTGCCAGAGCAGCGAACAGTTTTGACTGGGCTGAGCGGGAACTATGCTTCCGCAGAGGTAGGGGAGCCAGCAGGCCAGAGGTGGATGAACGCAGTGCCCTCGTTTGGGTGTAGGGACTGATCAGAGCCTGAAGGTACGGAGGTGCCGTTCCCCTCACAGCTCCGTAGGCAAGCACCATGGTCTTGTAGCAGATGCGAGCTTCAACTGGAAGCCAGTGGAGTGTGCGGAGGAGCGGGGTGACGTGAGAGAACTTGGGAAGGTTGAACACCAGACGGGCTGCGGCATTCTGGATGAGTTGTAGGGGTTTAATGGCACAGGCAGGGAGCCCAGCCAACAGCGAGTTGCAGTAATCCAGACGGGAGATGACAAGTGCCTGGATTAGGACCTGTGCCGCTTCCTGTGTAAGGCAGGGTCGTACTCTCCGAATGTTGTAGAGCATGAACCTACAGGATCGGGTCACCGCCTTGATGTTAGCGGAGAACGACAGGGTGTTGTCCAGGGTCACGCCAAGGCTCTTCGCACTCTGGGAGGAGGACACAACGGAGTTGTCAACCGTGATGGCAGTCCTTCCCCGGGAGGAAGAGCAGCTCCGTCTTGCCAAGGTTCAGCTTGAGGTGGTGATCCGTCATCCATACTGATATGTCTGCCAGACATGCAGAGATGCGATTCGCCACCTGGTTATCAGAAGGGGGAAAGGAGAAGATTAGTTGTGTATCGTCAGCGTAGCAATGATAGGAGAGGCCATGTGAGGATATGACAGAGCCAAGTGACTTGGTGTATAGCGAGAATAGGAGAGGGCCTAGAACTGAGCCCTGGGGGACACCAGTGGTGAGAGCACGTGGTGCGGAGACAGCTTCTCGCCACGCCACTTGGTAGGAGCGACCGGTCAGGTAGGACGCAATCCAAGAGTGAGCCGCGCATAAGAACAGCCCTTAGCCGTGGTATATTGGCCATATACCACACCCCCTCAGGCCTTATTGCTTAAATATAGCAGTGTTTCCCAACTCCGTTTCTCGAGTACCCCAACAGCACACATTTTAGTTATAGCCCCGGACAAAAACACCTGATTCAACTTGTCAAGCGCTTGATGATTATTTGACAAGTAGAATCAGGTGTGCTTGTCTGGGGCCACAACAAAAATATGTACTGTTGGGAGTAGTGGACGACTGGAGTTGGGAAACACTGTATATAAACACTATATAGGGAATAGGGTGCACTTCGTATATAGAGGTTGTCATTTTGGATGCAAACCAAAGCTACAGGTTGAATTGAACCCAGGATCAGTCTGTGTTCATAGTATAGGCCAGGACATCCTAGCACAGTAGGTTTTCCAAATGCCTTGTTCATAATCAGATTCATGCCTAACATGAGTAGCTACTAGCAGGCGGCATATGCTTTGTTAGTCACCCAGCATAAGGGCTGTCTTCACAGTAACTAGATGAATGGCGACAGTAATAATGACTGCAGCTCTGCAAGCCACAAAGCAGAAAGAAAGAGAGAGAGAGAGAGCAAGAGATCAAATCAAATCCAATTTTATTTGTCACATGCACCGAATACAACAGGTGTAGACCTTAACGTGAAATGCTTACAATGCAATTTTAAGAAAATAGAGTTAAGAGAGAGAGAGATAGAGAGATAGAGAGAGAGAGATAAACAGAGTGAAAAAGAGAGAGTGAGAGTGAGAGAGAGAGAGAGAGAGAGAGAGAGAGAGAGAGAGAGAGAGAGAGAGAGAGAGAGAGAGAAACAGAGTGAAAGACTCGTAGCTAACAGCTAATTCGCTAAGATTTACAAGAAGTTAAAGGAGTGGGTTTGTGTGTTGTTGGCCTATCCTAGCCCCTCGGTAACACCCGTCCACCTACACCTGCTGCTGTGGTGTAAACAGAATAGGAGCTTCGTCCCAAATGACACCCAATATAGTGAACTGGACCAGAGCCCTGGTAAAAATGTGTGCACTATATTCCATTTGGGACGCAGCCAAGGAGATGGCATCAAGGGCTGACCCACACTCGTCAACCAGTGATGACATCTCTCAGCAGGCAGGGATACTGTGCTGTGGGCGTCATCGCAATAGAGGGATGGAGGCAGGGGGCAAGCAGCCGTCTGTTCTAGTGCTCAACTACCCAGGTCTTCCCCTGTTGGATCTGTCATAATCAAGACCTCTCCATTTCTCTGTCTCACTGTCTGTCTCGTGTAATGACTCCTATAAACGAAATCTCTGGTTTGTCCTTTTCTCTCTCTCCTCATATGCGGAGCGAGAGCTAGCAGAGGAGCTGACGAGAGACGTAGAGCAGAGCGAGAGAGGATGAGAGAGCGGAGAATCGGAGAGGAGATTAGAGCGAGCGAGAGAGAGAGAGCGTCTATCTGCTCATCGCAGATCTTCTCCTGCTCTCTCTACTCTCTCTCGCTCCTCTCTCTCTCCTCCCTCCCTCCCTCCCTCCCTCCCCCCCCCGGCTGTCTTGCCTCACTCTGTCTCTCCCCGTCCTCTCTCTCTTCATCCTTCTCTCTCTACTCTCTACCTCCCTCCCCCTCTCTCTCTATCTCCACCCCTCTCTCTCTCGCCCTCTCTCTCATTCCTCTCTATCTCTGCAGGAGCGTCTCCTGCTCTCCGTGCTTCCCCGTCACGTTGCCATGGAGATGAAAGCTGATATTAATGCTAAGCAGGAAGACATGATGTTTCACAAGATCTACATCCAGAAGCACGACAACGTCAGGTACCAGTCACCAATGACATCACCAGGGAGAGGGGGGACACATGCAATCAATGCCATGCTCCAAAGCTATGTCCGGGTCATTCCCTTCATTAACTAACATGCTACTTTACTCAGCATTACCTAGCCTCTGAGGACAGCTACACATGCTATCCAGGGTGTGTGACATATCTCTGTCACTCCCACACACTTCAGGTCTGGAGACTTTGTCAAACTTTTGTCAAGCCTTTGTCTTGGCATTTAAAGGCATGATGAAAGCCTTTGGAACCCATGTATAATCATGCAGTATAAATGCTTGATGATTAATTTATATTATAATCCCATTATTACCATTTTGGTAGTATGTGTTTAACCTCCAGTGGTAGTGGAGAGTATTACTAATCATCATCCAATAGCAATCATTAAAGATGTGTGATGAAGACTAGAGAATCAGAGCTGGCACCATCTTGTTGATTATAGAACGAATGCACAAGGCTTGCATTTGGTACATACTGGCAGAGAAAAAGAGAGACAGAGAGAGAGCGCGATAGAGAGGGGGGGGGGGGGGGGGAGAAATGGAGGGGGAGAAAGAGGCAGAGGGGGGACAAAGAGAGAGATGGAGAGAGATAAATATTAAGAGAGAGAAAGATGGAGAGATGGTTGTTTTCTCTGTGACTGTCTGGCTTGTGGACACCAAGCAGACTCCTAACATCATGCGGTATGTTGTGTTCTCAGAACCATGCCTGGTAGGCTTCTAGCTCTTCGGTCTTAGGGCAGACCAGACCCAAACACACATAAGAGGTGCTATTGTAGTTTTGAAGAGTCTCTTTGAACCACATGGTTAGAGTTGGAGGTCACGTATCTTTCACTCTTTCCTAAAACAAAACAGTATTTTCATTGCCTGTGTGTATGTGATCATTATCAGTTTGTTGCCGTGTTAGAGCAGAGAGAGTTGAACCTTGAAGTCAGAGAGGGTTTAGCTCAGAGACCTTGCAGTTCCTTCCATACCTACCGCTATGGAAGGAAGGTTCAGGCACAATGCATGTGATGCCTGCTGTTTTTGTGAAGAATGAAAGGTAGAGAAAACACACACACGCAGGCACACACATCATTTCATATAGCACTAACATTTATCTCTAAAAGTCTCTCACACATTTTAAAATGAGTCACTCTAGATAAGCTAGCCACACTGTAGAAAACACTATCGATGACAATTGGTTATGATGACGATGCTTTAGATAACGATGGTAATGCTGATGATGAAGATGCTGTGCGACGAAGAAGTATTTATATTTTCTGTTTGTGGTGATTCCGTCCAGCGACTGATCTCAACTGGTCCTGCACAAGGCTGCTGGAAAAAGCGTTGCCCCTGTTTTTAACTGACTCACTGGGGGTCTGGGATTACTGGCCGCTAGGCTAAGCTAAGCCTGGCTGACTGTGCAGCTAATACCCTGCTAAAGAGAGGGAGGCCTGGGGTAGCGAGCCGCTAACAGTGCCCGGCCGCCCTCTGTAATTGGGCAGCAGACAGACAACAGGAAAAGAGAGTTGACAGCTCTTGGCAGGGATAGAGAGAGAGAGAAAGAGAAAGAGAAAGAGAAAGAGAAAGAGAAAGAGAAAGAGAGAGAGCGAGAGAGAGAGAGAGAGAGAGAGAGAGAGAGAGAGAGAGAGAGAGAGAGAGAGAGAGAGAGAGAGAGAGAAAGAGCGCTTGGCTGTGGAGAGAGAGAGAGAAAGGATAGAAGTCTGGGGCTGCTGTGTCTAAACATTACTACATTACTAGTAGCTGTCAAATCCTTGCTTCCTCTATCATTGAGCATCAAGGACCTCCTCTCCTTCAATGGGTTTTGAGAGGAATTGAGGAAACAAGAATGGAGAAAGCAATAATTATTTGACGGCTAGTAACGTTTTCAGACACTGCCCGGGTTTCAGTGTTTCTCTGTGTGTTCCAGGTGGATGGGGGAGATATAGTGGAGGATATACTGTATGTAGCCTAGCACGTGAGGTGGGGTTGCTGAGAGAGCAGATAGCATCTTGTCCTGCAGCATGTCATGTCCCTGGCCGCTCCTCCCAGCTCTGACTGCTCTGCTCTGCTCCTCCCTGCCCTGCTCAGCTCAGCCCACTCTGCTGTTTGTCAGCAGACCTCCTTTTTGCTTTACTGTTTTGGTCCTCCTCCACCGCCTCCTCCACCTCCTCCTCCACTTCCTCCTCCTCCTCGAACAAAAGCCCCATGGCTTTCAGCAATTAGGCTGAAATGTCCCAACTACAAGCGTGTTACGCAAGTTAGCAGCAGTGGGGTGTAGGGATGTTTGTCGAGAAGTTTTGAAGCTCATCTCAGTGAAGTGGGGTATTGATATGTCTACTAGAAGACAACACGGTGCTTTTTTGTTGTGTTAAGTTTAAAGTTTTAAAGTTTATTCGCCATGTGCACAGGATACAACAGGTGTAAAATAGTATAGTGACATTCTTACCTTGAGAGCTCTTTCCCAACAATGCAGTGATAATAATAATTTATACACCGGGTGGGTCTAATCCTGAATGCTGATTGGTTAAAACCGCATTCCAACCGGTGTCTATTCCACAAGTTACCACCGGCAAAATCTATGACGTTATTTACTCTGTTCCATCTGATTGCGCAATCCACTGTGTCATCAGCCCAGCCAGGCAAGTTATAAACTTGGTCTCCACTATAAAAAGCATCTAGACATTATCTCACATTTCTTTTAGACTAACATTTAGTTTTCAACAGCGAAGATTTGTATAAACCTTGCTGTCTGTCTCTCCGACATTTGCAACATTGTTTCAGTATTCAAATTTGATCTCCAGCTGTCCCGTAGTAATGAACGTCGGGACGAGACAGACAGGCAGGCACCGTTTCTCAACCAGTTGAAATCATGAATCAGCTGGCATCATTTTTATGGATATATACAAAGAAATGTAAATTGAGTGCAGCTAGTTTGCGGTCTTTCCAGCTTCAGTTTGAAGTGATTGGGTTAGCTGTGTTGTTGGCTAGCTCCTCTGAACAACAGTGTCCTGACGAGAGAGCACATTTTCTATGCCAGGCGAAATCGCAAATCATTAGCTCATGGTTATGGACTTATCCAGATAAATGTCACTAGAAAACAGCTTAAACAAATGCAAATGCAGCTACTGTTGTTATTCTATCTGCACTGTTTGACGTGACTGTAAGTTAGCCGTAGTTGGCTAGCTAGCAAGCAAGCAAGGGATAAGAACGTTGCCAGCCAGTATGGCAATGGAACATTTCGAATGAACGACTGGGTCGCGTCCATAGATACAGAAAAAAAAGACTAAACGACTGGCAACCGAACCGATAGAACGAACGAACGAACGACCAGCCGGCTTGGGTAGCAACCCTAGATTTGTGTCGGGACTATATCTTGTGGAAGGATGAAATAGTATGAATAATAATCAAAATAACGTTTTTAATGAAAATATGCCAATCATTATTTGAATATGTTGGTAACCCGTTGTATAAAAGTGATAATGCTCTCGAAGCCGGTGTGTGGAGGATATATTGGCACGGTTTGCTGGCCCTCGACAAATATATCCTCCAAACACCGGCTTCTCTGGCATTATCACTTAAATAGATAATAATATAAAATAGAATAAAACAAGTTATAAAAATAAAAACCACACAAGAACTACAAGTTAGAAACAAAGGTGTTGTTGCCTACTCTCACCACCTGTGGTCGGCCCATCAGGAAGTCCAGTATTCTGGTGTTCAGTCCCAGGGTCCCGAGCTTGGTGACGAGCTTGGAGGGTACTATGGTGTTGAACGCTGAGCTGTAGTCGATGAACAGTATTCTCACATAGGTATTCCTCTTGTCCAGGTGGGAGATGGCAGTGGAGATTGTAATTGAGATTGCATCGTCTGTAGATCTGTTGGGCCGGTATGCAAATTAGAGTGGGGTGTCTGGGATGATGGAGGTGATGTGTGCCATGACCAGCCTTTCAAAGCACTTCATGACTACAGATGTTAATGGTAGTCATTGTGGCAGGTAGCCTTAGAGTTATTGGGAACAGGAATGATCGTGGTCAGTTTGAGACATGTGGGGATTATAGACTAGGACAAGAAGAGGTTGAAAATGACCGTAAAGATGCCTGCTCTGAGAACGCGCCCTGGAATACCAACCGGCCCTGCGGCCTTGTGAGTGTTGACCAGATAAAAAACTTTACTCAGGTCGGCATTGGGATGACGGGGGCCCTCGTGCACGGTTCGATGTTGTTTTTGGTTTATACTACATCTATCGACATGTCTGTATACAGTTGTCGCAGTGACATCATTAACATTCTATTGTCATCCGACATTAAACTTGTTGTTGTCGTTATGAAAAAGTATAAACACAAAAACGACAGGCTGCATGACATCAGCAGCCCGGTGGTCCAAAATAGCATAACTGGTGTATTTTAACACCAATAAACCCATCTGTTTAAAAATGAATTTAGTATATGTCAATTTAGGAAAGCAGGCAACTAAACGCAACTTTCTAAACAATGTTTTGGTTAGTTTCTAGCTTGTTAGCTAGCTGGCTAATGTTCCGTTAGCTGGCTAGCCATTTTAAATAATGACCATATCATATAGCTGACAACATCTTAACTTTAACTATTTTGTATTCATTATTACAGGAAAATAAACTCACAACTAGATCAGTATTTACAAGTTAATGGTGAGCTAATTACAGAAGTTGTAAGTGTGACGAAATAATAGCAGGGCATTCTACCGGAGAATTTTAGAACATGGACACTGTCTCGTTGGCCTAATGTTATATCCTAATTTGTCTTTGGTGCAGGTCATGTTGTTCTTCACATTACTGTCTCTGGTAAACACACACTATATCAAATAAAATCAAAGTTTATTTGTCAAATGCACAGGCTACAGAAGTTGTAAACGGTACAGTGAAATGGTTACTTGCAGAGTGGAGGCTTTTGTTTAGACATGTAGCTAGCTAAACAATTAACCATTATCCCAACTCATAATGTTAATACCCTGCATTAATCTACAGATAGCTAAAGCTAACCAACTAGCTAGGTTCAATGTTAGCTAGCTAGCTAACATTAGGCTATAACTAGCAATGCAAATGGCTCTGAGATACGAATATTATTACTACACAGATCATACACGTAACGTTAGCTAGTGAGCCAGCCAGCCAGCCAGCTAACGTTAGCTAGCTAGCTAACAGTACGTTTTAACTTGCAATGAAAACAACTTTCTGACTAAATTAGAAAAATATAATATCTGAAAATGTAGCTAGCTAGACTCTCTTACCCGTATACATGGATGAACGCTTCTACATCTCTGTCACGGATGCCATGGTTGCCCTTAGTTTGAAGATGTATTCCGGAGACAGGTGTTTTATACAACAGCCTTCTGTGTTCTCTTTTCGACTCCCTCCGCATTTGCAATCAAACGACTGAATTTGCTCCATCTCTTTAGCTATCATACTATGCTTCCACTGGGCATTCCACTGATTTCAAAACTCGGTCCTCCAGAAAGTGGAGAGCCTTAGCAACACTTGTGCAGGTCTTTGTGATATCTTTCAAAAAAGCTGCTTTAGAAAGGATTACCTACACATACTAACAGCTCATGTTATAGACAGAAGCGTGCTACATGGCAGACCAATCCGAACTCATCTCTCAGCATGTCCAGTCCATCCATTATCTTAGCCAATCATGGCTAGCGGGACGGTTCCTGTCTTTTTCCGTGGCTAAACCAACTAGGCTCATAATTTAAGAATTGTATTTGTATTTACAGATGGCATACACGTTTGTTATTAAGACACATGAAAGTTCACATGTTCCAGAAGGCATTTCTGCCAAAAAACACTTTTTTATCAAAACAATTGTTTTACGTTCAAATGCCTCTCCTGTGAAGTAGTGACGCGTGACATATGCCTAGTTTCCTGAAATGAGTCACATATTGTCCTTTTGCCTGTTTGGTGGCTCTGCGGTGGTCGCAGTGGGACTACTTGTACGCATTCGTGTCTTCAGCCGTAGCTTCGGGGTTGGCTGCGATAGCCCTGTGTGCAGTAGCTCTGCCCTTTAGCTTAGCGTGTACCTCTGTGTTAATCCAGGGCTTTTGATTGGGGAAAGCAGCGAAAATTCACTGTGGGGACAACATCGGCGATGCATTTCTTGATGAAGCCCGAGACGGAGGTGGTTAGCTTGTCGATGCTATTGCCGGAGTCCCAAAACATATTCCAGTCAGCGCTAGCAAAGCAGTCCTGCAACATAGCCTACGATTCTGAGAACCATTTCTCTAAGGAGCGCGTCACAAGTACTTCCTGTTTGAGCTTCTGTTTATAAACAGGAAGCAGGAGTATAGAGACATGATCTGATTTGCCGAAGGGGGGAAGAGGGAGGGCCTTGTATGCTTGCTTGTGGGTTGAGTAACAGTGGTCTAGGACTATATCGCCCCTAGTGGCGAAGGAGACGTATTGACAGAAGTTGGGCATATTGCGGTTTGTGCCATTGTCCCAACCTTAAGACAGACACCTTGAGAGGACTCAGATACATTTTGCATTTAGACATGTCCTTTGGCTGACATTTTTTATTACGATATTCATGAACTGAACTCTGAGTTCTGTCGCTCTCACTCTCTATTGTCTCTCTCATGCATAATCTCCACTCCATCCCCGTGTGGTACAGTAAGGAGAGACAAGTCCATGCTGCTGCAGCTCTGCATGTGTCTGTGTGTCTGCCGGGTGCTTGGCTGCAGGCTGCAGTGCAGTTGTGCTCCAGTCTACAGTGGCATCCAGCCTAGTCTCTTAGTACCTTAAATTACATAATATCCCCTACAGGAGCTACTAGTCTGTGTCCGTGCTGTTCTAACTAGTACTGACAAACTGTCCTTGTTCAGCACAACACAGCACTATAGCAAACAGCACAGGATATACTGCTGAGCTCTGTCCTTCACTTCTCACTTCCCCCCCTGCTCCTCCCCCTATGGACATTCCTTCGGGGACATTCTGTTGTGGTGCTCGGAGCTTAAGAATTTCACTGTACCCTGTAATTACATCTGCGACCCTGTGCATGTGACTAATAAACTCATCTAATCTAATCATCTAATCTAATGTACACAATAGTTTACATTACTAATTAGTATGTAGCAATACATTGGATATTATGCATTCTGGTGACAAGTGGTGTGCTAGTGGACATTAGTACATAGCCCTGGTCGCTCTTCCCAGCTGATGTTGTCACCTGGGTGTAGAGAATATGGCTTCTGAGAATATGGATGATATTGGATGGGAATGGCTTTGTAATGTACAATATCTAAAAGACTGGCACTAAGCTTGTCTTTGGGGCATGCTGGTGTAGAGCTTGGCTTGGATCACAGACAGCAACAGAGTTGACAGGAAGGTGTGCAGCCAGGGACAGAGAGGAGGAAATACAAACTGACAAGCAGCCAAATGTAACAGCTACACATGGGTTTGGTTGGGCATGACAGGCTCGTCACAACAACACACAGAGAGAGAGAGACAGACAGAGGTGGATAAATGGCCACACAGACAGGTAGCTGAACTGGATACTATCCCGATGTGACAGTAGTATTAGAACTAAAATGACAGGAGGAGTGGTAGGAGAACTTTGAAGAGGGGAGGTAGAGAAGGAAGAGAGTGAGAGGGGAATGTGTGCAGGGTGAGGTGAGTGAAGTGGGGAGAGGCAGGGAGGCAATGAGGGCGGCAGGAGGGGAGAGCCCAACCATCAACAGTGCTGAGGGGTCAAGCTATGCGGCGGGAGATGAAAGGCTGATCGTCTGTGGCAGTGCCAGGAGGTCTGGGGGAAACGAGGTTAGGGGGTCAAGCCACGCCGTTCCAGAAGCCCCTTTTGACACGGCAGCGAGATGACCCGTAACAGGTTCTGGGGGGCTAGCTATGTAAGCAGGAAGTGCTCTCTCTCTCTCCCTTTATTCTTTCCCGGGGGGGGGGGATGTTGGATGTTGGACGCGGTCCCTGGCATGGCTGCCGTTTTCATGCGAGCCGAGGCCTAGCTAAGAAGCAAGCAAGCGTGGAGGCGTACTGTAACAAACAACTTCCTAACAACATAATGCCGTTCACTCCCTCGCAGCTTTGGTGTCACGTTTCAGCTGAAACTCTGGGTTTCAGCAGTTTCACCCCAAGCTGTAAAAGGGTTGTTATTCCATCCTGGGCCTTGTTGTTGTGCAGATTATCCACCTTTTGGAACCGATTTACAGTAGATTTACAGTAGTTGGGACGTTGCCCGAGTCCAGCGCATGGCCTTATTGTAGCCTGTAAACCAGGTTGTGTGGTTAGTACAGAAGGTTCATTCCATTGCTTCATTCCAATGAGCAAATGATATATGACTGTCTGTTTATCATCTCTGACAGTTTAGCAAAATAATGCAATGGATGAGCACAATAACACTGATGCTAATATATTGTCTCTCTCTGACTTTGAGTGGTTGTAAGGGCTTCAACATGCCTGGTTTCATTAGGTCATGGTCACAGTGTACCTCGTGTGGTAAAGTGATTGCACAATGACTATCTGACGTGTTTCTCCCAGTGGTGACGTCCTGTTTTGGTGAATGTATTTTTCTTGTTAATGTCTCAAATCAAGGAAATGGTACATACACACAGTGACTCATACATACTGCATATACGTACATAAATACAGTAATTTATAGGACATATTCCTCTATAGATAATGGGCCCGCTGTACGTGTTCCTCTAACATGAAAGACATGCTCTGGGGCAGAATTGAATGAAGGACACACATGCACATTGACCCTTGTTTCTCTGAATGCCTTGATGTCTGTGAAGTACTATAGGAAGTTACTGTGTTTACTGTGTCAAAAAAACAACAACACTATCTTAGATATGCCTCCATTAAATATCTCATGATTCATCGTCTAACGATTAAATGGAGCTTTAAGACCTGACACAGCTCTCGTTTTCTGCCCAGACTCCCGCCTACCCCCTCCAAACCAGCCCAAATATACATATATGGTCGTGCCCTAGGAGAACGGAACACACTGCTTCCTGGGAGATAATATTTGTGGCGCTCTTAATCCTCTGGTTGTGGGAGGCACAGGGATTATATTTGTGTCTAAATTTGGCCTCCATGGCGCCCCTGTCCTCAGCTACAGTACAAGTTGATAATCTATGTTTAAAGGGAGGTGGTCTAGGCTGGGTCTAGTGCTCCGCCGTGCCTGTGTCTGTGTCAGCCAGCCAATCCAGGATCACACAGAAAACAGACCAGGGGGACTGGACATTACAGTATAATTCCTATGACATAACCTCTATTTTCTTTCTCTCTGCATTATTGGGAAGAGCCCGTAAGTAAGCATTTCACTGTTAGTCTACACCTAACGAATATACATTTATTTTATTTTAAACAGACAAAAAAGAGAGAATATTCTGTTGCTATCACTTGGTAAACAACACTACAGTGGTGGAGCTTCCATTTGGGGCGGCAGGTAGCCTAGCAGTTAGAGAGGCGAGCCAGCAATGGGAGGGTTGCCAGTTAAAATCCCGGGTCCAACAGGAAATATCTGTTGGGAAGTGAGCTGGCAACCGGATGGTTGCTGGTATCAAATCCTAGATGCCATTGCCTGCTGTTGTACCCTTGAGCAAGGCACTTAACCCCCCACAACAAGAGCTCCCAGTGTGGCAGCCCCCCACAACTCTCCAAAACCTGTGTGTGTGTCTTTCGGAGGGGTTGGGCTAAAAGTGGAAGTAAAATTTCAGTTGGACCTTGTTTGCAATTGACCAATAAAGTGATCTTAATTTCAGATCAAGGCACTCTTGAATTATGAAAAAAAATGTAATAATGAGAATGCAGCCTTTAAATTATTCCCCAGAATGGGGATCCACATCTACACCAAGGGCAGTTATAAGGCAGCATCCCCCATTCCCCATCCCCCCTTCCCATTCCTCCCCCTCTCCTCTCCTCTAATGCTTGATGGCTCTCCTCCTAATCACAATCTGTGGTCATGACAACAGCTCTCTGGGAACAGAAAGGCAAGGATGCTAAGACTCCAGCTAAGAGAGACCACAGTCACTGGATTCTTAGGTGTAAGCAATGGGAGTATGGGCCTACTGGGAGTAGCTCCAGCAATGGGAGTATGGGCCTACTGGGAGTAGCTCCAGCAATGGGAGTATGGGCCTACTGGGAGTAGCTCCAGCAATGGGAGTATGGGCCTACTGGGAGTAGCTCCAGCAATGGGAGTATGGGCCTACTGGGAGTAGCACCAGCAATGGGAGTATGGGCCTACTGGGAGTAGCTCCAGCAATGGGAGTATGGGCCTGGGAGTAGCTCCAGCAATGGGAGTATGGGCCTACTGGGAGTAGCTCCAGCAATGGGAGTATGGGCCTACTGGGAGTAGCTCCAGCAATGGGAGTATGGGCCTACTGGGAGTAGCTCCAGCTTGCCCTCTGATAGGCTTATACCTATCCAATCCTTTCAGATGAACATATTGGGGGTTGAGACTAAGGATTGTTCTGTCTAGGTTGACTTTAGATGGAACCATCCCCTCCTCCCCCAATGCTTATTTTATAACCTCGTAACACCTTTCTCTGTCTCTCTCTATGCCCCTGTTCCTTCAGCTCTATTTCCAGCTCATAGACACCTCTTATCTTGTCCCTATTCATCTTCCTGCAGGCAGGGCTGCTAGTGGCATAGAGCTGGGCTGTACCCTGTGATACTCATGTGAGCGTATTTGTCTCTGAAGCTGCTCTTTTCTTCCTCTCTCTCTCTCTCTCTCTCTCCTCTCTCTCTCTCTCTCTCTCTCTCTCTCTCTCTCTCTCTCTCTCTCTCTCTCTCTCTCTCTCTCTCTCTCTCTCTCTCTCTCTCTCTCTCTCTCTCTCTTCCCTGCCGTCTTTATCTCCATCCCGTGATGAAAGAAAAGAACACAGACAAATATATCAAAATATATAATTACCCAATGTTAGTCACCCCCCCACCCCCACTCCCTTTTTAGATACATATAATAGTAGTTGTGAGGACAAACTTTGATCAGTTCCTTGACAGCCTGTCTCTTAACGGGCTGTCTATTGAGTTCTCCTTTAAATGGCACAGCATGTTCTCCGGAAACCCTTCAAGCATTCTCAGCCAACCTTCAGACTTGGATAAGGAACGTCCCTGAGAACAACTCCCAGTGTCACCAGAAGCTCAAGAGATTAGTCAATCATGTCATGTCAAGCCAACCTGACCAGTTCCACCATGGCCTAATGCTGAAATCGAGCTGTTGCTGCCTCTCCTCTCTCTTTGTCTCCAGATTGAATATAGAAAAGTGAAACTAGATGAGCTCATCTTCATCCACACTGTCGTAGTGTTGTGTATGTGTCCTGTCCCGACCACCCAGGGGAAACACAGATAATACACAGCCCTATCAGTTACCTTTTTCTCAGGGAAGATGACCTGCCTCCACAAACTCTCTCTCTGTGTTGAGTGAGGAAAGCCTCTGTTCTCCAACACCATTGGGACATAAATGTATTTTTCATTAGCATAGATTGCTAACACTCAGCACAGTCACATAGCCAGAAGTAATTTTATTTTTCAATAGCTTAGATAGCTACTTGTCTTTAGCACTCATCACAGCACAGTCAGTCAAGTAGTCAGCCCACTGGAATGGTAATGGGACTGATGTAGTGGTAACAAATATGATAAGGTAGTGGCGGCTATTGTTACTGTAGAAATTAAGAAAGTCTTCTCATTAAAATTGTATTTTGACAGGGAGTCATGCTGAGACCAAGGTCTCTTTTACAGATGAGCCTTGTAATTACAAAAGAATATACACATCAATACACTACAAAAAGCAAAGCAGAGACACAAAACACAATCATAGAAAACAAACACATTGTTCTGTAAAAAGGTCCTCAATCAGCTGTCTGAATTGCCTTAGAGGCACCAAATCATACAATTTTAGAGAGTTTGGGAGATTATTCCACAAGTAAGGTGCAAAACAACTAAAAGCAGATTTACCTAGCCTCGTACAAACCATCCTGATCTCGCAAGCTTACATTCTGTATGAACCGTTGATCCTCTTTCTTGTTCTTTTTAAGGTGGATTATCACGTGAGTGTGACGCAACAGACGTCATCAGAGCGCGCAACAGAACAGTGTACTGTCCACACTCGGTTTGGTGTTTTTATGAAATAGTTTTCATTAAATAGCTTTTAATAATAGCTAAAGTTTGTATTGGTACTGATTCCGCGACGCGGTCAGTCTTTACGGCTGGAACCATCATTGTGGGCTGCTCGATGGTGAGAGATTTTGGCCTGCTTACGGTCTGTGAACCGATAAGGTCCAAAGTCACCAAGGAGCCCGTGTCCATGAAATCAACTCTCTCCTGCCTACAGTTCTGGCCAACTACGTCAATATTGACACTATCGTCACTCACGTAGGTTTTAACGACCTCTGTTTTAGGCGGCCTGAGGAACTGAGGGAGGCCTACAAATGTTTTTTAAACACCCTCCCTAGCACAGGGAAGAGAATAATCATCTCTGGCCCCCTCCCGTGCTACCGAAGGTGTTCAGAACATTTCAGCCGACTCTAGTACCTAAACTAGTACCTGAAGAAACTTTGCAATGACAGGAATGTCTCTTTTTGTGTGAACTTTGATTTGCTGTGTAAGCAACCAGCACTTTTTAAAAGAGACGGGATTCACCCTAACCGCAGGGGTTCCAGGATTATTTCCAGTAACATCGCAGAATGTTTTAGAGACTGACAGACAGGGTCTGGTAGTGCTCCAGTTCACCCTGTCAGAATAAGCAACAGAGGACTTGGAAACCATATCAACTCCTGTAGAAATGGCACTATGGTTATTATGAGTAACCTCATTTATGTTTCTTTAACTCCGCCTTCTAGTGAGTTTATACAAACGGCCATCTCCTACCATTCTGATAGATTGGAGACTGTCAGAAAACGTTGTTGTAACATTAATAATCTGGTTGTTATTCCATTGGTTACCTCTAGGCAGATGCCCTACCTCTAAGCAGATGCCCCAGGGGCAGAGTGGCCCACACTCATTGAATATGGCACTTTTAAATGTTAGAGCAATCGATAGTAAAACCTTTCTTGTGAATGACCTCATTACTGAGTGCAAGGTTGATTGCATGTTTCTCACTGAAACATGGCTGTCTTCAGACTGTAGTGCTTCTCTTATTGAAGCCTCCCCCCGGACTACAGCTTTTCATAGTCTTTCAGAAAAGGGGAAAAGGGTGGGGGGACAGCCTCTATTGTTACTAATGCTCTCAGCTGTAAGGACATTTCATTTGGCAACTTTGGGTCTTCTGAGCATCATGCTATACTGTTTAAATGTCAGCCACCAGTGCTGGCCATAACCCTGTATAGGCCACCAAAGCACTGCCCCACTTTCTTTACTGATTTCTGAACTATTGTCTATTGTCCTTGAGAACTATGATAACATCATTGTGTTGGGTGATTTTAATATTCATGTTGACAAAGAGACTGACTCCAAGGCCATTGATGAATCTTTTGAGCTCTATGGACTTTATCCAACATGTTACTGGGCCCACCCATAACCGCGGCCATACTCTGGACCTGGTTATTACCAAGGGGCTTTCTATTGACATATCCTCTATTGTTGATGTTGCTTTATCTGGTCACCACTGTGGATTTTTTACTACCTTGTTGCCCATAGCACAGGGTAACACTGAACGCATTATTAAGAAACGCTATCTTCCTCTGAAGTTGCAATAGATTTGATTGAGTGTATGAACAATACTCCATCACCTATTCTGCCTTCCTCTTGTGATGATTTGGTGGTCCCCTGTAGCTCAGTTGGTAGAGCATGGCGCTTGCAACACCAGGGTTGTGGGTTCGTTTCCCACGGGGGGCCAGTATGAAAATGTATGCACTAACTGTAAGTCGCTTTGGATAAGAGCGTCTGCTAAATGACTAAAATGTAAATGTAATGATTTAATTGATAACTTTAATAGCAAATTAAGGGCAACCATTGATGCCATAGTAAAGTTGAAAAAGGCCAGATCCAAAGGGAGAGCCCCTTGGATGAGTGAGGAACTAATACATTAAAGAGAAATTGCAGAAAGGCAGAGCGGAAGTGGAGAAAGTCAAAGTTGCAGGTCCATTATGATATTCTGAGAGAGCAACTTGGCATATACAACAAGGCAATTAGAAATGCCAGACAGGCACATTTTTCTAACTTGATCACTAATAATCAGAATAATTCAAGAGTGCTCTTCTCGACCATTGATGGCATGATAAATCCTACCCCTGCAAACCTAAGTTAACTTTTCTCCACATCTAAATGTTTGTGGCCTATTTCAGAGATAAGATAACAAACATTAGGCTGGGTATCAGTCTAGCAAGACCTGATGAGAAGTTTGATGATATGTGCTCTAGCCTACCATGCAAAGGCACTATGGATTTAGTTTCCCTGGTTGACACAGACATGCTCAGGAAAGGGATATCACAACTTAAGCCTTCTACCTGCCTTCTCAATTTTATCCCCACCAGCTTCTTCAAAACAGTTTTTAATTGCATATCTGAAGAGGTGCAAGCAATTGTTAATCACTCAGCCACTTTCCACACTGCAATAAAAACTGCTATGATGAAACCCCTTCCGTAGAAAAGTAACCTACATTCTTCAGCTCTTAGCAATTGTCGGTCAATCTCCAACCTTCCATTCTTAAGCAAACTTCTGGAGAAATTGGTTTTCAAACAGCAAAATTATTTTTTAAGTGCCAACTGTATTTTTGAAAAATTATAATGTGATTTTCGGGCCCACAACAGCACAGAGACAGCCTTAGTTAATGATCTTAGAGCCAATTGCCGATTTTGCAGGTTTTCCTACTTACAAAGCATGTAGAGGTCTGTAATTTTATCATAGGTATCATAGTTATCAAAAATCCAGAAAATCACATTGTATGATTTTAGTAATTAATTTGCATTTTATTGCTGAATAATCTTAATGTCGGCTTTGAAAAGCCAACTGAGATTATTCCTGATTATTATTGACCATGCTGTCACTTATGAAATTTTGAACATCTGCATGGTTCTGTTATAACCTCCACCGGCACAGCCAGAAGAGGACTGGCCACCCTCTAGCCTGTTCCTCTCTAGGTTCTTCCTAGGTTTTGGCCTTTCTAGGAGTTTTTCCTAGCCACGTGCTTCTACCCCTGCATTACTAGTTGGGGTTTTAGCTGGGTTTCTGTACGCACTCGAGATTTGCGATACAAGGGCTATATAAAATAACATTGATTGATTGATGATTGATTGATAAGTATTTGATACATCAGAAAAGCAGAACTTAATATTTGGTACAGAAACCTTTGTTTGCAATTACAGAGATCATACGTTTCCTGTAGGTCTTGACCAGGTTTGCACACACTGCAGCAGGGATTTTGGCCCACTCCTCCATACAGACCTTCTCCAGATCCTTCAGGTTTCGGGGCTGTCGCTGGCCAATACGGACTTTCAGCTCCCAGCCACGACCCATCTTCAATGCTCTTACTGAGGGAAGGAGGTTGTTGGCCAAGATCTCGCGATACATGGCCCCATCCATCCTCCCCTCAATACGGTGCAGTCGTCCTGTCCCCTTTGCAGAAAAGCATCCCCAAAGAATGATGTTTCCACCTCCATGCTTCACGGTTGGGATGGTGTTCTTGGGGTTATACTCATCCTTCTTCTTCCTCCAAACACGGCGAGTGGAGTTTAGACCAAAAAGCTCTATTTATGTCTCATCAGACCACATGACCTTCTCCCATTCCTCCTCTGGATCATCCAGATGGTCATTGGCAAACTTCAGATGGGCCTGGACATGCGCTGGCTTGAGCAGGGGGACCTTGCGTGTGCTGCAGGATTTTAATCCATGACGGCGTAGTGTGTTACTAATGGTTTTCTTTGAGACTGTGGTCCCAGCTCTCTTCAGGTCATTGACCAGGTCCTGCCGTGTAGTTCTTGACTGATCCCTCACCTTCCTCATGATCATTGATGCCCCACGAGGTGAGATCTTGCATGGAGCCCCAGACCGAGGGTGATTGACTGTCATCTTGAACTTCTTCCATTTGCGCCAACAGTTGTTGCCTTCTCACCAAGCTGCTTGCCTATTGTCCTGTAGCCCATCCCAGCCTTGTGCAGGTCTACAATTTTATCCCTGATGTCCTTACACAGCTCTCTGGTCTTGGCCATTGTGGAGAGGTTGGAGTCTGTTTGATTGAGTGTGTGGACAGGTGTCTTTTATACAGGTAACGAGTTCAAACAGGTGCAGTTAATACAGGTAATGAGTGGAGAACAGGAGGGCTTCTTAAAGAAAAACTAACAGGTCTGTGAGAGCCGGAATTCTTACTGGTTGGTAGGTGATCAAATACTTATGTCATGCAATAAAATGCAAATTAATTATTAAAAAATCATACAATGTGATTTTCTGGATTTTTGTTTTAGATTCAGTCTCTCACAGTTGAAGTGTACCTATGATAAAAATTACAGACCTCTACATGCTTTGTAAGTAGGAAAACCTGCAAAACCATAACTTGCTACATTTGCACACACTGTATATATTTATTTTTTGTTTTTTTTACCCCATATGTAACTCTGTGTTGTTGTTTTTATCGCACTGCTTTGCTTTATCTTGGCCAGGTTGCAGTTGTAAATGAGAACTTGTTCTCAACTGGCTTACCTGGTTAAATAAAGGTGAAATAAAATGAAATAAAAATAAATAAATAAAAGTATCAAATACTTGTTCTCCCCACTGTAGATGCCAAACAGCTCTCTGTTTTTGTACTCTTGGATTTAAGTGCTGTGTTCGAGACTTTTGATCATGATGTTCTTCTGGACAGACTGGGGAGATGGGTTGGCGTCTCCGGTCCAGTTCTAAATTGGTTTAGGACCTATTTAACCGGTTGTGAGTTTTTTGTCACCCTTGGTGAACATAACTCAGAGATTATATATCACATGTGCTGTTCCACAAGGTTTGATTTTGGGTCCGGTACTGTTCAGTTTTATACACTACATGACCAAAAGTATGTGGACACCTGCTCGTCGAACATCTCATTCCAAAATCATGGGCATTAATATGGAGTTGGTTCCCTCTTTTCTGCTATAACAGCCTCCACTCATCTGGGAAGGCTTTCCACTAGATGTTGGAACGTTGCTGCAGGGACTTGCTTCCATTCAGCCACAAGAGCATTAGTGAGGTTGAGGAACTGATGTTGGGCAATTAGGCCTGGCTCGCAGTCGGTGTTCCAATTCATCCCAAAGGTGTTCGATGGGGTTGAGGTCAGGGCTCTGTGTAGGCCAGTCAAGTTCTTCCTCACCGATCTCAACAAAACATTTCTGAATGGACCTCTCTTTGTGCGCAGGGGCATTGTCATGCTGAAACAGGAAAGGGCCTTCCCCAAACTGTTGCCACAAAGTTGGAAGCACAGAATTGTCTAGAATCCTAAGACGGTACCACGTTGAAAGTCACTGAGTTCTTCAGTAAGGCCATTCTACTGCCAATGTTGGTCTATGGAGATTGCATGGCTGTGTGCTCAATCTGTCAGCAACAGGTGTGGCTGAAATAGCTGAATCCACTAATTTGAAGGGGTTTCCACATACTTTTGTATATATAGTGTATGTTACCCCTTTGCAGGGTTATCAGAAAGCACAGCATTGATTTTCACTGCTACGCAGACGATACACAACTTTACATTTCTGTGTCACCATAGGATTATTAGACTATTAGTGATTTAAATACTTGGATGGCTCACAACTTCCTCCAGCTAAATCAAGACAAGACCGAGGTACTTATTGTTGGAGCCAAAGCACAGAGAGAGAATCTGGCCGCACAGATAAAACACCAGGTAAAAAACCTAGGTGTTATTTTAGATTGTGAACTTAATTTCGAATCACACATTAGAATGTGACCAAAATAGCTTTTTACCACCTGAGGAACATTGCCAAGGTGCGGCTGTTTCTGTCTCAGGCTGATACAGAGAGACTCATCCATGCTTTAATTACAAGCAGGCTTGACTACTGTAATGCTCTCCTGTCTGGTCTACCCAAGAAAGCCATTGGTCAACTGCAAAACATACAGAATGCTGCAGCACAGGTACTAACCAAGGCAAACGGAGACCACAAATTACACCGGTTTTAAGGTCTCTGCACTGGCTGCCTGTGAGTTTTAGAATACATTTTAAGATTATTCTATTGGTTTTTAAATCAATCTTCGATTGTGCACCCCAATACGTCAGACATGCTTTTACCCAGTAGGTCCCTCAGGTCCTCTGGCACTGGCCTTTTAACCATCTCAAAGTCTAGGACCAAGAGGCATGGAGAGGCAGCCTTTAGTTACTATGCCCCCAGCCTCTGGAATAGCCTGCCAGAGAACCTGAGATCTTAAAACACACCTTTTTAGCTTTGCTTTTCCTTAGATTGCTTTCTAGTCGTTCAGTTTTTATTGTTATTCTTTAGTTTTTTATCCTCTTGTGTAGTTTATTTTCATTTTTATCTGGGAAGCTCATTGTGTGGCATTCCATGTCTGAAATGTGCTGTATAAATAAAGCTTGATTTTATTTGGTGATGAACCTAACTCAGTGGAGATCGAAGGGATCTCCAACATTAGAAATCCCTGAGTTCGGGTCTGGTAGCTCGTACGTCTGTAGGTTAACAATTAAGTAAGGTACGGGGGAAGTTTGTTCAAGAGGGCTTTATAAACAAAAAGAGTGCAATGCATCGATCTACGAGACTTCAAAGAGGACCAGCCTACTTTCTGATACAGAATGCAGTGATGTGTACTGAACCTGTCGCCTGTAATAAAGCTTAGTGCACTATGATAAACTGCATCCAAGAGCTTCAATACAGTGGCAGCTGCATTCATATATTATAGACGATATCGCCATAACCTATAACCGGTATGAATGTTGACTGAATTATTTGTGATAATTATTTAGGTCGGAGGGTTCACCACCACTTTGTGGAGTGGGAGCACATGGGCCGACTTCCAAACCCTGGGGATTGCACCGAAATAACCGTGAGGTAAAAAATATGTGTCAATGATTCCGCAATCAGGGGAGCAAAAGAAAGGATCAAGTAAATCTGAGTTTTTTTTACAGCAATCTTAAGCAAGGCTTCTAGCACATCACAGGTAGAAAGTTGTTGAAATGGAAACAAAGATTCACTAGAAGTTTGCGGATCTTCCTTCGTGCCAACTAGAGGCTGGGACAGAGAAGAGCAGTCGACTAACTGACTATGGTCAAATAATCCACAATTTATTTCAAATAATAAGCCTGCCAAGATAAAATGCTGATTAAAAGCATCAATTTTTTCATGTTTCTCAGAAATGGTACCATTGAATTGAATGGATCAGTGGCAATCAGTCTTGAGTCAGAGCCACCTTCGTACCGATGGTAACGGCCGATGCCATTCAGTAAGAGTGGTGCAGCGTGGGTATTGGAGTGCAGGAAGCAATCATGACTTTCAGAATATCCTATAATTTCTCCACTTTATACCCAGTTGTATAACTTCAGGGTGGAAAAAAAGGATAGGAAATAATTTAGCTTTTCATTCAACAGTTCTATCTGCTCACTTATTCAATGTTGGCTGTAAGGTACTGAGCACTGTGCTGAGTTCAATGTCTCAGCCAAGATACAGTATGTTAAGAGGTACTTAGTACTGATCCAAGATGAGTATTAAGGAATAATCAGGAAATGACCTGGAGTGTACTGGCTTGCAAGTACAGAATGTTTTCTATCGAAGTAACTGGAGCTAACCATTTCTCTCTCTCTGTCTCTGTGTGTCTCTCTCTCTACCTCTCTCTCTATATATCTCTCTATCCTTCTCTCTCTGTGTGTTTGTGTGTGCACGTGTGCGTCTTGCAGCATCCTGTTTGCGGACATCGAGGGGTTTACCAGTCTGGCGTCCCAGTGTACTGCCCAGGAGCTGGTGATGACACTCAATGAACTGTTCGCCCGCTTCGACAAGCTGGCTGCGGTGAGAACACACACACACACACACACACACACACACACACACACACACACACACACACACACACACACCACACACACACACACACACACACACACACACACACACACACACACACACACACACACACACACACACACAGGTGAACCCTGCAATCCTAGGATTGTACAGTACTCCCTCCTCCCACTTTGGAGTCCCTTCTTCTGCTAATTGAAATACCAGGCAGATATAGTTGATGTGGGAGTTTACTGATAACGATGTGGGATCTTTGAATTCCCTGACACAATTCACTGTGTGGTTATGTACCCCGCTGGTCTGCCAGCCAGGCCTCAACTCTCTCCTCATTAGCCCACTGCAGGGGCACTGAGTCACAGCACACAGCCCAGACACAGACACAGACCCAGTCTCACCCAGACCCAGCAGGGACCACTGTGACCTCCCTGGTACTGGCAAAGAGAGCAGAGCACACACAGGCCCATAAGCATGAACACATACATACAGTGCCTTGCAAAAGTATTCATCCTCCTTGGCGTTTTTCCTATTTTGTTGCATTACAACCTGTAATTTAAATAGATTTTTATGTGGATTTCATGTAATGGACATACACAAAATAGTCCAAATTGGTGAAGTGAAATGAAAAAAATAACTTGTTTCAAAAAAGTATAAAAAATAAATAATGGAAAAGTGGTGCGTGCATATGTATTCACCCCCTTTGCTATGAAGCCCCTAAATAAGATCTGGTGCAACCAATTACCTTCAGAAGTCACATAATTAGTTAAATAAAGTCCACTTGTGTGCAATCTAAGTGTCACATGATCTGTCACATGATCTTAGTATATATACACCTGTTCTGAAAGAACCCAGAGTCTGCAACACCACTAAGCAAGGTGCACCACCAAGCAAGCGGCACCATGAAGACCAAGGAGCTCTCCAAACAGGTCAGGGACAAAGTTGTGGAGAAGTACAGATCAGGGTTGGGTTATAAAAAAATATCCGTAACTTTTAACATTCCACGGAGCACCATTAAATCCATGTTTAAAAAAGGAAAGAATATGGCACCACAACAAACCTGCCAAGAGAGGGCCGCCCACCAAAACTCACGGACCAGGCAAGGAGGGCATTTATCAGAGAGGCAACAAAGAGACCAAAGATAACCCTGAAGGAGCTGCAAAGCTCCACAGCGGAGATTGGAGTATCTGTCCATAGGACCACTTTAAGCCGTACACTCCACAGAGCTGGGCTTTACAGAAGAGTGGCAAGAAAAAAGCCATTGCTTAAAGAAAAAAACAAGCAAACACGTTTGGTGTTCGCCAAAAGGCATGTGAGAGACTCCCCAAACATATAGAAGAAGGTACTCTGGTCAGATGAGACTAAAATTGAGCTTTTTGGCCATCAAGGAAAACGCTATGTCTAGCGCAAAACCAACACTTCTCATCACCCCGAGAACACCAACCATGGTGGTGTCAGCATCATGCTGTGGGGATGTTTTTCATCGGCAGGGACTGGGAAACTGGTCAGAATTGAAGGAATGATGGATGGCACTAAATACAGGGAAATTCTTGAGGGAAATCTGTTTGTCTTCCAGAGATTTGAGACTGGGACGGAGGTTCACCTTCCAGCAGGACAATGACCCTAAGCATACTGCTAAAGTAACACTCAAGTGGTTTAAGGGAAACATTTAAATGTCTTGGAAATGGCCTAGTCAAAGCCCAGACCTCAATCCAATTGAGAATCCGTGGTATGATTTAAAGATTGCTGTACACCAGCGGAACCCATCCAACTTGAAGGAGCTGGAGCAGTTTTGCCTTGAAGAATGGGCAAAAATCCCAGTGGCTAGATGTGCCAAGTTATAGACATACCCCAAGAGGCTTGCAGCTGTAATTGCTGCAAAAGGTGCAAAGTATTGACTTTGGGGGGGGGGGGGGGGGGGTGAATAGTTATGCACGCTCAAGTTTTCTGTTTTTTTTGTCTTATTTCTTGTTTGTTTCACCCCAAAAAATATTTTGCATCTTCAAAGTGGTAGGCATGTTGTGTAAATCAAATGATACAACCACCCCCAAAAATCAATTTTAATTCCAGGTTGTAAGACAACAAAATAGGAAAAATGCCAAGGGGGGTGAATACTTTCACAAGCCACTGCACAGTACTTGCATGCACAGGCACGTACACATAATAAACTCTGCACACACACATAGCCGTGCACACACACACACATGCAAGAACACATGAACAGAAACACTCACCCGTATGTGCATGTGAAGACACTGAGCACTGCCCAGCTCACTAGCCACGTCTTAGCTGACTCCAGTACACATACACACAATCACTTTCATATGTCAGATTAATCACATAGGCACATTTATGTTGCAGTCAGAAGGATTTTCTTAAATGCACTTAAATAGATTTAGATCCTTTCAGACGTTCCAAGGCAGTTGTGAACAGACACACACGCACACACGCACGCACGCACGCACGCGCGCACACACACACACACACACACGAGCACACACACACACACACACACACACCCACACACTTTAATTTGCACAACACTAGGAGTGATTGTATGGGCCCTGGTCTAAACAGAGCCATGTGCTGTGGAGACAGAAGACATTCAGGTGGCTATCATGAGACATGAGCCTGCTGCAGTCCTGTGCCCTGCCCGAGGGAGACACACACACATACACTCTCTCACACAAACCATTAGGCTGGATATTTACAGTACAGCACAAGGCCAGACTCCCTCTGCCAAGCAACCATTAACCATTAACGTCATACCCAGGACATGCTCAGCTCCTTAACTATGTGTTCTAGAAGACACACAGAAGAATGATTACTCAAGCTTTCCATGAATGCATCTTTCTTGTCTTTTTCCTTTATGTTGTATGTGATCACTCTGTGTTGTCCCCCTCCTCAACTCAATATCTTTATAGCCTTGAATTCTGAGTTCCAAATAACAAACCATCAAGCACACACACTCAATAGCATATTTTCTGTATTTTACAGTACAAAAGCGATAATGGATGGAGAGCAGCAATACTTTTACCTACTGTTGTTTACAGTAAGAATGAGGGAAATAATGGAAAATAATAAGTTATTAACAGTATTTTATAATGCAGTGAAATTGTATTAAAATAGGTAAAAGAAAAAGAGCAATTCTCTTTAACATGTCAAGAGAGCGTTTTTCAGTGCAGAATTCCCAGAAAAGGAAGATCAGTGATTCATTTAATATGCTTCCAGACCTCGACGTTAACAATGGGAGCAATAGGTTTCCAATGTCATTCATCACTAACCGATGTGAAAGTCCACACTTGGTATTTAGATTTGGTATTTATAAGCGACAGTACATTATATAGAGGTAATAATACACTGTATGTATCATACCCCATACATCGCAGTGCCGTCAGAAAGTATTCATACCCCTTGACTTATAATTATTTTAATTGTATTTTTCTCTCACCCATCTACACACAAGATCCCAAAATGACAAAGTGAGAACATGTTTTTAAACATTTTTGCAAATTTATTGAAAATGAAATACAGAAATATCTCATTTTCATAAGTACTCACACCTCTGAGTCAATACTTTGTAGAATGCACCTTTGGCAGCGATAACAGCTGTGAGTCTTTCTGGTAAGTCTCTAAGAGCTTTCCACACCCGGATTGTGCAACATTTGCCCGTTATTCTTTACAAAATTCTTCGGGCTCTGTCAAATTGGTTGTTGATCATTGCTAGACAACCATAGACTTTCAAGTAGATTTAAGTCAAATCTGTACCTCAGCCACTCAGGAACATTTACTGTCTTCTTGGTAAGCAACTCCAGTGTAGATTTGGCCTTGTGTTTTAGGTTATTGTCCTGCTGAAAGGTGAATTAATCTCCCAGTCTGGTGGAAAGCAGACTGAACCAGGTTTTCCTCTAGGATTTTGCCTGCCTGTCCATTCTCTTTATACCCCCCCCTGAAAAACTCCTCAGTCCTTATTGATTACAATGCATACCCATTACATGATGCAGCCACCACTATGCTTGAAAATATGGAGTGGTACTCAGTAATGTGTTGCATTGGATTTGCCTCAAACAAAACATTTGTATTTAGGACAAAAAGTTAATTGCTTTGCCACATTTTTTTGCAGTATCACTTTAGAGCTTTCTTCTTTTCACTCTGTCAATTATGTTAGTATTGTGAATTAACTACAATGTTGTTGATTCATCCTCAGTTTTCTCCTATCACAGCCATTAAACTCTGTAACTGTTTTGAAGTCACCTTTGGCCTCATGAAATCCCTGAACGGTTTCCTTCCTCTCCGGCAACTGAGTTAGGAAGGACACCTGTATCTTTGTAGTGACTGGGTGTATTGATACACCATCTAAAGTGTCATTAATAACTTCACCATACTCAAAGGGATATTCAATGTCTGCTTTTTTCTACCAATAGGTGCCCTTCTTTGCGAGGCGTTGGAAAACCTCTCTGTTTTTTGTGGTTGAATCTGTGTTTGAAATTCACTGCTTAATGGAGATACCTTACAGATAATTGTATGTGTGGGGTACAGAGATGAGGTAGTCATTCAAAAATCATGTTAAACACTATTATTGCACACAGAGTGCATGCAACTTATTATGTGACCTGTTAAACAGATTTTTACTCCTGAACTTATTGAGGCTTGCCATTTCAAAGGAGTTGAATACTTATTGACTCAAGACATTTCAGCTTTTCATTTGTAATTCATTTTTTAAAAATTCGAAAAACATAATTCCACTTTGACATTATGGAGTGTCGTGTTTAGGCCAGTGACACAAAAATATCAGTTTAATCCATTTGAAATTCAGGCTGTAACAAAATGTGGAAAAAGTCAAGGGGTGTGAATACTTTCTGAAGGCACTGTGGTTTTATCCCAAGTGTTGGCAAAATGTGAAGCCAGCATTTGGTTGCCTAGATATAGTGGTCAGGTTCTAAATGAAAGGAATTATTTTCCATTTTCCATTGAGTTTTTAGTCATGAAGCAGAAGCTTTTATCCAGAGAGACTTACAATACCAAGTGCATTTCAACAAGCAGGCAAAAAACTAACACTTTTTATGAGCATCATATGTAAAACCCTCCTCAAAGGGAATGCTAGTAACACACTAACACATTCTGTGTGTGTGTCTGTGTGTGTGTGTGCATACATGTGTGTGTGTGTGCGTGTGTGTGTGTTTGTGTGTGTGTCAACAGGAGAACCACTGCCTGCGTATTAAGATTCTTGGTGACTGCTACTACTGTGTGTCTGGGCTGCCAGAGGCCCGGGCCGACCACGCATCCTGCTGTGTGGAGATGGGTGTGGACATGATCGAGGCCATCTCGTGAGTATGGCACGGCCAAATACATATAAACGGTGTATATTACATAAATGTATGTCTATGGACACAACAGACCTGGTCTGGTCTGGCTCTGTCCAGCACAGCTCACGCTAAAACAACCTTGTCTAGAGAGAATTGAGTTTCATTCCAAAACGCTATATATCCATTTTCAGAAATGTTGGTAAATGAGCTTTTATTGTTTAAAAACCTTATGAAAGAGATTGGTATGTTTTTTCACCACCTAATTACTGCGCGGGGTTGTTCAATAGCAGACATGTATATGATTGAAATCTATCACTTGATGGTTTCATTTCAGAGAGACAAATAATCATGTTGTTTAGCAAAATGCTATATTTCACTCTCAGAGAGATAAGTAGTAGATCTGTATGTAATATGACATTTTAGTCATTTAGTGGATGCTCTTATCCAGAAAGACTTACAGTAAGTGCATTCATCTTAAAATAGCTAGGTGAGACAACCACATATCACAGTCAAATATACAGGATACGAACATTCCATTCCAGCTAAACAATGTATATATAGCGTTTTGCAAAAAACACATTTTCATACACATCTAAAATCTATTAATAAAAAATCTGAGAACAGTTATATTATACACACACATGAAGTTACCCAAAATGATTGACAAACACAAATGTGAAAAATAGGTTGATATTGCGTTTTGGAAATAAACTCTACAATTGTTCTTCAACTCTGGTCCTGGAGAGCCACAGGATGTTACAAGCCTTGTTTCAGACAGGTGGTAGGAGGCAGGTGTGCATTAGTGCCATAGTACTCCTCCACTTCCAAGCCCAGAGAAACCAGAAAGGTTCAAATCAGGTTCACTCTATACCCATGAAGAGGCACTTAGCCTAATTTGTGTCTGCAGAGTTTGAGTCAATGAGTCCAGGACAGGTGCTTGGTGTGCTTGAAACAGTATTTCTTTGTGGTTTCTGGTTGGTGTTTGCTGAGAGAGATAAGGGCTGGCTGATTTATTGATTGGCTGTTTCTGAATGATGAGACAGATGTCTGTCTCCACCCACAGACCTGACTGTCTGCCCCTCAGCACTCCTGTCATCAGTAGTGTGTTTGTGTGTGTGTGCGTGTGTGTGTCAATGTGTGTGTGTGTGTGCGCGTTCGTGCAATTGACTGTGTTTTCGTCCCTTAGACCAGAGCGGCTGTGGTTATTGCATTTCTACTTCACTTAGCTCTCTCCTTTTTCTAAGCAGTCCCCCAACTTCCATGATGCAATAACATGGAACAATGTTGAAAAATCTAGAATATTGCCACTGATTAAGAATTTAAAAGCCGACCTATGCCCAGTCAGTTGAAAAATGACCATACTGTAGTGAGAAAATATTTTGGGTCAGTGTCCCTGCCCTCTACATTCACACAGAGTCAGTGAGGCACCGCATTAGGAGACTGCTCTGAGGTTGTCCTCAGTTAGAACATTAGCTGTGATGTTATAATGAGGTTTAGGTGATTACAGCATTGTAACCAAAGTTACTGAGCTTGAGCAATTTTGACAAAAACAATGGATATATGTTATTAATTTTTTTTGGGGGGGGGGGGGGGGGGGGGGGGGTGGATCAGCTTAATATTGCAGATAGATTGTATCTTCTATCAATGTAATTGTCTTCATCACTTCCAGTCCCCCATGTTTTTTATATACAGTGGGGAGAACAAGTATTTGATACACTGCCGATTTTGCTGGTTTTCCTACTTACAAAGCATGTAGAGGTCTGTAATTTTTATCATAGGTACACTTCAACTGTGAGAGACTAATCTAAAACAAAAATCCAGAAAATCACATTGTATGATTTTTAAATAATTAATTTGCATTTTATTGCATGACATAAGTATTTGATACATCAGAAAAGCAGAACTTAATATTTGGTACAGAAACCTTTGTTTGCAATTACAGAGATCATACATTTCCTGTAGGTCTTGACCAGGTTTGCACACACTGCAGCAGGGATTTTGGCCCACTCCTCCATACCGACCTTCTCCAGATCCTTCAGGTTTCGGGGCTGTCACTGGGCAATACGGACTTTCAGCTCCATCCAAAGATTTTCTTTTGGGTTCAGGTCGGGAGACTGGCTAGGCCACTCCAGGACCTTGAGATGCTTCTTACGGAGCCACTCCTTAGTTGCCCTGGCTGTGTGTTTCGGGTCGTTGTCATGCTGGAAGACCCAGCCACGACCTATCTTCAATGCTCTTACTGAGGGAAGGAGGTTGTTGGCCCGAGTGGCGCAGTGGTCTAAGGCACTGCATCGCAGTGCTAGCTGTGCCACTAGAGATCCTGGTTCGAATCCAGGCTCTGTCGTAGCCGGCCGCGACCGGGAGACCCATGGGGCGGCGCGCAATTGGCCCAGCGTCGTCCAGGGTAGGGGAGGGAATGGCCGGCAGGGATGTAGCTCAGTAGATAGAGCATGGCGTTTGCAACGCCTGGGTTGTGGGTTCGTTTCCCACAGGGGGTATGAAAAAAAAAATATATATATATATGCATGCACTAACTGTAAGTCGCTCTGGATAAGAGCGTCTGCTAAATGACTAAAATGAAAATGTAAAAAGATCTCGCGATACATGGCCCCATCCATCCTCCCCTCAATACGGTGCAGTCGTCCTGTCCCCTTTGCAGAAAAGCATCCCCAAAGAATGATGTTTGCACCTCCATGCTTCACGGTTGGGATGGGGTTGTACTCATCCTTCTTCTTCCTCCAAACACGGCGAGTGGAGTTTAGACCAAAAAGTTCTATTTTTGTCTCATCAGACCACATGAACTTCTCCCATTCCTCCTCTGGATCATCCAGATGGTCATTGGCAAACTTCAGACGGGCCTGGACATGCGCTGGCTTGAGCAGGGGGACCTTGCGTGCGCTGCAGGATTTTAATCCATGACGCCGTAGTGTGTTACTAATGGTTTTCTTTGAGACTGTGGTCCCAGCTCTCTTCAGGTCATTGACCAGGTCCTGCCGTGTAGTTCTGGGCTGATCCCTCACCTTCCTCTTGACCATTGATGCCCCACGAGGTGAGATCTTGCATGAAGCCCCAGACCGAGGGTGATTGACCGTCATCTTGAACTTCTTCCATTTTCTAATAATTGCGCCAACAGTTGTTGCCTTCTCACCAAGCTGCTTGCCTATTGTCCTGTAGCCCATCCCAGCCTTGTGCAGGTCTACAATTTTAACCCTGATGTCCTTACACAGCTCTCTGGTCTTGGCCATTGTGGAGAGGTTGGAGTCTGTTTGATTGAGTGTGTGGACAGGTGTCTTTTATACAGGTAACGAGTTCAAACAGGTGCAGTTAATACAGGTAATGAGTGGAGAACAGGAGGGCTTCTTAAAGAAAAACTAACAGGTCTGTGAGAGCCGGAATTCTTACTGGTTGGTAGGTGATCAAATACTTATGTCATGCAATAAAATGCAAATTAATTACTAAAAAATCATACAATATGATTTTCTGGATTTTTGTTGAAGTGTACCTATGATAAAAATTACAGACCTCTACATGCTTTGTAAGTAGGAAAACCTGCAAAATCGGCAGTGTATCAAATACTTGTTCACCCCACTGTATATACTCCCCTTTATTACTTTTCAACCCCTCCATCCTTTCCCTACTTGGAGTAAATTAGTGAACAACAATGCCCAGGCCTCTACTTCCGATCTATACTTACTATCTACACCTTATGGACAGAGTTAATTTTACAATAATTATATTATATATATATAATTATTTATTTTTTTGCTCCTGAACTTCTTCTACTCTCAACCTCTCCGATCATTTTCATGATGTCCATCCGGTTTGCTTCTATATGCCATATCTTTCTAACTGTGCTCTTTCCCAAAAGCTCCCAACATACAACCTATATAATTATAATGGACACAGTATGCTTACATTATTAGCTATCTTTGTTATTATTTGTTGTTATTTGTTATTAGTCCCATCCTTCAACTCTATTCAATACCTCCCATCTCTCTCTTAACACCATCCATATAGGATTTCTATTTGCCATATATATTTCAACCGTACTGTGATGTTTTACAAGAGTTCTGAACCTTTCTATTCTCATTGCTTCTACAGATTGTGAATTAAAAATAAACATTTTTGCTAAAAGTATTATTATATTATTGATTGATTGACTATGACTTTTCAGATCACCCAGTAATGCTATCTGGGAAGGTTAGCTCCAGGTAAATATTGCAATCCTTTAGCCATTCCTGGACCTGTGTCCAAAAACAAGCTACAAATGGACAGAACCAAAACAAATGATCTAATGATTCTGTCTCTTCACAGCAAAATCTGCAGAGCTGGGAAGATTGTATCCCCCATATAAATAACATTATATTGGTAGCAAGAATTGTATATAATAATTTAAATTGAAAGATTCTAATTTTTGAATCCGGTGTTGTTTTGCGTGTCAGTTCATAAACACTATGCCATGGGATCGGTACGTCAAAGATCTCTTCCCAACTATTTTGCAATCTATATGGGACGGCTGTCAATCCTTTGGTCCTTAAGTGAAACTGATATACTTTTTTATTTATCGCAGTTTTCCTTAACCAATTATGTTCTTTAATGCAAGGCCGACAGACAAGTTCCTTACTTTCTCCCCCTTCCACTTTCCTCTTCCACTTTTGCGTTAAGGCTGCAATTATTTGGTTGTAATTTTGGGTAGAGCAGACATTTCCATATGTTTATGTTAGCTGCATGTGCGACATAACTCCACCAGTCCTACCGATGATATCATTTACGAAGATTATACCTTTTTTAAACATTCTGTCAAAAAATAAAGTTTTTTTGTCAATTAGTATATTTGAATTTAACCACAATATTTGTTGCATTATTTGTTCTGTCGTTTCTGGAGGATTAAATTGAAATTGCAACCAACTTTCTATGGCTTGTTTTAGAAATAGTGATATTTGGGAGATGATTTCCTTTTCAAATAACTGCAAATGAGTTGTTGTAGCTGAATAAAGGGAAAAAGGCCTTTCTTGAACATTGGGTGAGACAATCTTACTAATTTGCTTGAGAACCAGTTCGGGTTTAAGTATAACTTTTGTATGACTGAAGCTTTTAGTGATAGGTCTAATGCTTTAATATTTAATAATTTCTGTCGTCCGAATTCATATTCATTATATAAATATGCCCTTTTAATTTTGTCTGGCTTGCCGTTCCAAATAAAATTGAATATTTTTTTCTCATATAATTTAAAAAACTGTTCGCTAGGTGTAGGCAAGACCATAAGCAAATAGATAAACTGGGAAAACACTAAAGAGTTAATCAGGGTGATTTTTCCACAAATTGACAGGTATTTTCCTTTCCATGGTAGTAAGATCTTATCTATTTTTGCTAACTTTCTATTAAAATTTATTGAAGTGAGATCATTTATTTCCTTTGGGATATGTATTCCGAGTATATCCACATCACCATCAGACCATTTTATTGGTAAATTACATGGTAATGTATAAATTGTATTTTTTAGTGATCCAATACGTAATATAGTACATTTGTCATAATTTGGTTGTAATCCAGAGAGGTTAGAAAATGTATCTAGATCCTCTATGAGGCTGTGGAGGGATTCTAGTTGTGGATTTAAAAGAAAACATGAATCATCAGCGTCCAATGACACCTTTGTTTTTAAGCCCTGTATTTCTAATCCTCTGATATTATTATTGGATCTGATTTTAATAGCTAACATCTCGATGGCCACAATAAATAGATATGCCGATAGTGGACAACCTTGTTTCACTCCTCTTGACAGTTTAAAACATTCTGAGAAATAGCCATTATTTACTATTTTACACCTAGGGTTACTATACATGATTTTGACCCATTTTATAAGAGATTCTCCAAAATTGAAATGCTCCAGGCATTTATATATAAACCCCAGTCGAATTTTATCAAATGCCTTTTCGAAGTCTGCTATGAATAGCAGGCCTGGTTTCCCATATTTTCCATAGTGTTCTATTGTTTCCAATACTTGCCTTATATTATCTCCAATGTATCTTCCATGTAAAAAACCTGTCTGACTAGAATGAATAATATCCGACAATACCTTTTTAATTCTATGCGCTATACATTTTGCTAGGATTTTTGCATCACAACACTGAAGTGTAAGGGGCCTCCAATTTTGTAAATGGACTGGATCTTTATATTTTCCACTTGTATCCTGTTTCAGTAATAATGAGATCTTCTTCTTGAGTGTCAGATAATCTACCATTTAAATAGGAGTGGTTAAAACATGCTAAAAACGGTCCTCTTAGTATATCAAAAAAGGTTTGGTATACCTCGACTGGTATGCCATCCAACCCTGGAGTTTTCCCAGACTTAAAGTATTTAATTGCATCCAGATGTTCCTCCTCTGTAATTTCACCTTCACATGAGTCTTTCTGTGTGGCTGTTAATTTGACATTATCAATAGAAAAAAATCTCTACAATTAGCTTCAGTTAGAGGAGATGGAGGCGACTGAAAAGAAAACATATGCTTAAAGTACTTTGTTTCTTCCTTCAAAATATCATTTGGTGAATTATGGGTGACTCCGTCAATTGTAACCAGTTTCATTAAGTTATTTTTGGTAGCATTCCTATGTTGAAGATTAAAAAAGAATTTAGTGCATTTTTCCCCATATTCCATCCAGTTTGCTTTATTTTTATAATATATTACACTTGATCTTTCTTGAATAAGTTTCTCCATTTCTTTTTGTTTTTCCTCTAATTTATTCTGAGCCTCTATGTTACAGTTTTTATTGCCATCTATCTGTTCTGTTAGACTTTCGATTTCCTTTCTTAGTATAAACTCTTTTGACCTAAATTGCTTTTGTTTTCGAGATGAGTACTGAATTGCATGGCCTCTAAAGGCACATTTAAAGGTGTCCCATACAATAAGGGGATTCGCTGTACCTATGTTATGTTGGAAAAAGTCAGTTATAAATTCCTTTGTTCTAATTATAAATAAATTATCATCCAATAGGCTTTGATTACATTTCCAATATCCTCGCCCACGTGGAAATTCAGTAAGAGTAATGTATATGCCTATTATATGATGGTCCGACCGCATTCTGTCCCCTATCAACACTTTTTTTTTTACTTTTGGTGCCAACGAGAATGAGATAAGAAAGAAGTCAAGACGACTAGCTTGATTCAGTCTCCGCCATGTATATCTCACTAGATCAGTATATTTAAGCCTCCATATATCTACTAGTTCTAATGTATCCATGACATTCACAATTTCCTTAAGAGCATGTGGGTGATTGTTTGTGGTGTGATTACCTTTACGGTCCATTGAGCTATTTAAAACAGTATTATAATCCCCCACCATAATAATATTGTCTTGAGTTGCTTGCAGGCTTGATAATGGATTATATATATTGTCAAATAATTGTGGATCATCATTATTTGGTCCGTAAAGGTTAATGAGCCATATCTGTTTATGGTCCGATAACATATTTAAAATAATCCATCTACCTTGCGTATCTATTTGGACAATTTGCACATTCGGATCGAAATTACTATTCATTAATATCATCACCCCTTTTGAATTTCTTTTCCCATGGGAGAAGTATATTTCCCTCCCCCATTATTTTTTCCACGCTACTTCATCTCGAATTGTTGAATGAGTTTCCTGTATACAATAGATATTATATTCATTCTCTTTGAGCCAATTTCCAATATCCTCGCCCACGTGGAAATTCAGTAAGAGTAATGTATATGGCTATTATATGATGGTCCGACCGCATTCTGTCCCCTATCAACACTTTTTTTACTTTTGGTGCCAACGAGAATGAGATAAGAAAGAAGTCAAGACGACTAGCTTGATTCAGTCTCCGCCATGTATATCTCACTAGATCAGTATATTTAAGCCTCCATATATCTACTAATTCTAATGTATCCATGACATTCACAATTTCCTTAAGAGCATGTGGGTGATTGTTTGTGGATAATGTTGCCCTAAAGCTCTTTGCAGACGGAAATATTGCCGATTTCCTAGCCGAGTACACAACTTGTCCCTCTAGTCAAAGCGGCTAGTGCCTAGGAGGGCGACAGCCGCCCATGACCATAGCAACGAAATAACCAAATATTATCGACATAAAAACGTATTTACATGCAATAGAAATTATGAATCCAAAAATAGATTAGAAAGCAGTTACTTTTATTGTTAAAAGTGACTCTGTAAACTGATAGTGTTAGCCAGCTAGCTAGCTAGCTAAAGTGGGCAAGTTAGCTGGACATACGTGCTGATGTATCACAACGCAGGCTACATTTTCTAGTGTGATTGGTCAACAATCGGCTGAGCTGCTTCCACGGGCACGAGCACCGCTGACCGCTCCGCCTGGATAGAATACTTGGGAACAGATTTCCTATTTTATCCCTCCAAAATCAGTGCTCAGTGGTCTCTAACTGTTTCTGTCTCTGTCTGTGTGTGTGTTCTAGGCTCGTGAGGGAGGTCACGGGGGTCAACGTGAACATGCGCGTGGGCATCCATAGTGGCAGGGTCCACTGCGGGGTGCTGGGACTCAGGAAGTGGCAGTTTGACGTGTGGTCCAACGATGTCACGTTAGCTAATCACATGGAGGCTGGGGGCGCAGCAGGGTACATCCGGCCAATCATGACAAACCAGTACACAGTCAATCACCCAATGTTCTCCTATGCTCTGTATCAATATACACTATAATACTACCTAAAATAGCACTTAGAATTAAGTGATGTATTGGGCATGCATTCTAAGTGGTATACTAGTATGGATATTGGATATGTAAGGGCTAATCAACTAGGGCCTATGCATTCTATGGAAAAGAATGAACGACGTGGAAGGTGTGTTCCACGACGCACTAGCAGTCCCAGAGAACACATAGAGCCCCGAGTTGATTATACCTTTTATACCTATAATTTAACACATTTGCCACTAGAAATGTGTTCAACATCCACTGAAGTAGCTAGCAAGTTTACTAGATAGCTACAGTAGTTGCTGTGGTAACAAAACAAACAGACTTGCTAGTTTAGCTAACCAAATTATGAAAATCGAATTCAACAATACCAATACTGTTTTCAATTCAACTTTTGCTTTCATAAGCAGCTCAAACAAAACATGTACAAATTTACTATAGCAATTAAATTATACAGTGCAAATATACCGTGCCTTGTAGAGAAATAATGCACGCTCTAGAATGCCCTTCAAGCCAATCAGAAAGGAGTATTCAACAATGCCATGGTATAAAATCTCTATATATCACTGGCAAACAAAGATTTACACTACATTATTATGACAGTTTTACACAATCCTTTTCTATGGTATAATCCTGAAATGAATTGATGAATAATGTCAATTCCTGACCATTGTGTCCAGTAAGTTATTGCTGTGTTATTGTGCCAGGCGGATCCACATCACCAAGGCCACTCTGAACTACCTGAATGGAGACTATGACGTGGAGCCAGGATCAGGAGGAGAGAGGAACGTCTATCTGAAGAAGCACAATATAGAAACCTACCTCATCGTGGGCTGCAGCCAGAAAAGGGTACAGTACAGCCTTATCAACCCTTTACTGTTAGATTAGGTTATTATTATGACTATGGCCCAGAGGTTTACCTGATCACGTGATCTGACCTTAAAGGGACACCTCACAGTTTGTTTTACGGCATATTTCATTGCTATTTTCACATGTAGACACTAGTATGGTGCTGGAGATAATGAATAAAGTAATACTAGTAATACTAGTCCCGTGGAAATACGGCTTTACACAGACATGAGTAAGATTTCCAATGTAAATTACACAGACATGAGTAAGATTTCCAATGTAGAAACTTGACTAGGAAAAACTCTGGTTGACCGTAATAGGAAAACAAACTCAGCCCTGCTGAGTCAAAATTCTGATACATTTTCATAAACACTTTTTTATTTACTGGCTGATTATCGAGCTTTCAGGCTGTCTTATTTTTTTTATAAGCAGCTGGTCGGCTTACTTTTGGAAATCATGCATGTTTGAACCACTACACTCATCCCAGGTCAGCTATCACTACCTATAAGCATATTTAATTGTAGTAGGAACCGTTGAAAACATGTAACTGATCTACAGTAGATTAAGGGATTGTTGCATGGAATTCCCCCAGTATTCCCCTAGAAATACAGCATAGCTGTAAGGGGTGGAAATGGGGGGCAACCCAGGATAACTGTGTTCCGGGAGTGAAATCATTTTGACATTTAAACATGAGGTTTAACATGATCTTTAATTCAAGGATTTTACATTGGTAGTTTCCTGCTCCCCAGAGTGACTTTTTCCATTACCACCCCTAGTATATCTGTCTCCCTTGCATTGCAGAAAGAAGAGAAGGCGATGATAGCGAAAATGAACCGTCAGCGCGCCAACTCTGTCTCCCACAACACGGGCCACTGGACCGACCGACCATTCTACAACCACGGAGGAAACCAGATCTCCAAGGAGATGAAGAGGATGGTGAGAGACCATTCTGCCCTCACCGCCATTCGTACTTTATCTTTACTCTTCTCTGATCTGGCCTTCACAGCAAGGCCAGGTTGTAGTTGTTTTGTGTTTATGTATTAACCAGGGACTATAGAAAGCCAAGGACGTGAGGCGGTTTTGTCATTGCATACAGTATATCTTTCATTGTCTCTCTAGGCTCTCTCTCTGTCCCTGCTCCGGTGTCCGAGAAACCCCACAGAGAGAGAGAGAGAGAGAGAGAGAGAGAGAGAGAGAGAGAGAGAGAGAGAGAGAGAGAGATAGAGAGAGAGATAGATAGAGAGAGAGGAGAGAGAGGAGAGAGAGAGAGAGAGAGAGAGAGAGAGAGAGAGAGAGAGAGAGGAGCAGAGTCAGTGGAGCGGTAGCAGGATGGCCACAGTCAGTCACACCCTTAATGATTTAATCAGTCACCAATAAGGGAAACTCACCTGAGGCGGATACACCTTTTATCTGTGTGTTTCCTGTCTGTGTAGACATCAGTGCATAACTACCACAGGTACATATAATAATATTATAATAGTCATTTTATCCCAATACACTTTTTTCCAAAACTGTCAGTATTGACAGTGACACATATATTCAATATATCCATGTCTCTCCTCTCTTCTGAGATGACGATGTAAATCATTTGCATTCAGTAATGAATTCCCAGAAAGCTTCTGTATAGTCTCAAGGGTAGAGGGGGTGGCAGGCTGGCATGCTGGCACCAAGCAGTGGCCCTTCACACTATGGTTCACCTCTCCAGCAAGTGTCTCTCGAGGACTACTCACTCTGTCACAATACAATACGTGGGCAACAGGGATGAACAAATGCCATAACATTCAGTCAGTGAGGTCCCATCTGTAGCAGAATAACATTACTCAGAATCCCAGGGGGAATCATCTCTCTAACACAACAAAGACATACACAAAAGCACACACACATACACACACACGCGTACACAAACACATACACACGCACGCAAGCACAAACACACAGAAAATTGCTATAGTGGTGTGACCATTGAGTCCTCTTTCTGTTCCCCAAGGCCTCCCACTGTGCTAAAACAATGCTGCTATGGTGACTCACTGTCTGTTGTTTACCTTTCCTCCTCTCTCTTTCCCTCCCCTCCCCTCTCACCTCCTCTCCTTTTCTCTCCTCTCCTCTCCTAACATTAACTCAAGGGCACTATGTCCAAACAATAATGGTCTGAATCTGGTTCCAATCGTAGCACCTGCCTACTATTGTCTTCACCCCAGAGTTTTTGGTGTGCAGATTTCAATCAGATAATTATTTCTGGTTATCTCTTTATCTTATTATCTCTTCCCTGCTGGATCTGAAATCAGTGTCTGAAATCAGTGACTGAGCTCAGTGCGTGTGGGCGTAAGTAAGTCCTGTCTGATTTAATTATTGGCTAGCTGCGACAGGACAGCTGTATTGTGAGAGACCGTCTCTCTATGGCAGCCTTTCTCAATAGCAAGGCTATGCTCACTGAGTCTGTACATAGTCAAAGCTTTCCTTATGTTTGGGTCAGTCACAGTGGTCTGGTATTCTGCCACTGTGTACTCTCTGTTTAGGGCCAGATAGCATTCTAGTTTGCTCTGTTTTTTTGTAAATCCAATGTGTGAAGTATTTATCTTTCTGTTTTCTCATGATTTGGTTGGGTCTAATTGTGTTGTTGTTGTTGTCCTGGGGCTATGTGGGGTCTGTTTGTGTTTGTGAACAGAGCCCCAGGACCAGCTTGCTTAGGGGACTCTTCTCCAAGTTAATATCTCTGTAGGTGATGGCTTTGTTATGGAAGGTTTGTGAATCGCTTCCTTTTAAGTGGTTAGAGAATTTAACGGCTCTTTTCTGGATTTTGATAATTAGCGGGTATCGGCCTAATTCTGCTCTGCATGCATTATTTGGTGTTTTTCATTGTACACAGGGGATATTTTTTGCAAAATTCTTGATGCAGAGTCTCAATTTGGTGTTTTTTGTGAATTATTGGGCATAAAGGGCAATGGGTTCTATAACTGATTCAAGTATTTCAAGTATCTCTCTCTCCCCATCTCTCTCCCTCCCTATATCTCTGTCTCTGTCCCTCTGTCTCTCTCTCCTCGATATAAAGAAAGAGCAGATATAGAGGGAGCAAGGAGTGAGGGAGCAAGACAGATGCAAGACAGCATGAAAGAGGGGGAGAGAATGTGTGTGAGGCGAAAGGAAAGGGAGTCACGGTGATAGTAATTCCCACTATCCCCTGTCCGCCAACTTTCCAGCAGGCAGGGCAGGCAGCGGAGTGAAGATGACTTATAATGACCTGCTGTCAACTGTGTTTATTACGTACATTCCTACTATATCATTAATCACTGTTCTCCTATTCCATATAAAATACAGAGAATGCTGGTATTCGGGGATGTTCCCCATCTCTGTTTGTAGAGTGCAGTTTTATCAGTGGAATTGCTTATGTTATTATGTTATAAAAGACATCCTAGAAATTCTGTTGGAAACTCTCCTCCAAAAAGAAGGGTTTCAGGGTATTTTCAGCTTAGTCCACAATTGGGGCAATTGAGGAGTATAGATTTTACCTAGATGTAACAAAGGCACAAAGTAATAGGTTTACTGGTCAGACAGAAGAGCGAATCATCAATTATATACATATGGGAGTAGCTTTGTTGATATGGAAGTAGCTCTAAGTTTCTCATGGAGATGTGTTGATGTTTCTTGGAACTGTACAGCAGAGCACATTTTCTCCTGTTGTTGTTGCTATCTTCATCCAATAGAGGGCACTTCCGTTACGTGATCGATTTAGAAACTCTTCATTTCACCTAATGGTCTCTATTTTCAGCTGGCGCTAAGGAGGCGCAAGAGGAACTTTGCAATTTTGTCATGTAAAAAACTGCCGCACTGGAATTTTCCAGCCCTAAAACCAGGTTCTGCAATTTATCTGTCTAACATCAGCTCTCTTGCGCAATATCTGAGGTGTGTCCTTAAAAACAAGCGCAAAGTGACTATTTCATGCAGCACTAATGAGAAGTTTTAAGACCCACAAAAAGCAGGTCTTAACGTTAATGCAGTTGATAATGGAATGGATTTTGAGAGCGGAAGCGAAGCCTATCCAGCCATGACACACAGTGCCCATGGAAGAGAGATGAGCCTTTTGTGCTGACAAATCTCATATTTAGAAACATAAAACTATTTTAGTTTCCCCCCAGTTCGTTTAGTTTAATTAAAAACCAAACATAGCCTACCCTCCCCTTAATCAAGCCTGGTTGAGCAGTATCGCATAGGTGGGTCTTTTTATCCTGGCCATTAGCCAAGTAATTTAGCCTACAAATAAAGGTGGGTTAAATGGTCTACTAAGAGTGCTTTAAAATACAGTGGGGAGAACAAGTATTTGACACACTGCTGATTTTGCAGGTTTTCCTACTTACAAAGCATGTAGAGGTCTGTAATTTTTATCATAGGTACACTTCAACTGTGAGAGACAGAATCTAAAACAAAAATCCAGAAAATCACATTGTATGATTTTTAAGTAATTAATTTGCATTTTATTGCATGACATAAGTATTTGATACATCAGAAAAGCAGAACTTAATATTTGGTACAGAAACCTTTGTTTACAATTACAGAGATCATACGTTTCCTGTAGGTCTTGACCAGGTTTGCACATACTGCAGCAGGGATTTTGGCCCACTCCTCCATACAGACCTTCTCCAGATCCTTCAGGTTTCGGGGCTGTGACTGGGCAATACGGACTTTCAACTCCCTCCAAAGATTTTCTATTGGGTTCAGGTCTGGAGACTGGCTAGGCCACTCCAGGACCTTGAGATGCTTCTTACGGAGCCACTCCTTAGTTGCCCTGGCTGTGTGTTTCGGGTCATTGTCATGCTGGAAGACCCAGCCACGACCCATCTTCAATGCTCTTACTGAGGGAAGGAGGTTGTTGGCCAAGATCTCACGATACATGGCCCCATCCATCCTCCCCTCAATAGGGTGCAGTCGTCCTGTCCCCTTTGCAGAAAAGCATCCCCAAAGAATGATGTTTCCACCTCCATGCTTCACGGTTAGGATGGTGTTCTTGGGGTTGTACTCATCCTTCTTCTTCCTCCAAACACGGCGAGTGGAGTTTAGACCAAAAAGCTCTATTTTTGTCTCATCAGACCACATGACCTTCTCCCATTCCTCCTCTGGATCATCCAGATGGTCATTGGCAAACTTCAGACGGGCCTGGACATGCACTGGCTTGAGCAGGGGGACCTTGCGTGCGCTGCAGGATTTTAATCCATGACGGCGTAGTGTGTTACTAATGGTTTTCTTTGAGACTGTGGTCCCAGTTCTCTTCAGGTCATTGACCAGGTCCTGCCGTGTAGTTCTGGGCTGATCCCTCACCTTCCTCATGATCATTGATGCCCCACGAGGTGAGATCTTGCATGGAGCCCCAGACCGAGGGTGATTGACCGTCATCTTGAACATCTTCCATTTTCTAATAATTGCGCCAACAGTTGTTGCCTTCTCACCAAGCTGCTTGCCTATTGTCCTGTAGCCCATCCCAGCCTTGTGCAGGTCTACAATTTTATCCCTGATGTCCTTACACAGCTCTCTGGTCTTGGCCATTGTGGAGAGGTTGGAGTCTGTTTGATTGAGTGTGTGGACAGGTGTCTTTTATACAGGTAACGAGTTCAAACAGGTGCAGTTAATACGGGTAATGAGTGGAGAACAGAAGGGCTTCTTAAAGAAAAACGAACAGGTCTGTGAGAGCCGGAATTCTTACTGATTGGTAGGTGATCAAATACTTATGTCATGCAATAAAATGCAAATTATTACTTAAAAATCATACAATGTGATTTTCTGGATTTTTGTTTTAGATTCAGTCTCTCACAGTTGAAGTGTACCTATGATAAAAATTACAGACCTCTACATGCTTTGTAAGTAGGAAAACCTGCAAAATCGGCAGTGTATCAAATACTTGTTCTCCCCACCTTCATCCGATTACCAAAGACGCGCGCCTCCAAACTATTCAGTCGTCCTATAATGCACATAGGCAATAATCGAATTGACATGAGCCTAGTATTTGGTATAGACGTGTGAATGTTATTAGTAAAGACATTTAGGCCTACGTGTGCACACAGTGCCATGGAACGAGAGAAGTGATTTATGCTATCATGCTTCTGACCCCATCCTATTTAGAAATATTGTTGTTGTTTTAAAAAAACATATTGCTTGTTTTCCGTTTTATATCAAGCCCTCCATAGGCTACCCTTACCCTAGCCCTAGGCTACTAAGGCTGGGTTAACAGCAATGCGTCATGTCTTATTTATCCTGGCTTGCAAAGTAGCCCATAAAAGGTGTTTAAATGGTCTATTTGTCAGAGTGCCTTGAATTTCTAATATAATGCACATCCTAAAACATACACACATATACCTACCTGCATACTTCGTTTAGCTTGTTCAAGTATCCAACCCCATCTCCAAAGTGCGCCTCTCATCCGGTTACCAAAGACGCACTCCTCCAAATGTATTTAAATGATTCAGTCCTATATAATGCAGTATCAACATTAGGCCTAGGCTATATTTTGCTTATTGAGAACGTGCCTCACACATACAATACAATTTACGTGAGCCTAGTATTTTTGATTTTAAGTGTGATGTGTAGAGACATGTAGGTTCGGCTATAGCTCATTGAAGCCAATTACAACAATGTTTACTGCCAACACTCCAAACATAGGCTATTGAGCTAACACTGGATGTTTTTTTGTTGTTGTTGACATTACTCGTTACTTTAGCCTATGCTATTCAATAAACTGTAATATCAATCCACAATGGACCAGGATGAGAATATTCTGTCCCTCAGCCGAATTGGAGTTGTTGACAACGCAAAGACCGTCAATAACCTACAGAACTTGAGACAAACGCATGCAGTATTAAGCCACGGAATGTGCTGAATGGCCAGTGAGTGTCCAAGCCCTCGTCATACCTACAATTTGTTTATTCATCAAAACTTAGCCCTTTTGCACCACTGCCAGCTATATTTCTGACACACCAGGGACCTATAGCACTACTGCCAGCACTTTAATTTACCATTGCGTTAGGTTTGTTCAAATAGAGCCCCATGTGATGTAAATAAATAAACGTACATTATTATGAATTAGGTGTGTGGTAAGCAACACTAACCACCCTGCTGGTATAATTATCAGTGTCAAGCTTTAATGAAGGCTCAGAGAGACCCCCTCAATGGTCTTATGACAGGCAGACAGTCTTCTATAGAAGCACTATTGACTCATCTCCCCAGGAAGATGCCTGGCTAGCTGTTGTTCTCAACTTTGAATGTGTCCGATATGGCACCCTATTCCCTATATAGTGCACTACTTTTGACCAGAGCTCTATGGGTCCTGGTCAAAGCAGTACACTATGTAGGGAGGGAATAGGGTGCCGTTTGGGATGGAGCTTCTGTTGTTGTTTTTAGCATCTTGAGCTGAGAGCTTGGGCAGAAATGAAGCTGGCAGAGGTGTCAGTCTCTTGTCTTGGTGGTTGACGCTCAATCTTTTGTCAACACCTGACTGTGTGGATGGATCCTACCTCTTTCTCTTCTAAAGAAACTCAAGCACCACTTAAGCTTCTCTGTTTGCATATGTTTTCCAGTCAGCTAACACTCTGTTCTGCTCTTTTCTTCTCTCTTCTAGGGATTTGAAGACCCCAAGGACAAGTGAGTAGAGAACCCTTCTCCCCATCTCGCCTCCTGTGAGTCAAGGTGGTGGGCTGCCTTCTGCTGCAGGTCATGTTTTCAGGGTTTCTAAAGACAAAATGGCAGTATCAAAGCCATAGATCTTTAAATTATCTGGATAGGTGTGTGGCAGTCACAGAATTAAACTACTGTAGCTATAATAGTCGGCTTTCACTACTGTAGCTCAGCTGGTAGAGCACGGCGCTTGTAACGCCAAGGTAGTGGGTTCGATCCCCGGGACCACCCATACACAAAAATGTATGCACGCATGACTGTAAGTCGCTTTGGATAAAAGCGTCTGCTAAATGGCATATTATTATTATATTATTATAATACACAGCATAGCAATCGAAAACACGACCAGAACATCCAACTCGCCATGTTTCTTGTATGACATGGCCATGACATTCATACCCATGAGTGGACAGTGATCTCAGTGTCTTCCCAAACTCACTTTAACGTATGCTGTCTGTTATTCATAAAACATTCTAATCACCTGGTTTGAACTTGTCCACTGATCCACTGACAATAGGCCAGATTGCCTCTGTAATTTATGCAATCAAACAATACACTGCTGATTCAATGACTGATTAGTCCAATCAAACTAACATGATGACAGTGGTCTGATGATCTCAATCACTTTGCTTGTTATGGCCACACTTGATTGAGGTGATGCAGTTCTGTGGTGAGGTGTGGAGTTAAGTTGTGGTTGTTGCGTGTGGTTATGGTTGCGGGACTGGGGGCGGGCTGGCCCATAGAGACATAGGACCTCTTGTGATGGCCTGAAACAGAAAACAAAAAAGTGTCTCCTCGTCTTGTGTTATCTAGACATTTCATTTTCAGAAACACGCAGGAAAACCTGAACCCAGAGGACGAGGTGGACGAGTTCCTAGGGAGAGCCATCGACGCCAGGAGTATCGACCGGCTACGCTCCGAACACGTCAAGAAGTTCCTGCTGACCTTCAGAGAACCAGACCTGGAGAAGAAGGTACTGACGGGAAGTGACTCCACATAATCAGACTAGGACCCTGAGTGAATTTTCTGGATAGATCTTTAGCAGTAGATATGTCAAACGAGTGAGCAGTGTATTCGTTTGTGTCAGAATTGATTGTCAAACTCAGGGCCTTGGGTTTTTCCTGACTACAAGGCTTGACCAGGAAAAAGGTTTAGTGTTAGTCTATAACTAAGGGATTTTTCCTTGTCAGGTGTCATGGTCAGTAAAAATTGAAAAATGCAATTCTGCTACAAATTGCTACACCACTCACTGGTTTGACATATCCAGGGCATGTCAATTAAAGCTTAAATGAAGGGAGAGTGGGAGAGAGAGAGTGGTAAAAATGATTTGGTTAAAAGAGAAGATACATAAAAGGTGAGAGGGAAGGCGAGAGAGGGTGAAAGCCGACTGAAAGGGAAGAGGCAGAGAGGCCCCATTTTCAACCTGCTGTATTTCTCCTCTCCCTCTGTCTCTCTCATCCATCTGTCATTCTCTCTCGTCAGGGTCTGGTTAACCTAACGTAACAGACGTAAAATAAACGCTTGAGCAGGGTTGGAAGCATACAGTTTTCAGGCTTTGCCTCTTCTCTGCTTTTCCCTGAAAACCGGATGCTTCCGATTTCTGACAACCCCGCTGAGGGTGGGGTATGGTGGGCTGTATAGTGGCTACATAGAGGGGATCAAAATCCCTCTCTCAGTGTGTCTGCCCCCAGCCAATAGCCCAGTCTTTTGTGGGAGAGATAATCACTGCCGTTGTTTTCCTCCATTACCTGTCCACATACAGATCTCATAATTGACCTCCTGAGTACCATACATTAGGCTATGGATTGCAGTTCAGCTGTGTAACCCTTACCATGCTGTTGTGTCAGTATACTGTACAAAAGGGTTTGAAGTGAGATGTGAAGCAGTCAGCCAGCCTCTGTTTACCTTTCTTCTCTTATATTCTTCCATTTCCGTTTCTCCTTCAGTACTCCAAACAAGTGGACTCCAGATTTGGAGCGTACGTGGCCTGTGCATCTCTTGTCTTCCTCTTCATATGTTTCATCCAGATCGTCATTGTACCACAGTAAGTACTGAATCTCTCCTAGTGGATATTCATACAGTATAGTACCACAGTAAGTACTGAATCTCTCCTAGTGGATATTCATACAGTATAGTACCACAGTAAGTACTGAATCTCTCCTAGTGGATATTCATACAGTATAGTACCACAGTAAGTACTGAATCTCTCCTAGTGGATATTCATACAGTATAGTACCACAGTAAGTACTGAATCTCTCCTAGTGGTAATTCATACAGTATAGTACCACAGTAAGTGCTGAATAATTCTCTACTAGTGAACAACAGTGCATATCTCCCATATCATTCACAACCTGGAGCCCTAGGTCTTCCTGGGCTGAGGGCAGGGCTTTGGGGATGAGTAGAGGAGGAGACTGAGATAGACAGTACCTAGATGAAGCTGGTACTTGAGGGGACCCAGGACAGGCAGTCCCAGACTGGCCCAGTACAGGGACTTGGCCCAGACATTAATAAATGTCCCGTCACCTGCTGTCACCACCTTTCCTCCTCCTCTGCCGGAGGGGCTGATGGGTACCGCTGGGGCTGCCGGCAGCTGGCTGTTTGTTCATTCTCAAGGATGCTCCTCAAGTGTGTACCCCTCTATCTTTCTCTCTCTCTCTCTCTCCTTCACTCCCTCTGTATTGATATTTTCTTCACCATTCCTTTTTTATTATCCCCTTTTCCTTTATCCTTTTATCTCACGGTCTCAGACGTATTTATTCATATTTATCCTACCACTCTCTCCCTCTCTCTCTCGCTGTTCTTCCTCAGCTCCACTCTGATGATTGGGTTTTACACCACCTGTCTGATCATCCTGATGGCTGTCATGTTTGTCTCAGCAGTCTACTCCTGCTTTGGGGTGAGTACTTAGGTTTTCCCAGGAATTTGTTTGTGTTCGGAAGCTTCCTCATACTATGACGTCGATGTCTATACCACAAGACAATGGGCGACGCAATGCCCATCTATCCAGTACCCATATAGCTCTATCCCTTAGCCTGACGCACTGGCGCAGTGGGAGCTCTCTGTGGCTGTCTGGGAATGTTGTATCACACAGTATAACAGGTCTGTTTCCACAGCATGACTGGGCCAATCACACAGCAGGTAAACCTGCTTGGTGGATGGTATTGATTTTTAACTGCCCTGAGAGCAGCAGTCCCCCGGAGAGATACAGTCAGAGTCAGACTGCTTAGTGAGGCCTTTAGAGAGGAACTGGTATGTAATTGGGCGAAAGATTGAAGTGGACGTAAGCTCACAATAGGGGTATTACTGCTTTGTCAGTTAAAGATGTTTGAGAACAACGGCAGCCGACTAATGATGTCATAGCTGTGTTGTTGTTGTTCCTGGAGGGCTCTATATACACTGCTCAAAAAAATAAAGGGAACACTTAAACAACACAATGTAACTCCAAGTCAATTACACTTCTGTGAAATCAAACTGTCCACTTAGGAAGCAACACTGATTGACAATAAATGTCACATGCTGTTGTGCAAATGGAATAGACAACAGGTGGAAATTATAGGCAATTAGCAAGACACCCCCAATAAAGGACTGGTTTTGCAAGTGGTGACCACAGACCACTTCTCAGTTCCTATGCTTCCTGGCTGATGTTTTGGTCACTTTTGAATGCTGGCGGTGCTTTCACTCTAGTGGTAGCATGAGATGGAGTCTACAACCCACACAAGTGGCTCAGGTAGTGCAGCTCATCCAGGATGGCACATCAATGCGAGCTGTGGCAAGAAGGTTTGCTGTGGAGGCGTTACCGGTAGACAGGCCAGTACATCAGGAGACGTGGAGGAGGCCGTAGGAGGGCTACAACCCAGCAGCAGGACTGCTACCTCCGCCTTTGTGCAAGGAGGAGCAGGAGGAGCACTGCCAGAGCCCTGCAAAATGACCTCCAGTAGGCCACAAATGTGCATGTGTCTGCTCAAACGGTCAGAAACAGACTCCATGAGGGTGGTATGAGGGCCGACGTCCACAGGTGGGGGTTGTGCTTACAGCCCAACACCGTGCAGGACATTTGGCATTTGCCAGAGAACACCAAGATTGGCAAATTCGCCACTGGCGCCCTGTGCTCTTCACAGATGAAAGCAGGTTCACACTGAGCACGTGACAGACGTGACAGAGTCTGGAGATGCCGCGGAGAACGTTCTGCTGCCTGCAACATCCTCCAGCAAGACCGGTTTGGCGGTGGGTCAGTCATGGTGTGGGGTGGCATTTCTTTGGGGGGCCGCACAGCCCTCCATGTGCTCGCCAGAGGTAGCCTGACTGCCATTAGGTACCGAGATGAGATCCTCAGACCCCTTGTGAGACCATATGCTGGTGCGGTTGGCCCTGGGTTCCTCCTAATGCAAGACAATGCTAGACCTCATGTGGCTGGAGTTTGTCAGCAGTTCCTGCAAGAGGAAGGCATTGATGCTATGGACTGGCCCGCCCGTTCCCCAGACCTGAATCCAATTCAGCACATCTGGGACATCATGTCTCGCTCCATCCACCAACGCCACGTTGCACCACAGACTGTCCAGGAGTTGGCGGATGCTTTAGTCCAGGTCTGGGAGGAGATCCCTCAGGAGACCATCCGCCACCTCATCAGGAGCATGCCCAGGCGTTGTAGGGAGGTCATACAGGCACGTGGAGGCCACACACACTACTGAGACTCATTTTGACTTGTTTTAAGGACATTACATCAAAGTTGGATCAGCCTGTAGTGTGGTTTTCCACTTTCATTTTGAGGGTGACTCCAAATCCAGACCTCCATGGGTTGATACATTTGATTTCCATTGATAATTTAAGTGTGATTTTGTTGTCAGCACATTCAACTATGTAAAGAAAAAAGTATTTAATAAGATTATTTCATTCATTCAGATCTAGGATGTGTTATTTTAGTGTTCCCTTTATTTTATTGAGCAGTGTATATTTCATTTCCTGCTTTCTCCTCATTGGCTGATGGCCGGCTTGGGAGAAATGAAATAAGCCCTTAAATGGGAATTGGAGACAAGAAGAACAACAGGCTTATGATCTTCTTTAGTTGTATACTGATGAGATTAAATTAGGGATTTTTATATATTGTAAGCGGCTTTGATAATATTGTCATTGTGGCACTGTAAGTGAGGGGTTTAGAATTCCAAAGAGTATTCTTCATAACTCACCAGGTCAAATGCGATCTCTATAGGATCTACACTACAGTTATGATACTGTATATATGTTGAAAATGCTGCATGCATTGTAAGGGGACTAAACACCTCCCTCTGCAACTGGATCCTTATTACTTCCTGGCGGGCCGCCCCCAGGTGGTAAGGGTAGGTAACAACACATCTGCCACACTGATCCTCAACACGGGGGCCCCTCAGGGGTGCGTGCTCAGTCCCCTCCTGTACTCCCTGTTCACACATGACTGCATGGCCAGGCACGACTCCAACACCATCATTAAGTTTGCCGACGACACAACAGTGGTAGGCCTGATCACGGACAACGATGAGACAGCCTATAGGGAGGAGGTCAGAGACCTGGCCGTGTGGTGCCAGGATAACAATCTCTCCCTCAACGTGACCAAGACAAAGGAGATGATTGTGGACTACAGGAAAAAAAGAGAGGACTGAGCACGCCCCCATTCTCATCGACGGGGCTGTAGTGGAACAGGTTGAGAGCTTCAAGTTCCTTGGTGTCCACATCACCAACGAACTATCATGGTCCAAACACACCAAGACAGTCGTGAAGAGGTCATGACAAAGCCTATTCCACCTCAGGAGACTGAAAAGATTTGGCATGGGTCCTCAGATCCTCAAAATATTCTACAGCTGCACCATCAAGAGTATCCTGACTGGTTGCATCACCGCCTGGTATGGCAACTGCTCGGCCTCCAACCGCAAGGCACTACAGAGGGTAGTGCGTACGGCCCAGTACATCACTGGGGCCAAGCTTCCTGCCATCCAGGACCTCTATACCAGGCGGTGTCAGAGGAAGGACCTCAAAATTGTCAAAGACTACAGCCACCCTAGTCATAGACTGTTCTCTCTGCTACCGCACGGCAAGCGGTAACGGAGTGCCAAGTCTAGGTCCAAAAGACTTGTCAACAGCTTCTACCCCCAAGCCATAAGACTCCTGAACAGCTAATCATGGCTACCCGGACTATTTGCACTGCCCCCCCCCCACCCCATCTTTTTACGCTGCTGCTACTCTGTTAATTATTTATGCATAGTCACTTTAACTCTACCCACATGTAGATATTACTTCAACTACCTCAACTAGCCGGTACCCCGCACATTGACTCTGCACCGGTACCCCCCTGTATATATAGCCTCCCTACTGTTATTTTATTTTAGTTCTGGTCTTTTTTTCTCAACACTTTTTTGTTGTTGTTTTATTTTACTTTTTTATTAAAAAATAAATGCACTGTTGGTTAAGGGCTGTAAGTAAGCATTTCACTGTAATGTCTGCACCTGCACCTACCTGGCGCATGTGGCCAATGAAATTTGATTTGATTTGAGTCTGGTTTTGTGGAAGAGGAGTAGGACAGCACTTCAACCAACATGAGTTGAATTGCAGCCAAAAGTCATAGCTGGTATTGTGGCCTATAGGATACAAACACAACATTCTCTAATAACTCAGGGATGAAATAGACTGACCTACTGACCATGCCCTCTCCCTCCGTCCCCTGCGCTCGGGACAGTTTTTCCCGGTGCCTCTCCAGACCCTGTCCAAGAGTATCGTCCAGTCCAGACTCAACAGCACCCTGGTGGGAGTCTTCACCATCATCCTGGTCTTTCTCTCTGCCTTCATCAACATTGTAAGTCCCTGAGCTTCCACTCCAAATGGTTGCACAGATCATTTGAAGGGCAAAACCCTGACAGCAAAGCTTACATGCTTATGCATTAATGAGTGTTTGACATCTGTGGGTTGTGTTCATTAGGGCACACCGCAGCTAAACATTTTTGCAAACAGAAAACAAAAACAAGTATTTCTTATTGGACAAGTTCAGATGTTTCGTGCCTACTGAACACTGCCCAGTTCTCATTCATAATCATGTTAACCCCATTTGACCTCTGCCCTCTGCGCCCTAGTTCACCTGCAGTACTGGAGACCTGAGGACTTGTCTGAGCTGGGAGCTGAACATCAGTCGCAGCAGTGTCAACGCCTGCCATGCACGCAGCCTCAACTACACCCTTGAATCACTAGTCGGCTTCTGTGGCAGCCCCTCACCCAACTGCAACTTCCCTGAGGTGTGTGTGTGTTTGTGTGGTGTGCGTGCCCAGCTGGGCTTGAGCCAGAAGTGGCCAATTAATTTCACAATGGCATGCTAAAAGATTTGCAAATGTTTGACGTCTCTCTCACTCCCTCTCGGCCTCCCCCTTCTCTCTCCCTCCCTCTACCTCCTCTCCTCCCTGCACCCTCCCTCTCTCCCTCTCTCCCTCTCTCTCTCCCTCTGTAGTACTTCTCTTCCTGTGTGTTGTTGAGCCTGCTGGCCAGCTCAGTCTTCCTGCAGGTCAGCAGTATAGGTAAACTCCTACTCATGCTCTTCATCGAGATCTTCTACGTCCTCATCATGGAAGTGCCAGAGGTCAGCCTGTTCGACAACGTAGACCTGCTGGTCATGGCCAACGCTATGTGAGTATTTTAGAAAATCCATTAACTTGCAGGTACAAAAAAAAAGTAAAGCCATGAAAGAAAATTGATACCCTAACATTGTTGAATACTCCCGCAGAAGCCTTTGGGTAGAAACCTTGCACAATAAAACTGCAGGAGCATTCAACAGTGTGCCGGTATCTACCTTTCTTTCACAACACTAGTGACATAAGTTAATGTGTTTCTGTGGGATCATGAGGCGACTTTACCACAACGGTACAGTGTTGTGTAGCGATTTGTACTGGCTCAGGTTCTCACAGTTCAAATTACAGGTTTTATTGTCACGTGCACAAGTACAGTGAAATGCCTTTCCCAACAATGCAGTCATCAATACCAGTAGTACTATAAAATAAAGTAGAACAAAAACACACGAGAAATAGAAATAAGAACACGATAAAAGTAATGAAGCTATATACAGGGTCAGTTCCAATACCATATTTACAATGTGCAGGGATACTGGAGTGGTAGGGGTAGGTATGTATAGGGGTAAGGTGACTATGCATCAGGATATATGATAAACAGAGTAGCAGCAGCATATATGATGATTGTATGTGAGTGTGTGTGCGTGCGTGTGTAGAGTCAATATGAATGTGTGGGCGTGTTATGTGTGTGTGAGTGTGTGTTGTGAGTGAGCATAGAGTCAGTGCAAAAATACAAATAAAAAGGATCTATGCAGATAGTCCGTATAGCCATTTTGTTAGCTATTTAGCAGTCTTATGGCTTGGGGATAGAAGCTGTTCAGGAGCCTGTTGGTGTCAGACTTGGCGCTCCAGTACCGCTTGCCATGCGGAAGCAGACAGAACCGTCTATGGCTTGGGTGGCAGGAGTATGTAACTGCAGGATTGAAAATGTTCAATAGTATTTTATGCTAATGCATTCAGAGCAAACCAGGAACGTGTCAGATTTCTCATATCTTAATTTACTGATGTACACCTAGCTTTAGATATGATGGAAGAAATGAGAAGAACTCTGGGTAGTGTAAATTGCCCAGTAGATACATTTTAGACTGAGTTGAAAGGAATGAATGGGTGGACGAATGACTTGCGCTAAACCATGCCAGTTATTTACAACAGGCAAGCAGCAGATTTAAATTCAAACCTCTCCTGAGTTTAGTGTTGCGTTTACTTAATGTAATGGATGACTGTTGGTTAGTCCAGGGCCAGGTGCTGTCTACAGTTATCCGTCTCTCAGATGAAGTGGAGGTTTCGGTTGCCCTGCTTCTCCCTCTCCCTAAAATGTGCTCTGTTTGTTTTCTCTTCACAGTGAGCACATAAATGGAACAAGGTGAGATTTATGTAGCTTAACACTACTAAACAAATTGAAACACACAAATTATTTGAGATCAATTGTATCCATTATACTATAGCTTTAATGCCTCTGAATGCTCGGCTATGAAAAGCCAACTGACATTTACTCCTGAGGTACTGACCTGTTGCACCCTCTACAACCACTGTGATTATTATTTGACCCTGCTGGTCATCTATGAACGTTTGATCATCTTGAAGAACAATCTGGCCTTACATGGCCATGTACTCTTATAATCTCCACCGGGCACAGCCAGAAGAGGACTGGCCACCCCTCAGAACCTGGTTCCTCTCTAGGTTTCTTCCTAGGTTCCTGCCTTACTAGGGAGTTTTTCCTAGCCACCGTGCTTCTACATCTGCATTGCTTGCTGTTTGGGGTCTTAGGCTGTGTTTCTGTATAGCACTTTGTGACATCTGCAGATATAAAAAGGGCTTTATAAATACATTTGATTGATTGATTGATCCTATAGATCTTCCTGGTACTTCATATGCCTTAGGTAGTTAGATAACATTGATAAACAGTGTTGTGACCTTGTATATTGTTTAGTAATGGTATGTAGTATCTAACGTTATTAGATAACATAGATTAAAGAGTGCTGTGGCCTCAGGCCTGTAATTGATCTCTGTAGTTGATCTGTAGTTGATCTTTGGTGTCTGTCCTCTCTGTCTAGCTGTGTGATGGACTCTAAGGTCCCTCTGAAGATCATGACTCCCGTGGTCATCACTGTCTTCGTCCTGGCCTTGTATCTACACGCCCAGCAGGTGGAGTCCACAGCCAGACTCGACTTCCTCTGGAAACTACAGGTAGGTGTGTGTGTGTCTGTGTGTGTGTCTGGGCTATCCAAGGTCATTGATACCTCTTTTCCCTGCCTCCCTCCTTCCTTCCTTCCCTCCCTCCCTCCCTCCTTCCCTCCAGGCCACAGAGGAGAAAGAGGAGATGGAGGAGCTACAGGCCTACAACCGTCGCCTCCTCCACAACATCCTCCCTAAAGATGTGGCCGCCCACTTCCTGGCACGGGAGCGCCGGAACGACGAGCTCTACTACCAGTCCTGTGAGTGTGTGGCCGTCATGTTCGCCTCCATCTCCAACTTCTCTGAGTTCTACGTAGAGCTGGAGGCCAACAACGAGGGAGTGGAGTGTCTCAGGCTGCTCAATGAGATCATCGCAGACTTTGATGAGGTGAGAGGGGAGGGGGGAGGAGAGAGGTATGAGGAGGGGTGAGGAGGAGGGAGGAGGAGGAGAGGTATGAGGAGGGGGAGGAGGAGGGAGGAGGAGGAGAGGTATGAGGAGGGGGGAGGAGGAGGGAGGAGGAGGAGAGGTATGAGGAGGGGGGAGGAGGAGAGAGGTATGAGGAGGGAGGAGGAGGAGGAGCAGTATGAGGAGGGGGAGGAGGAGAGAGGTATGAGGAGGGAGGAGGAGGAGGAGAGGTATGAGGAGGGGGGAGGAGGAGGAGTGGTATGAGGAGGAGGAGGAGAGGAGAGGTATGAGGAGGGGGGAGGAGGAGGAGTGGTATGAGGAGGAGGAGGAGAGGTATGAGGAGAGGGGAGGAGGAGGAGGAGGAGAGGTATGAGGAGGAGGGAGGAGGAGGAGAGTTATGAGGAGGGGGACGAGCAGGAGAGGTATGAGGAGGGGGGAGGAGGAGGAGAGGTATGAGGAAGGGGAGGAGAGGTATGAGGAGAGGGGAGGAGGAGGGAGGAGGAGGAGAGGTATGAGGAGGGGGAGGAGGAGGGAGGAGGAGGAGAGGTATGAGGAGGAGGAGGAGAGGTATGAGGAGGGGGGAGGAGGAGGAGAGGTATGAGGAGGGGGAGGAGGAGGAGAGGTATGAGGAGGAGGAGGAGAGGTATGAGGAGGGGGGAGGAGGAGGAGAGGTATGAGGAGGGGGGAGGGGGGAGGAGGAGGAGAGAGGGGCCTTTCTCTTTGTGTGTGTGTGTGTGTGTGTGTGCGTGCATCTCTTTTCTATCATATTCCTCCTTATATAACTACCGTTATGGGTACTAGTGACTATTCTTGGACCCTGTTATGTTGAAAGAGAGCTAACAATGTCAATGCTATTAACCCAAGCAAACCAAGTAGTAAATGTATTTCTCTCACCACTCACTTCCCCATTCTCCTCTTCTTCCCCCAGATCATCAGTGAGGACCAGTTCCGCCAGCTGGAGAAGATAAAGACCATCGGCAGTACCTACATGGCTGCCTCTGGCCTCAACGACTCTACCTACGACAAGGAAGGCCGCTCACACATCAGAGCCCTGGCAGACTATGCCATGAGACTCATGGATCAGATGAAGTACATCAACGAACACTCCTTCAATAACTTCAAGATGAAGATCGGTAAGGCTGCCTATGGGAAAGATAATTTTGTTGCCTTGTTGTTTATTTTGACGTGACAATTGGTTATTCATGAGTATAATGGTATGCTTAAGCGATAGTGCCTCACAAAATGTATAATGAGTAATGGTAAAAATGTGACCTAACCTGTAAAAAACTCTGCTGGCCCATAACCCTGAAAACCCCCCAAAATGATATTGAACATACTGTGTATATTGTTAAAAACATCCTGAACCATATCCCTGTCCACCTGCTGCAGGTCTGAACATGGGTCCAGTGGTGGCTGGGGTGATCGGGGCCAGGAAGCCCCAGTATGATATCTGGGGGAATACAGTCAATGTTGCCAGCCGCATGGACAGCACTGGCGTACCTGACAGGATCCAGGTAACTCACAGACACAGCACGGTAGAAACTGATAACACACCTAGGATTTGTTCTGTGACCTTTTTCTGACTATGATGAAGACCTAAGGCTCGAACATTTTTGATAAAGCACATGGGAGCATAGCTTGCAGTGTGCGGTCTTTTTAAAAATATATATATTTTGAATATTATCATGTGGTAGTGTGAAAGTGGAGGCAGTGTGCCTATGATCAAGATATGTGGACACTGCTATCTTCTCAGTGTCACTTTATGACTAAAACGTCTTACTTTCTACCCTTTATTCCCTTCCTCCACCTCTCTCTTTTCTCTTTCTCCCGCCAGGTGACCTCTGACCTGTACAATGTGCTGAACTCCTATAACTACACACTAGAGTGCCGAGGCCTGGTCAAGGTGAAGGGTAAAGGAGAGATGCAAACCTACTTCCTCACTGGAGGACCTCCCAGCAGTTAACACCCAGGGTGTGTCTGAAATGGCACACTATTCCATGTATAGTGCACTACTTTTGACCAGTAGTGCACTACATAGGGAATAGGGTGCCATTTCAGACGCGGCCTATTCAGAAGCAGCCCCAGTAACAGACTGACACTGGCGCAGGAGAAGTAGAAGGCTCAGGGGAAAGGGCTGTTGGACTAAAGGGGGCTGACCCCCAAGCCTTTGACAGGCAGGCTCATAGACCTGTGTTAGCTTGGGGAACTTTCTGCCCCCCACCCATAATCCTTTTCCTACATTTAGCCCCTCCCTACCTGCACAGGTCAGCCTCCGATTGGCCCAGAGTGAAGGAGACCCCACCCAGCCTCCTCTCGGATTGGGGGAAAGAGACAGAGGGAGGGGCTTAGAGGGCCTGGGTTCGCTGAAGAGACCAAAGAAGTCCCATCAGACTGCAGCAGACAGAGACACATTATGACAGCAGCAATCTCGCACAGTCTTATTTCCACCAGTCAGAGTGTGAGATAAGGAACAGCTTACAGCCAATCATCTCGCAGTACTTTAGGTCTCTGTAAGGTTCTCTGAGGAAATGGCTACACTACGTGTGTCGTCATAGACATTCTGCTGAAGTATCCAAGTCGCTCCAAACAAACCCTGCATGAAGACACTGAAAACCATATATACACGTAAAACACACACTGTTTTATGTGTATATATAAGTGTATATATGTGAAAACAAATTGTTTTTGTCCATACAGTCCATGTATGTTGTCTTTGTACACTGTTGTACTGTTAAGTGGTACAGATATTGCAATTCTCCAAACCATGGGTATACTACATACTAACATGGCCATCGCCAGCCAGCACAGCAGCACTGTCAAACCCTTTACTAGGAGCAATGTGTTTCATCACCAGTAGGGGTCCTAGGTGGGCCGTGTTAACCTGGCTGGGTACTTGAATGACCAGAGTGAGACTGCTCTACTCTGCTCTGCATGAGTTTACAGAACTCTTCCCCAGTACACTTTACTCACACACGCACACGCAGAAACACACACACACACACAGACATGCGCTAGACACACACATACATACGCAAATAACACACACAGACCCCACCACACACACATGCTTGAACTGAAAACACTTTCAACCGAGGATGTCAATGAAAAGCTTTTTTTGTATTTTCAACATTTTGTATTTTGACTCCAAAACACCAAACTCTATCAGATATTTTAGATTCTATATTTTGTACATTAATATATTAGAGAGAAATATCTATAAATAAACACCAAGTGTAATCGGATGTACATAGCTGACAGAGACCTATTACAATCATGCACATTCGCTAGGGGTGGGGATATCAAGCAGTTGCCTGCACTTGTGGCAAGGCCATTTTATTTTACCTTATTAACACCCTGCAGTCAGTCCATACCATAGATATATATAGTTTTGGTGCTCTAAGACGCCATTTTGCAGTACACTGCTACTGTCCCCACCCCATCCCACCACCCCTGGCTCAATCAGATAGTATGACCCAATGAATGTCCAATGTTCTCCAATGAGGCCTTTATTCTATAGGCTATAATATACTGATGATATGTTAAATAAAGTAAGGACCAGCTTTGTGGGAGTCCATGTGGAGATGTTTTAATTTTGACCTTTGACCTGCTGTATGTTTTTATTCCTGGTTGCATCACAAATGGCACCCTATTCCTTATATAGTGCATTACTTTTGACCAGGGCTCATAGGGCTCTGGTCAAAAGTAGTGCACTATGTAGGCAATAGTATGCTATTTGGGTCGCACACCCGTTTTACTAGAGCAGCCCCATTAGATGTCTTATCCTCTGGTCTTTAATAATTTCAAACTAAAACCCTTCTACATTCTTTAGTCCCTCTCCACTCCTCAAAATGGTGCCATGTTTTGCTCTTGTGACTTTTTTTTTACCGTCATTGTGTGTCATCGGTTGTGTTATAAGGTTTTATAGGAGGTTGAGATTGTACTTTAGTTGCTGGGCCTTTGAAAATAAGCAAGGAAAATACAGTGCCATTGAATTCCATTTACCTTTAACGTTCGTTCTCAAACTTGACTTCGGGGGGTTGGGTATATTTCAGGTGATGGGACAGACTGTCTCTGTTAGGGGGGCAGTGGGGCATAGCTCCCTTCCTCTACCTACAGTGATGGAAAAAAGTATTTGATCCCCTGCTGATTTTGTACATTTGCCCACTGACAAAGAAATTATCAGTCTATAATTTTAATGGTAGGTTTATTTGAACAGTGAGAGACAGAATAAAAACAAAGACATCCAGAAAAACACATGTCAAAAATGTTATAAATTGATTTGCATTTTAATGAGGGAAATAAGTATTTGACCACCTCTCAATCAGAAAGATTTCTGGCTCCCAGGTGTCTTTTATACAGGTAACGAGCTGAGATTAGGAGCACACTCTTAAAGGGAGTGCTCCTAATCTCAGCTTGTTACCTGTATAAAAGACACCTGTCCACAGAAGCAATCAATCAATCAGATTCCAAACTCTCCACCATGGCCAAGACCAAAGAGCTCTCCAAGGATGTCAGGGACAAGATTGTAGACCTACAAAAGGCTGGAATGGGCTACAAGACCATCGCCAAGCAGCTTGGTGAGAAGGTGACAACAGTTGGTGCGATTATTCACAAATGGAAGAAACACAAAAGAACTGTCCATCTCCCTCGGCCTGGGGCTCCATGCAAGATCTCACCTCGTGGAGTTGCAATGATCATGAGAACGGTGAGGAATCAGCCCAGAACTACACGGGAGTATCTTGTCAATGATCTCAAGGCAGCTGGGACCATAGTCACCAAGAAAACAATTGGTAATACACTACGCTGTGAAGGACTGAAATCCTGCAGCACCGGCAAGGTCCCCCTGCTCAAGAAAGCACATATACATGCCCGTCTGTAGTTTGCCAATGAACATCTGAATGATTCAGAGGAGAACTGGGTGAAAGTGTTGTGGTCAGATGAGACCAAAATGGAGCTCTTTGGCATCAACTCAACTCGCTGTGTTTGGAGGAGGAGGAATGCTGCCTATGACCCCAAGAACACCATCCCCACTGTCAAACATGGAGGTGGAAACATTATGCTTTGGGGGTGTTTTTCTGCTAAGGGGACAGGACAACTTCACCGCATCAAAGGGACGATGGACGGGGCCATGTACCGTCAAATCTTGGGTGAGAACCTCCTTCCCTCAGCCAGGGCATTGAAAATGGGTTGTGGATGGGTATTCCAGCATGACAATGACCAAAACACACGGCCAAGGCAACAAAGGAGTGGCTCAAGAAGAAGCACATTAAGGTCCTGGAGTGGCCTAGCCAGTCTCCAGACCTTAATCCCATAGAAAATCTGTGGAGGGAGCAGAAGGTTCGAGTTGCCAAACGTCAGCCTCGAAACCTTAATGTCTTGGAGAAGATCTGCAAAGAGGAGTGGGACAAAATCCCTCCTGAGATGTGTGCAAACCTGGTGGCCAACTACAAGAAACGTCTGACCTCTGTGATTGCCAACAAGGGTTTTTCATGTTTTGCAGAGGGGTCAAATACTTATTTCCCTAATTAAAATGCAAATCAATTTATAACATTTTCGACATGCGTTTTTCTGGATTTTGTTGTTGTTATTCTGTCTCTCACTGTTCAAATAAACCTACCATTAAAATGATAGACTGATCATTTCTTTGTCAGTGGGCAAACGTACAAAATCAGCAGGGGATCAAATACTTTTTTCCCCTCACTGTATACTTGGAGATAGTATGAACCTCATGAGGTGTTCACTAGATGATGGAGTGGCGAGAAGAAGAGAAATGGCATCAGTGCGTTTTTAGTCAGAGGCTAACCTTGGGTTGTCTTTGCTTTCTATCATGTCAAACACTATGCTGTTTTTTTTACATTCAAATAAACCACTAAAATGTCAAACTTGTTGTTGGAAACTCCTTTTTTTATGTGGCATGCAATGTGCCTTTCTATAACCTTATTATATTTGGATGGTTGTTGCAGATGTACACCCATATACAGTCAGTTTATTAGGTACACCCATCTAGTACTGGGTCGGACTCCCCTTTGGCTCCAGAACAGCCTGAATTCTTCGGGGCATGGAAACGTCGCTCAATTGGTATCAAGGGACCTAACTTGTGCCAGGAAAACATTCCCCACACCATTACACCACCGCCAGCAGCCTGTACTGTTGACACCATTTTTTACATTTTAGTCACTTAGCAGACGCTCTTATCCAGAGCGACTTACAGTTAGTGAGTGCATACATTTCCATACTGGCCCCCCGTGGGAAACGAACCCACAACCCTGGCGTTGCAAGCGCCATGCTCTACTAACTGAGCTACAGGGTACCAGTATGGCAGGAAGGGGTCATGGACTAATGCTGCTTACGCCAAATCCTGACTCTGCCATCAGCATAACGCAATAGGAACCGGCATTTGTTGGACCAGGCATTGTTTTTCCACTCCTCAATTGTCCAGTGTTGGTGATCGCGTGCCCACTGGAGCGCTTCTTCTTGTTTTTAGTTTCTAGGTGTGGAACTCGGTGTGGTCGTCTGCTGAAATAGCCAATCTGTGACAAGGACCGACGAGTTGTGCGTTCCGAGATGCCGTTTTGTTGTACTGCACCGTTATTTGCCTGTTTGTGGCCCGCCTGTTAGCTTGCACGATTCTTGCCATTCTCCTTCGACCTCTCATCAATGAGCTGTTTTCACCCACAGGACTGCCATTGACTGGATGTTTTTTGTTGGTTGCACCATTCTCTGTAAACCCTAGACACTGTCCTGCGTGAAAAGTCCAGGAGGCCAGCCGTTTCAGAGATACTGATGATCGTGCCACACTCAAAGTCGTTTAGGTCACTCGTTTTGCCCATTCTAGCATTCAATCGAACAGTAACTGAGTGCCTTGATGCCTGTCTGCCTGCTTTATATAGCAAGCCATGACCACGTGACTCACTGTCTGTAGGAGCGAACCATTTTTGTGAACTGGCCACCGAGTGTATATTATATATACAGTGGGGGAAAAAAGTATTTAGTCAGCCACCAATTGTGCAAGTTCTCCCACTTAAAAAGATGAGAGAGGCCTGTAATTTTCATCATAGGTACACGTCAACTATGACAGACAAACTGAGGAAAAAAAATCCAGAAAATCACATTGTAGGATTTTTTATGAATTTATTTGCAAATTATGGTGGAAAATAAGTATTTGGTCACCTACAAACAAGCAAGATTTCTGGCTCTCACAGACCTGTAACTTCTTCTTTAAGAGGCTCCCCTGTCCTCCACTCGTTACCTGTATTAATGGCACCTGTTTGAACTTGTTATCAGTATAAAAGACACCTGTCCACAACCTCAAACAGTCACACTCTAAACTCCACTATGGCCAAGACCAAAGAGCTGTCAAAGGACACCAGAAACAACATTGTAGACGTGCACCAGGCTGGGAAGACGGAATCTGCAA